TACATCTACAGAGCGTGGAGAAAGAGAAAGGTGGTCAGTCTGGTCAGCTTCGATGTCAAGGGAGCATACAATGGTGTGTACAAAGAGAGACTACTTCAAAGACTCAGAGCGCGGGGGATCCCGGACAAGCTGGTGAGATGGGTGGACGCCTTCTGCTCCCATAGAACGGCAAGCATCCTGGTTAACGGTCACGAGTCCGAGGCTCGTCCGCTACCACAAGCCGGACTGCCTCAGGGTTCGCCGCTTTCGCCCGTGCTCTTCCTCTTCTTCAACGCCGATCTCGTACAGCACCAAATCGACGAGAACGGGGGCGCGCTGGCCTTCGTCGATGACTACACGGCGTGGGTCACAGGCCGATCGCGCGAAGCAAACCGTCAGGGCATCCAAGATATTATCGATCGAGCACTCGCGTGGGAACGACGAAGCGGGGCGACGTTCGAGACGGACAAGACGGCCATCATCCACTTCACGCGCAACTGGAGGCTGCCGGCGGACTCAACCAGCTTCGTCATCAAAGGTGACACTGTCCGAGCAAAGGACCACGTCAAAGTATTGGGAGTGATGATGGACACGAAACTCCGTTTCGAAAAGCACATCGCAGACGCCGACGACAAAAGGGCTGGAGGCCGTGCTGGGGCTCAAACGGCTCAAAGGCCTGTCTCCGGCGACGGCCAGACAGCTTTTCGTGGCGGCCGTAGCACCGACGATGGACTACGCGTCGAACGTCTGGAGGTACAGGTGTCGAGCAGCGCAGATGAGGGTGATCAACCGAGTGCAGAGGATTGGCGCCCAAGCGATCGTGGGAACCTTCAACACGGTGGCCACGGCGGTCGCTGAAGCGGAGGCAAGCATACAATCGGCGCAAGAGAGGTACGACAGAAAATCAACGACATTCTGGGTACGGCTGCGAAGCCTTCCCAAGACCCATCCGCTTCGACGTCTGCGGGCGGTGGCCTTTAGACGGTTTCCGTCACCCTTCCAGTTGATGGCGGAGGCCTATCGCGACCTACCCCTTGACAAGCTGGAGACTATCGAAGGGTATTCGATCGCTCCTTGGGAACGTCGTATTGATACAGTAGTCGACGACGACACGGTCAAGGCCTCTGAGGCAATCCGGTCTGGATGGGCAGTGAGGATAGCGACAGGGAGCTCAGCAAGGAACGAGGTTGTGGGCTTTGGAACGGCGACGACGCTGCCCGCATCTTTCAGAGGGGGCGGTGGCGTCGTGACGGCCTCGCGTACGTTCGGTCAGAGAACGGAGCAGAACCCGTATGTAGCAGAGCTAGCGGCACTGGCAGAAGCGGTCAAGTCTCTCCCAGAGAGACTCGAGTACCGGGCCATCCACGTCTTCACCCGCAACAAAGCGGCAGTGTTGGTGATGCACAACCCGCGGCAGCAGTCAGGCCAACAAGAGATCCGACAACTATATGCCAGCGTGCAAGCTCTGCAGAGACGAGGCAACAGAGTCACTCTCTTCTGGCTTCCATCATCGATAGAGTCAGACCTGGCGCAAGCGGCCAAAGCAGCAGCAAAGGAAAGTACCCAAGTAAACAAGACACCACAAAAACGGCCGGCCAGAGCCTACTCGACGGCACTTAGGATCGCTTTACAGAGCGTGCGACAGAAGCACGGAGCCTTGCCCGACAACGTAGGAGCATATTCGAAGAAGATCGACATAGCCCTGCCGGGAAACCACACACGCAAGCTGTATGACGGACTGGCCTGGAAAGAAGCCAGCATTCTAGCGCAACTACGCACCGGAATGGCAAGGCTGAACTGGTACCTCTACCAGATCGGCGCAACCGCCGCGGCGCTATGCGCTTGCGGGCAATCTGCAGAAACGGTAGAGCATTTTCTCTTTCGATGCACACAGTGGACGGCACAGCGGACTCGGATGCTCCAACAGACGGAAACGCGGAGAGGAAATCTGTCATACTTCCTGGGAGGAAAGCGCGCGTCCGACCCTAAGGATTGGTCGCCAAGCGTAGACGTTGTCAAAGAGACGATCAAGTTCGCCATGAGCACGGAGAGGCTAGATGCACAGATCAGCCAGCAGCGAAACCACACGCAACTAACATCATCAAATTAACCGGAGACACCCCCACGCATCCTCGTGCCATCGACAGCAGGACTAGCTTCGGCCGCCGACGATAGGACGTCGAACACTTTGAGAAACAACTCCGAGATGGCCTGCTACTAACCCCACGAGCAACCGCAGCATCGACATGCAAAACTAAAAAAGACACATACGGAGACGAACAAGACTTGTATGGGCTTCTGGGAGGCAAGGATATGAACGAATGTGGAGAATATGTAGATAATCATGCGAGCCCTAAACAGCTTAGCCGGGGCGTAATAAACTATGTATGAACTCCCTACACAGGTCTCCTTCAGTCAAGCTGTCTCCAATCATGGCTTTCTCAACAAAACAATTCCTGGCTGGGGAGACGGACAGCTAGTTGCTGCCGTGTCCGCTATCGTGGTATCTCGAGCGAACATCTCTTATAATATCACGGGGGTCACGGGTGTGACGAGGGTGTCTTACGAGGATCTCATTTTGCAAGATGGATCTCTCACAGACATTACCTCAAGTGTCTCGGGAGATGGCATACTGTCCTGGAAGCCTGCTAGTTCTCCGAACAACGGATCTGACCACGAGCTGTTCTTTTTCTACGAAAAGTTGTCTCATAACCAGAATGTCCATTTCCTATCGAATACGACAAAAACCATTTGGGGCAATGGCTCGTATGTCGCGGACCATTTCAGCGCCCAAGGAGCTCGGACAGTGCAGGCCTTCTGGGACCAATATCTACTGACCGACGAGCTGAAAGGACTTTTGAGAGAGGTTGGAAATCATGGTATGATGTCTTTTAAACGTAATGGCTGTCTTGCTAGCTGACTTTGGCATGACTCTAGGATGGGAGGATAGCATCGAGATTCATTCAAATATTTCATGGACCCGCTCGCTTCCAACGAAGTTCGAAGGAATGTTCGCATACGACCTGAAGCCATACCTGCCTCTCGTCATGTTCGGCAACAACAACATCAATCTCCAGAGCACCTCCCCAGGAACTACGCGCTGTACTTTGGACCGACCGGATCAGGGACAGGGTTATGTCAACGACTATCGTGAGACTTTGGCAGCGGGTTATCAAGAGTACCTCACCACACTTTCACAGTGGCTTCAGAGTCTGGGAGTCAAAGGACTTTCATCCCAGCCATCTTACAACCTACCCATGGACATGGAAGCTTCGATCCCATTTGTTGACGCTCCGGAGTGTGAAAGCCTTCAGGGGCACGACAACATCGACGGGTATCGGCAATTCTCCGGTCCAGCAAACCTCGCGCGGAGAAAGATCATCTCCATCGAACTTGGCGCGGCTTTCGGAAGAGCATATAGCTACACCATCCCAGAGCTGCTGTTTTCTGCAAACCGTGCCGCTGCAGGTGGTGTGAACCAATTCGTAATTCATGGGCAGTCATACACCGGCAACTATCCACAAACAACATGGCCCGGGTACACAGCATTTATCTTCTACGTCTCAGACCTCTATTCGCCCAAAAGACCAGACTGGAATCACGGCCTTCAAGCAGCCTTGGATTACATGTCGAGGTTGCAACATGTCCAACAACAAGGTGTTCCACGTACCGATATTGCATTCTATAACAAACAGTCTGCTACTGATCCAAACTTTGGAACGGTGTACGCGCCAACAGATTTGATTGCTGAAGGTCTGTGATCCTATGGTCCGAATTGGGTTATGAATCGGCCACTGACATCGCTTAGGTTGGTCTTACACGTACGTTTCGCCGGACAACTTTGATCTTCCCCATGCATACGTTGAAGACGGTATTCTTGCACCTCAAGACGCAGCCTATCAAGCCATTGTCATCCTCGGATCCCAAAACCTAACGCAAATCTCAATTTCCAAGCTAGAGAGCTTCATGAAAGCTGGGCTGCCTATCATCGTGGCCGGCTCAGTCCTGGGGTTGTACCCTTCAGAGACGCAGATCAATCCTGGCCACAATTCTTCAAACAATGCGTTGATTCAGCTTCTGAACAACACGAACGTACATCATGTTGCAGAGGGCGAAATCTCCCAGAAGCTGAACGACTTGAATTTGAAGCCACGAGTTGGGGTGAGAACCAACGGCACGTGGTATTCGACATGGAGAGAAGACGAAGAAAGTGGCATCGCCTACGCCTACATACTTGGTGACTTGGAAGCAGCGACTGGGGAGGTGGTAGTCCAGTCACAGAGCATTCCCTATTTCTTCGATCTCTGGACGGGAGCGCGTCAACCGGTATTCAATTATAGGACCAACGGATCTACGACAATTATCCCGCTTGAACTCGCAGGAAACCAAACAAAGGTCATTGCTTTCGTTGCTGAAGCAGTCCATGGCACTGCGACTCCAGCCACTCATGCTGCCGATGTTTCATCCAACATTGTTGGCTACGCAGCACTGACCGATGGCTTTGCAATACACGTCGCTGCGTCTTCAGATCCGGCACTCGTCAGATTGTCGACTGGCACCGAAAACACTTATGTCAGCCAAGCTCCTGAATCCTTCGAGTTGGGGCCGTGGACTCTGGTTCTTGAGCATTGGGAGGCTCCAGAAAACTTCAGCGATGCAACCATCACAGCTATCAAGAGCAACACGACCCACCAACTCGATGAGCTAGTCTCATGGGTTGATCTTCCCACCGCAACGAACACGTCTGGAGTTGGCTACTACTACACGAATTTCACCTGGCCGCCAGCCTTGACGATCGGCAGTGCTCACGACGCGTCTTTTGGTGCCTACATCAAGTTTCCGCCCGTGTTAGATGCGATCACGGTCTACGTCAATGGCGCCAGATTGCCTCCTCTAGACTTGACCAACCCTATTGCCGATGCCACGCCGTACCTGATGAAAGGAAACAACCAGATTGTCGCCGTTATCCCGGGTACGATGTGGAATTACCTTCGAAGTATCCTACCCGAGATTAGGAGCTCTGGTCGAGAGTTTTCGGCATTCACCGCTCTCCCCAAGACCGACAATGGATTGGTTGGTGTTGTAACGGTTGTGCCTTTTGAGATGTTCCATCTGAAAGCTTAGGCCGCAGTGCTTGGGTAAGGAAATATGTAGCGAACATGCGAGAGCAATGCACAAAGACTTCGATCAGGTGCTAGATGGCCCGAGAAGCGTCAGTCTTTAGTCAACCATTAGATATATGCAGTGATAGGACGAATGTATCTGAGATTCTTTTCGATGTTGGGTGAACAAATCATGCAACAACATCATTTCCTCGTTGTGTCAGAGCTAAGTTATTATATCACGTGGTTGATGCATCTCAAAGCGATTCTCAGGAGTGTTCTTAGTTGCCGTTGTGCAAGATATCCAGACCAAATGTGGTAGATAAATAAATCCCTGCTTAGTTCGTTCCTCTATGAACTCATGCTCTGGGCATATGCACAGCCTGTGACAGGTCATACGACCTGCTGCCAAGGATCTGGTTCGCGTATGGCCTCGCGGTAGAGCCAAGACACCGTGCTGTCTGATCTAGACAGCTTGGGATAACCATGCGTGGAAATATGCAAGGTATTGGAAGTACGGTTACTCCTGGGACGCTGTGCCAGCAAGATCGGCCTCCAGTCAGCTGCTTAAGTAAGTATACCGAGGCTCGTGGCGGAGTTGACCAGAATAACAGCTCACTAGCATTCGGCCAAGAGAGCCCAGGATCGGCACAGCGTTGGGCGAGAATACTATGTTACGAGAAAGTTGCCGTATCCCATTTCTATACGTGGATTCTACCCCGCTTCGACATCCCAGCCAATCAGACTGCCAGCAGTACGTGTGTTTGACTAAGACGTCAATTATCCCAGCCACGACGTTGAGGCCGGTTGCTACCTAGCTCAAGTTCAACATGTATTGTGATGTAGAGGTTCTTGATGGACTTCCGGGAGAACGGAAATCTTGGAAAAGTTCCGGCACGATCCCGTATTCTTCGGGTCAGAAGCGGGGCTGGATAGAACTGCCGGTCCGCTCATCTCAAGATGGTTATAAGGAGTTGAGAAAAAGCCAAGGGATTAGCCAGGTCCGCCAAGTTACGCCACGATATTCTCAGAAGTTTGCTCTCTCAAAATGGCCCTGAAATTGACACAATCTTCTAGGAAACGTTGAGTCTATCGATTTCTTGATTCCACGGTTTATGCATGTCCTCGTAATTCCATTCTATGCTACGTTGATCCTGGGACTGGAACTCTGTACATGCAACTTTGCCTCCAATTGTACGAATACGCGTATGAGATGGCGAACTTTGCGTCGTCGGTACTTCACTCTTGTTCTCTAGTGCTTTATATGGTCATCTCAAAGTGGCGTAGAGTACATAATGGATCTGCTGGCAATGCCGCGCCGTGCTTGAGGTGTGGCTCAGAGATCCAGGCCTCGCTATATCGGGGAAGTTTTGAGCCTGCTACGCCATATCCGCTCCTATGCGAGCAGAGTATATCGCATCGGGAAGGATGTTATGCTTAGGGGCCACAATAAGCTCGGCCTGTTGAATATTGATTTGAACACCATGGGACATGGAGCAAAGACGTTTTGTCAATGCCCCGCAATATTTAAAGCGAAAGCGAGAATACATGTTGAATGCTTTGGACGAGTCGACGTAGCTTGGTCATATAGCTGGACATTCAGGCTACTACTATCGAGAATATGTCTACTTATCTTGTTCGCAGAGATTTGGGAGGAGTAGAAATATAAGGCGTGTTCCCGTTTCAACCAAATCTGTTTCTCCCATCCGAATGCACCAAATTTAATTCCAATTGAGAGATCGAGATGAAGCTTTCTTCTTTATTGGCTTTTTCTAGCCTCTTCTTTCTACCGACCACAAATGCTGTCCTCAGCGAATCTCATGTTAGGTCCCTCAATGTCACTCAAGATCTAGTCAGATGGGATGAACACTCACTCTTCATTCGAGGAGAGCGTATCATCATCCTGTCTGGTGAATTTCACCCCTGGCGTATTCCTTCGCCAGGCCTATGGCTAGACGTGCTACAGAAGATTAAGGCGTTAGGTTACAACGCGGTATCATTCTACGTCAACTGGGCCTTGCTCGAGGGCAAACCAGGTGAGGTACGCATGGACAGTGTGTTTGATCTTCAACCTTTTATCGACGCTGCCGTCGAGGCTGGACTATATCTCATCGCACGGCCTGGACTTTACATCAACTCTGAGCTCTCTGGGGGCGGGTTTCCCGGCTGGTTACAGCGCAACAAAGGAGAATTGAGATCAATGGCTCCGGACTACACCAACGCAACTGAGAGCTATATCTCAAGCGTCCTCCGCGTCATCTCGGCTGCCCAAATAACTAAAGGTGGACCCATCATTCTGGTTCAGCCGGAAAACGAGTACAGTCTAGCGGTCGGAACTGCCAACCCGGTTGAGTCGACCAAGCTGTTGGACCCAAATTACATGGTGTTCATGGAAGACCAATTTCGACGAAATGGCATTGAAGTCCCTTTGATTGGCAATGACGCCGTGCCTCTGGGCAACTGGGCACCTGGAACCGGGAAAGGAGAGTTGGACATCTACGCGCATGATGCTTATCCTTTCTACAGAGGATGTAAGTACTCCAATGACCGCACCAGTCATATTTTCTGATTGTATGTGTATCTAGGCGATAATCCCACGGACTGGAATGATCTCACTCCGCTGAGCCTGACGTATACGTACCAGAATCATCTGCAGCAGAGCCCAAGCAGCCCTTACGCCGTATTGGAGTATCAGGGAGGTGCTCCCGATCCATGGTAGGTCCATGCTATAATATAGTACCTCCCGTCAATATTTGTGCTGACTGGTTCAAGGGGAGGCGCTGGTCTGGACAAGTGCGCTGCGAAGATCAATCAGGACTTCACCCGCGTTTTCGTGAAAGAGCTCGTGTCGCGCTCCGTCAAGATACTCAACCTCTACATGGTATGTTTTCCCCCTTTCTTATATGAGCTCATTACCAACTTGGTGAACAGACGTACGGCGGGACAAACTGGGGCAACATGGGTCACTCAGAGGGCTACACGTCCTACGATCACGGTGCATCTATCAGAGAAAACCGTGGGATCGACCGGGAGAAATATAGCGAGGCCAAGATTGAAGCACATTTCCTGCGTGCTTCCGAGGCCTATCTCACAGCCATCCCCCAAAACGCCACGTCGACCGATTTTGTCAGCACCCCAAACCTACGCGTCGTCCCCATCGTAGGGGACAAGACTCGTTTCTACGTGGTGCGCCATACCGATTACACCTCCCTCAACCGCACGTCCTACAAACTCAATGTGCCGACGTCTGCCGGCAATATCTCTATCCCTTTGCTGGGCGGAGATTTGTCTATACATGGGCGAGACTCCAAGATCCACGTCACGGATCACGATGTTGGTGGCACTAAATTGATCTACTCGTCGGCGGAGATATTCACCTGGAAAACCTACGGAGGCAAAACATTGCTCATCTTGTATGGAGGTGATGGCGAAGAGCACGAGTTCGCTGTGCCATCTTCCCTCGGAAAGCCGCATTTCGAAGGCAGCAACGCCACGACGCGCACTTTCGGCAGCTTCAGAGCTATTCACTGGCTGGTTCAAGAGGAAAGACAGGTTGTACATTTCGAGAACGTCGAGATTCACCTCTTGTGGCGCAACGACGCCTACCGACATTGGGTCCTCGACCTTCCCGATGCTGACGATGGATTGATCAAGCCCACTCTAGGGAAGTCGTCAATCATCGCCAAGGGACCTTATCTACTGCGGAATGCAACTTTTGCCGATCGTGTTCTCCATTTGACGGGAGACATCAACGCTACTACAACTCTTGAAATCCTGGGCGGGGTCCCTCCGAACACCTCAATTAGCTTCAATGGCCGCTCCCTTCCGAACGCCCAGTGGAAGTATGGCAGACTCCAAGCTGAGCTCGTCTTCGAGAGTTCGGCCTTCAACCTCCCGGTCTTCTCCAAATTAGAATGGCGTTCACTCGATTCACTCCCAGAGGTCTCCAACAGCTACGACGATTCCGCCTGGACCGAAGCAACGCTAGAGCAAAGCAACAACCCTCGCAATTTGACAACACCAACATCGCTCTACTGCAGTGATTATGGGTTCCATGGCGGCTCACTCATCTACCGAGGCCACTTCACTGCGACTGGTAACGAGTCTTTCTTCAACGTGACAACAGCAGGCGGGTTTGCTTACAGCCACTCTGTCTGGGTCAACGAGACTTTCCTTGGGTCCTTTGCCGGAGATTCTCATACTGCCAACTCAACGCAAGTCTTTGATCTGACCAGTCTGAAACTCGTTGGTCCTTCAGTCTTCACCGTCGTCGTTGACCATATGGGGATGAGCATGAACTTCTGGGCGCGGTCCGACTGGATGAAGCTCCCACGCGGTATTGTTGACTTTTCACTTGGTGGTCATCAGCAGTCCGACGTGAAATGGAAGCTCACCGGGAATTTTGGAGCCGAAAGCTACATTGACAAGACGCGTGGTCCATTAAATGAAGGTGCATTCTATGCCGAACGACAAGGCTATCATCTTCCAGGGGCTCCCTCGTCTGACTGGGCTTCGGTAACACCATATGAAGGCACCAAGACAGCTGGTGTGGCCTTTTATAAGACGGAGTTCCCCTTGTATATGCCAATCGGCTACGACATCCCTTTGAGTTTTGTCATCTCGAATGTGACGGCTTCGAGTGGAGAGCCGAGCCTCTTCCGTGCGCAGCTTTTCGTCAACGGGTATCAATTTGGCAAATACGGTGAGTGAGAGTCTTGATGCTGTCCGCTTTTGATATCATTGCCATAAATCTAATGCCCATGCAGTCAACTACCTTGGCCCGCAAACGCGCTTCCCTGTTCCAGAGGGCATTCTCAACTACAACGGCAACAACACCGTAGCACTCACTCTTTGGGCTTTGGATAGATCGGGCGCACATCTCGAAGGATTTGAGTTGGCAGCGGACCATATCGTCCAGTCAGGCTACCGAAAGCCTGGGCAGACAACTCAGCCGTCGTGGGTAGAGAGAATTCGGGCGTACTAGAGAGATCTTCTTTGGAGAGCGCCAACTTTTCATTTCAGTGTATATTATTTCCGTCCTCTATCAGCCTGTCATCGCGGTCTCTGGAGTAATATCCTTCGATAGGGCAGTGTTGGAGAGTTCAATTAGCATCTCGGCTTCTTCGGAAATCTTCAAATGAGGCACAGAACTTATGTCGCGAAATAAATCGTGGCCATCAACTGCTATGGAAATGATCGACGGGCTGAAAGCAGGTGCATTTGGTGTCGAGGCGCAGCCGTTGTCAACCGCACACATTCAAGACACCAACCGGCTCCGGGGAACGGACGTAAAACAGGGCGACCGAATCTGCCTTGCGCGCCCTTTCAGGGCATGTCAATCAATTCACGCATGACCTCGAACCTCCTCTCTCGGGCGGTGTGCATACCATCGGCCTCTGGAGCGCTAAACCAGATTCTCTTACCGCAGCCTCGGCCCTGTGGCATTGAGTGCTGCGACTAGGTAAATCCGGGCTTGGCGGCGCGGAATATGCGCCGCTGTCAAGGTTCACAAGCGACTTGGCAGGCAGTTCCTAAGATGTTATGCGTGACCCTTGCATTTCAGCTCTTGATGAAAGATAAATGCCCGACTATCGTCCATGTCCCATCAACGACGTCTGATGAAGCCCGGCGAACCCTATTAACAAACAGAACTGCAATATGCCGCCCGTATTTGAAGACCCTTGGCCAAAGGAGAGAGTCAACAATTCACTTCAACTTGCCGCAGCAGTAAGTGACCTTCAGTTTTCAAGGGATGGTCTGATCTTGACGACTGTGTAGAACCATATCCAGCTCATTGAGATTTTCCTGAAACTCATACCGCACTTCAAACATGATAATGCTGGCGGTATTCACGATGAAGCTCTAGCTTATTCAGAGTGGCGCTATGTGAATTACATCCGCTACCTGCGCAGAACTGGTGTTGCGCCGCATGACTATCCACCCCCTTGGTAAGTTCCCATTTTTAAACTCAATTCAACGTGTTGACTGAGATTACTCGGTAGGGATGTTGCCATCATATGGTACTGCCATCTCCTATCGCCAGGCAAATTCCACCGGTATCTTTGGGATGGAGGGTATCGCGACTACGGCTTAAACCATCATCACTTCCCAGTGAAGCGCCTACTAGACCTCTATAACTCTGGCACATGGTCCGACAAAAAGGCCCAGAAGAAATGGGGGCTCTATAATATGAGAGATGACAGTCACAAGCTGCCTTTCCAACTGTGGCGGTACCCGCCATGGCAACCCGAGCGAAAGTCGAAGCTGCTGTCACGTTTTTCGAACAAGCAACCGTGTATGCATATCAAAGCTGACCCGGCGATCATGATGCACGATGTTGACCAGCTAGCCTATTGTACCATTATGGGGAAGAGAGAATGGAAATTGTCCGAGTGGACGGATTTGAGGATCGGGAAGAGACAAGACGTCTGTCTCAAGCACAACCTACACAGCCGGGACGGAGAATTGTGTCAGTTGACACCCTGGCCCACTCTCGACGACCTGCGAGAGACCTTGAACAGTCAGATTCCATTTTGGAAGACGGTCATTCAAGCAAAAGAGGGCGATGCTTCGTTTGCCGCGAGTCTCGGCCGCTCAATTGGCGATTACGAACAGTTCATCAAGTTGCTTGGAAGGCCTGCCGCAGGAACCTTCACCTCACGCCCAGTGGAATACGACATGGACACAATCTTTCGGTCCAAGTCAGGAACCCACCTGTTGAGAAGCCACTGCATTGTACCCCCAACCTTAGCTATCGATCTTCTTTGGCATACACATCGGCTTTACCCAGGCTCTTACTGGGTGTGGAGCTTTAGCGTCGCCAGGAGGCTCATTGACTATGAGCATGTCACGTCGGCCGCTGCAGCACAACTATTTTTGCACGACACGAGGAACGAATGGGCGAAGAATTATAGCAAGGACTGTCCCAAAGATCCCGTCATGGATAATTTGGGAGGAGACGGCTACGTTCCCGATGCGGCAGCTGTTCAACCTGGTCATCCTGCCAAAATCAAGGCAAAGTTCGTGCTCGGTGGTACTAATCCTATCAGGAAGAGAAAGAGACGCACAAAGGGCGAGTATTTCGTCTTCGACGGAGTCTATGTCTCTTTCGATAGTGGTGATTGCGGTGGAGGGGATGGTGGCGGCGGTGGCGGCGGCGGCGGCGGGGACGGAGGATGCGGCGGTGACGGCGGTGGTGGAGGAGGTGGAGGTGGCGATGGAGGATAATAGCATTGATGAAATGGGATTTGCACATTTTGAGGCAGCTGCTATTTGAGATGTGACATTATCATTATTATGATGCAGTTCTAGATGCAGTTCTAGCTGATCGCAGTATGGGCGCTGTTAATCTCAAGCCAGGATATGTTTGCTGAAGAAGTCCATGATATACGAAGACGCATTGTAGGATGCCGGACCATCTCCGTGCTCCTTGTTGTCGGCATTCACCCCAGTGTACGGCCAGCTATGATCAACATCGTGCTCGTAGACGTGGGTGACGAGACCCTTCATATCACCTGATCCCCAGCGATACATCTGTGCACGAGAGGTGATATTCTTCTCGCACGCCTTTTCGTCGAGGCCATCACGAACAGCCCATTCAGTTACCCAGTGAAAGACATCAGGCAAGCAAGCGCCGCGGCGGCTAGGATTGCCTTGGTAGGGAATAGTTCCATCGATTCCACCGTGAAACTCAATGAGAGGTATGTTGGACCTTCCGGGGTTGCACGGGATATCGACGGTCTTGGGATTGCAACCCTCTGCACCCTCGATGTAATAAGAGCCAGAGACGGGCGCAAAAGCAGCAAAGCGCGTTGAGAGTTCTTTGTGGCAGGCAGCATAGTTGACAAAGCCGCCGCCGTTGGATTTGCCGGTCATGAAAACACGGTTCGTATCGATGCAATATGTCTTCTCGAGGTCGTCCAATACATTGCTGGTGTACTCAATGTCATTTCTCTTGGTGATATTAGGAGTGCCTTCCCATCGTTCCTTGAAAACCATGTCAGATGCTTTCGTGAGCTTCTCCAACAAAAGTTGCTTACCTCGTATCCGCGTAGATAGACAACGATGTGATCAGTATTGAAGTATGGCGTTTCCAGGCGGTCGAGATCTCGCTGAGACTCTGGTGTTCTAGTTCCACCGTGGTAGGAGAATATGATCGGGTTATTGGACTTCGTGGAGTATTTCGGTGGTAAGAACAGGAGATAGTCTCGGGATCTTCCTTCTTTGTCGGTGTAAGGAATTTTGTACTCGTTCCCAGGTGCACGCCCCTGTGGTAGGGTCTTGGTGCATTGAGCAGATGCGGTCTCACTCCTTGCTGGTGTCGTCAAAGCTGTCGCAACAGATGCCGACGCGCTGAGGGCCAGCGTCAGAAAGCGTGAAGAAACCATGATGAAGTCTGTCCTGAAAGATGGACCGATATCGAACTGGAAGGCGGAAGAAGAAACCTTACTTCGTAGACAGACACCCAAATTAGGATAACCCGTGATTCGTCGTGAGAACCTCTACGAAATATATCCGCAATCGCGGATCACAGCAGCCGGAGTAGGATCAGCGCTACCCGGGCCTAATTCTCACTAAAGCCTCCCGGGTCTCACGATGTGCCGACAGAAATTACGAGAACACGGGGTGATCGTCGCCAGGCGTAAGCACGTTTCCCTAAAGGATCGCTAGGCACCGGCTTAACTCCCCTAGGAGACACTCCCAAATTGGAGAATGATTCCTCTGCAGGGCACATGGTCGCGCGTTTGCTGGGCTTGTCCACCGGAGAAAACCTCAGCCCCCCGGGATTTGACCGCGAAGGATGCAGAAGAAACCTTATTATTCCCCGCCCGCACGCGATTCGGATCTCAAATCAACGGACGAACTCGGGAATACGGCATACTTCCATAAAGCCACACTCTACGGTTGATGGACACTGGGTTTAATTACGCTCCTACCGTATTCATGTAGTCCCGCGTTGTCAGCATGCTGAGCAGGTCGGGTAATGACGGAACAACTGCTACGTTCACCTCAGAAATCTTTCCGACTGATCACACTGGAATTGGTCTATTCATTTATGGTCGTTTGAAAAAGCCATTGTTCGTTGCTTGAATAGGTATGACGTCTGGTTCTCAGTGACCTGAATTGGCCTGCGCGTTTCGGCTCTATATCTTCACAGGGACCAAGCCGCTCTGCCAGCGCAAGTCCAAACACACAAAGAAGGAGAAGCAGTTGCTCCGTACGCAATTGACGCTTTATTTTGTTTCAGTAATACACTAGAAGATTTTCAAATGCTTATGGATCCACCGACGATTTTAATCATCTAAACACATTCGGGCACATATCGGGAACATAAGCTTAATTCGGACGAATTGCCAAATGCCGGGTCACTTTTACCGGATTCAGCGTCTGTACCTGGAAAAAAAAAAAAAAAAAAAAAAAAAACGCTCCGCAACGCCAATTCAGCCCAGAAATGCGCGGAGTTGAGCAATTGACAAAGGTCCATTGTCAAATTTACTACAAGGTGATGGACATATAAATATCTGGTGATGTTTAAGCTTTTTGAATTAATTAATTCAAACTCTACTCGAGCAGCCAACCCAGCATTAAATATTTCTCAACTCGACGGCAGAGACCGACGCGACTGATCATGGGTGACACCATGAAAGCTTGGCAATATTCTGTCATCGACGGCAAGCTCGAGGATTCTCTTGTTCTCAACAAATCAGCGCCCATGCCAAGCTCCTCAGCTTTGGGTAAAGATGAGCTCCTTGTCGAAGTCATCAGCGCATCGCTCAACCCAGCAGATTACAAAGTCCCCGAGTCAACTCTCATCGGACGTCTCATGGTCGCACGCCCCGCTACGCCTGCCATGGACTTCTGCGGCCGCGTTGTAGCCACACATCCCACAAATTCCAGCTTTCAAGTCGGACAACTTGTATTCGGCGGATATGCTGGCGTTGGCCAGAAGGGTACGTTGGCAGAGTACATTGTCATCTCAGGAACTCACTGCACACCCCTCCCGGATGGCATAGACCCTGATCACGGCGCAGCGGTTGGCACGGCAGCGACAACAGCCTGGCAGTCTCTGTTACCGGGTACACTACAACCTGGCGGCAAGGTATTAATCAACGGAGGGAGCGGCGGTACAGGCACTTGGGCTATCCAACTGGCAAAAGCCTTAGGCGTTCAGGTCGTCACGACGTGCTCCACGAAGAACATCGAGCTCTGCCGAGAGCTTGGCGCGGATGAAGTCATTGACTATAAGAAGGATGACATCGTATCAAAGTTGAAAAATCGGGGAAGGACCTTTGATCTCGTCATTGACAACGTGGGCAACAGTCCCGAGCTGTATGACAGCAGCAGCGCTATCTTGAAGCCTGGTGGAACTTTTGTCATGGTGGGTGTCGGAGAAAGTCTCACACTTTCAGGATCGTTCTCAATGTTGAGCAAGATGATATGCCCAAAGATTCTGGGCGGACAGCAATTTTATTTCGTGCGAATGCAGAACAGCACGGACTTCTTCCGACGAATTGGCGGGTTGATGGGCAAGGGAGAGGCCAAGGCGGTGATTGATTCAACGTTCAGGTTCGACCAGGTGCCGGACGCTTATAGGAGGTTACGGGATGGACATGCCAAGGGCAAAATTGTTGTGCAAGTTGCGACTTCCATAGGTAGCAGGAGTTCGAATTGAGTGATCAAATACATCCCAATGTACTTGATGTGTAGGCCCAAGTGGTACTTCCGTCGCGGGGTAACAACTACCTATGCTCAGTCGATTTGAAGATTCGAGTGAATTGAGCTTCGATGTCTCCGCATTGTTTGCGTATTTTGCAGTCCATAAAAGTGCCCATGGCTCTATTCCACCCCTCGGATCTTGAAATAACACTCGATCGTGTTCACTCAAACACTTCGGTCCGTAATTTTAGCACTGCTCTTCTCTCTTCTCCGCTGTCCGGACTCATCTTCAATAACCTCTATTTGGGCCAAGCTCTTACAATGCCACCCCGGGTGCCCGCATCGGACAAGGAAAATCTCCTTCTGAGAATGGAGTTGCCCGGTACTCCAATTACCGGCATCACGCATGGGCATGCAAATTACCTTCGGTAGAGATGCCTTCTAGAATTATTCGAAAGGAGCCGAATATGGGGTTTCCGCCACACCTACTTAGAGTAGGCACTGCGACCCACCGTCGAATCCGAGGACATCCGCGCAAAGTCCCATCTAAGCCCGGCGTGTGTCGGTCGGTATCCGGGTCCGGGGTGCGGCGAGTGACTCAGGCCGTCCGCGGAATGTCAGCATCCAATCACAAGGCGCTCTGTCCGAGGTCTTTTCAAAGTCCCAAATCCGACAGCAAGGAGCTAGAATTAGAGGCTAGTTGTTCGAGGGCTATCTTACGACCTTGGCGAGTTGCTGAGCCTCGATTCTGGAGATCATCATCTTCTCAGGGGGGATGAGGGTTTGGGTTTGCAGAGTCTCACTATCATAAAAGACTTATAAAAACCATCTTCGGTCACCAATGCCCATAACAGAAATAATGTTCGACACACTCAGCAATCACATCACGTCTCACCTCAAATCGCGATTCGCCTGGTCATCACGAGCTTTGCAAGCTCAAATCCCCATCGCGATGTCTCTGTCCCTCGCTCAGAACTGTGTCCCGAGCACCTTCAGCCCAGTCCTCTACGGAGCTGAGATCCTGTCTCTCGAGGCGAACCTCGTCACCAACTACAGCGCCTCCGTCCCTTCGGCATTCCGATACACCTCTCCAGCCGTCGAACTGAAGAACGCGACTTTTTGTAATGTGACCATCAAGTATACGCACCCGGGCCAGAACGACAACCTCGTCACAGAGGCATGGCTTCCGGAAAACTGGAACGAAAGGTTCATGGCTGTGGGCGGAGGAGGCTGGGTCGCCGGCCGCTTCTTCTTGAGCTACAACGCAATGAACGGCGCCATTGCGGACGGTTTTGCGACCATCACGACAGATGCTGGTCTTGGGTCTGCGAATGAGCCTAGTCCGTGGGCGATGAACAGCCCTGGCAACGTCAATCTGTACAATCTCCAGAATCTTGCATCTGTTTCCCTCAAAGACGAGGTAATTACCAGCCATTTCCAACCCGATGCGCCGAAGAGCTTCCAAGGGCCCCGAGACCATTCACTAATCACAACTCCTCCAGGCAATTATCGGCAAGTCTTTGATCAAGAGCTACTACAGCCAGGATCCCCAGTACTCCTACTGGGCCGGCTGCTCCCAGGGTGGACGACAAGGCCTCATGCTCGCCCAGCGCTACCCCGACATCTACGACGGCATTGTAGCGGGCGCCCCGGCAATCAACTGGAACAAGCTGGTGAGCTTCGTCTACTGGCCCCACCAAGTCATGAACGAGCTCGGCGCGTTCCCTTACCCCTGCGAATTCGACGCCATCGTAAACACAGCAACCTCCGAGTGCGATCCCCTTGACGGGGTTACGGATGGAATCATCTCCGACATTGAAGCCTGCTTCAAGTCCTTTGACCCTTTCTCCCTCGTCGGCCAGTCCATCACCTGCGCGCAGAAGAACGGAACTCAGCAGATCATCTCAGAGGCCGCCGCGACGGTTGTGAACGCTACGTGGCACGGCCATGTCACCACGGATGGCAAGCGGCCGTATCACGGTATCCTGCCCGGAGCTGACTTTACGGGTAACAAGCCGACATCCAACGGCCAGCCGGGTATCGTGATGACGACTTGTAATGAAAGGGGCTGCGTCGATGAGCCTTCTAACCTCGGCACCGCGTGGCTCAAGCTCTTCGTCGCCAAGAACGAGACCTTTGACTTGGCAACTATGAGTCGCGAGGATTATGATGCGCTCGTGTACTCTGGTCGCCAGCAATATGAGTCTATGGTCGAGACTGCCGAACCTGATTTGAGGCAGTTCAAGGCAGCCGGGGGCAAGATGGTGACTTTCCACGGTTTGGTACGCATATATCCCCCCGAAGTCTGTACTAGGCAGTAGCAAGCTAACATCCCGTCCACAGGCTGACAACATCATCCCGCCCGGTGGAACCGAAGACTACTACAAGGCAGTCAACGAAGTCATTCCTGATATCCAGAATTTCTACCGTTATTTCGAGGCTCCTGGCTTGGGCCACTGCTTCGGCGGTGTGAGTGGCACCCCGACTGGCCTCTTTGAGCAGCTGCGCGACTGGGTCGAGAACGGCACCGCGCCCGACCAGACACCCATCCAGGTTTCTGTCGGAAATGCGACGCACAATCGGATTCTTTGCCCGTACCCTCAGAAATCGATCTTTAGCGATGGCTGTGGGGATGCATCCAAGGCTGAGTGCTGGTCTTGCTCTGAGAGTCCCGTGAAATCTAACACCACTAAGAGGGCTGCGCCAATGTTCCACGGGCTCTAATGGTGCCGTTTTAATGGTGGTGCGGGTTCTACTTGTCACAACCGGTCTTCATTTGCGCTTACCACGAGGTCTCTCTTCGCGAAATCTCAAACGCGATGGAACTTACTTTTAACTTCTTCTATGTACATTATATATTTTACATGCATACCTCGTAGCCTACAATGTTGAACTTTTCAGTCATCAACCCACTCAGCTTCGCACATCATCATTTGCTAACTTTTATGCTGTGTCCATCATCTCGCCTTGCTTCAACATGTCATTCGGCCATTCAAGCCATTCTTTCCAGTACGTCCCAAGGTGATCTGAAGTTGCCTTAATGAGGAACTCTCCAGAGCCGCCCACAGCCCAGTAGTCTTTTGCCCAATGCAGTAGCACGGCATAGTAAGACAACAGGACCAGAGCCTCTGGACGTCTTTGTTGCAGGAGTCTGATGTACTCCTGCGACACTCGAACGGGCCATTCCTGGATGACGATGAGCCTGCGACTTTCCTCCGAACGTACAGAATCGAAAAGATACTGCAGGATCTTTACAACATCTATGTAAACATCCCTCGTTTGTTCATTCATCTCATTCTCAGTCAGCCGCTGGAGCAAGCTATCACACTCGTTGCCTCGAAGGACTTGAGTGCCATTCTCCATAGAGTATGCCGGGTTATGTGGAAGAACCTTCTGCATATGGCCATGAAACTTGCCCATGGCTTCTGCAACAATGCCACGGATTCCATGATGAAGTGTCAGGCACTGAACGAGCTTGTCAAGCACGGTAGGTATCGAGGTTGCTGCGGCGAAGGCTTCAAACAAGGTTTGTTGACCAAGCAGAAGACTGAAACAGAAGAGAGCCATCACGTTGTCTTCGTTGACTTGGAATCCGCTGAAATCCAGGTGACCTATAGCCCTCGTCTGTAGGCCCGTTGCTTGAGTGAGGTACAGTGCCTTTGTTTCTTCGTTGATGGTGACTGTGCTCTTGTAGGCCGCGGTGAAGGCCAAGACTTGGTCCATCAAATATGGCGCCTTCAACGCTTCAGCATACGTCAGACACATGATTGGCCCCATTTCCGACTGCAGAGCAACGAGGACATCCGTGAGTGCTCCCTTGAAGAAGAGGAGTAGATCGAAGTGGAACAAACTGAAGCGTTCGGAGAAGAAATCATCAGACAGCTCTGATAGATTCAATGAGGTAGTCGCGCCAGGAGGATCTGGTACTGCTGAGGGCGGTTGTAATTGTCGACTGGAGGAAACCGAGGATTGGGGGCTCGGAGCTTGAGGTGTGGACAGGTGTGCCGGTGTTTGTGCTGGTGGCGTCGGCAGACTGCTAACTAGATCTCGATAAGAACAATTTCTTCCCGCGGTCTTGCATCTAATGCAAATCGGCTGTGACTCATCACACTTGACTTTTCGCTCTTTGCATTCTTTACATCCCAGGCGGGACTTTTTGTGCTTTGGCATTGTGGATATAAGACTGGTTCGGATCTGAATAAAGCAGATGGTCGGATTGCGATGTCGTGCGATTATGAGACCCGGGAGCGAGTGAACGACCGCTCACAAGAAAACAGAGAAAAAACAAAGTTTCGCAGGTTGCGTTTCCGAGCCTCAGATCGGAAAGCGAAGAGAATGTATGGGCAAGATGGGCATTGGAGACATAAGAGGCGAGTTGAAGAGGGCACGATGTCGGGTATGGCATCGTATTGGCGTATTGCGTTGTGATGTGTGAGACTCAGACCAATCGCATTCATCTCTGTCCGACCTGTTATCCACATCGAAATGGCCGCTAGTCAGCTTTATGCTTCACATCCCTCCAAGCTTGACCATGGACGGCTCAACTCGTGTCGGGTTATGAAGAAAGTAGGAACGGTAATATCCCGAGACCGAGTACCAATAGCGTGGAAGCCTCAGGGGCAATTCGAGCCGTGTTGGAGGCACCCTCACGTTGAATTTTCTGCTCTTCGTGTGAAGTGAAATATTCGAAGTGAGTGAGTACACTAAGGAGTGAGAGGCCATGAGAGTGAGAACAAGAGAATGAGGTGCTTCAAGGTCTGTGCACCGTCGAGCACAACTAGTACGATATTAGACTAGCGCTGGAAGGAAACCCCACCAACCGGTGTTCAGCCGAGTGGCCCCGCCTCTCCGCGCCGCGTCCCGCAGCCTTGCAGCTCGCAGGAAAATTTCTTGACCAGAGCTTCTGCAGTAGGCGGGCGCAAAAACTCCACCTGCATTGTACGGACGATGAGAACGTCCGCCACCTCAATTGGAACATGGCGACCGATGATGCTCCTCAACCGGCCGGCGGTGCTCCCGCGAGGCGGCCTGCTGACCTCCCAACTGGCGACAAACCGTCAATTTCATCAGAGTTCCGCGCAGATGGCTCGGCCCAGCCCGGTGCTGCAGTGGAAAAATCACAGGAGGGCCGACGCGGCGACAGGCGCGACGACAACAGGCGAGGCGGCAAGTCGCGCGGGCCGAAGCGGAAACACGACGTCGGCCGGTCGGCGTGGAGGTAAGCTCTGTTCTTATCCATTGACTTGTTATTTGTGTTTGCAACTCGCGCCAACGATGTCTAACCAGGGAATAGCCGTGAGGCCACCGACAAGCGCGGACGCAATGCCGAGTACCAGGAATTCAAGCGCAGAAAGGTAGACAAGGATGGCAACCCTGAGACCACCGAAAATCCTTTCACCGCCGAAGAGATCGCAGCCGAGGGACGCAAGCCGAAGCGAAAGGTCGCCGTCATGGTCGGATACTCGGGCACGGGCTACAAGGGCATGCAGATCAACAATGAAGAGAAGACAATCGAGGGAGATTTGTTCAAGGCCTTTGTTGCCGCAGGCGCCATCTCAAAGGCCAATGCCGACGACCACAAGAAGTCGAGTCTTGTCCGATGTGCAAGGACCGACAAGGGCGTCCACGCCGCTGGCAATGTCATCAGCTTGAAGCTCATTATCGAAGACGAGGACATTGTCGAGAAGATCAACGCCGCCCTGCCCGATCAGATCCGTGTCTGGGGTATCCAGCGTACCAACAATTCCTTCAGCTGCTACCAGACCTGCGACTCGAGATGGTACGAGTACCTCATGCCGACATACTGCCTACTGCCGCCTCATCCCGACAGCTGGCTGTGGAAGCAGCTAGTCGAGGCAGCGAAGGAGAAGGGCTACTACGAGGAGTTCCAAAAGAAGCTTGCCGACGTTGAGGGATACTGGCGAAAGGTTGACGAGGAGGACATCAAGCCGATTCTCGACAAACTCGATCCCGAGACCAAGGCCAAGGTGATGGAGAGAATTCACGCCGATGAGGATGCGAGCGCACAGGCAGACGAGTCCAAGCCTGTCCCCGAGACAAAGACCGAAGAGACACCAGCCGAGCCCGCCCCTACCGAGGAGAACAAGACCCCGGCAGAGGTTCCCGAGGGAAGCGTCAAGCCCAGAAACCGCGACCTCACCCCCCTCGACTTTGCCCTGCGCGACATCAAGGCCGCTTACATTGCCGCCAAGAGACGTTACCGTGTTACCCCCGAGCGCCTCGCTCAGCTCCAGGAGGCCCTGAACATGTACTGCGGCACAATCAACTTCCACAACTACACCGTCCAGAAGAGCTTCAAGGACCCGTCAGCCAAGCGCCACATCAAGTCCTTCAAGGTCAACATGCAGCCGATCCAGATTCGCGACACCGAATGGGTCTCCACCAAGGTCCACGGCCAGAGTTTCATGATGCACCAGATTCGCAAGATGGTCGGAATGGCTTCCCTCGTCGTCCGTTGCGCCACCCCACTGGAGCGCATCAAGGAGAGTTACGGCCCCACGAGGATCGCGATCCCCAAGGCTCCTGGTCTGGGTCTTCTTTTGGAGCGACCCGTGTTCGACGCCTACAATAAGCGTGCGGCGGATAACTTTGGCAAGGAGACAATTGACTTCACAAAGTACGACGAGAAGTTGCAGGCCTTCAAGGATAAGCAGATTTACCAGCGCATCTTTGAGGTTGAAGAGCAGGAGAACACGTTTGTGGTCCCCTATTCTTTCTATGCAACACATTCACTGACCTTGCATCTAGCTTCCACATTTTCTTCCAGCAGGTGGATAACTTCAAGTCCGACTACTTCCTGTGGCTCACGGCTGGCGGCATCGAGGCTGGTGGGGTTCGAACCGGAAAGGAAGAGAAGGGGAGCAAGACCCTCGAGTCGGCCCTTGGTGACGAAGACGAGAACCCTGTCAACGGTGACGGTTAAGTCAGCCACATCAGGAGATAGAGTCGCTGGATGTGGAGGATCAGAGCGGACAGCGCAGCGGTGACTGCCAATAGAAAATGATGCAATAGAATCAAAAAAGCATAAAGTTCCTTTTCCGTCCTCTGTATACGGGTATCAGCGTCGCGTGCTCAGAGACACGTTGTCCTCGTCTCAAGAACCCCAAGCCCAAACGCCAAAGCATGCAAATCGTAGTTTTCGCCTCTCTTCACCCAACTTCCCGAGTAAATCCTCGATCCCGTGCCTACGCAGCACCACCAGCCCCATTCGGCGCTGTAGGAGCAGCGGGCGGGGGAGCGGCAACAGCAGGGCCACCCTCTCCGGATGAACCATCCGCGCGCCCCATTGGCACCCACTTGCCCTCCGCCGCAGCTGCAAGGCCAGCGAACCGTGTCTCCTGGATGGCGTTCAGGAGTTCCGCGCACCGGACCACGTCGGCCTGGAGCTTGTCCGCCTGGATTCGCGCGTCGCCTTCTCCCTGGCCCAGCTTGCCGAACAGCCAGAGCTCTTTGAGGCGGCGGCTGAGGGCGAGGAGGTCTTTGATTGATGTGTGCTGCGGGGTCCTAGTTAGCCGCCGTGTTTGTTTTCACTCGTAGAGACAGGCGTAGTCAGGGCATTGTGTCTGGTGCTCTGAAATCACGAGAGGTCGGGGGTAAAGTGATGGGTAGTGGCCTACCAGTCCTTCGAATTCCATTTGCATCGACATGCCCGTCACAGCGATCGTCTGAGGCTCAACGTTCTTACGCTCTCCTTCGGCTTGGATCGTCGCGAGCATTGTAAGCATGCGGAAGCGGGAGAGGACGTCGGCAATGAGGCGGTTGTGCGTGTCCAGCAGGTTTGATGAGTCTCGTGAGGTGTCCATGGTGGCGGGGTTGTGTGGTGTTGATATATGTAAGAGGGAGTTTGTGAGGATGGCGGCCCTGGAGGTGAGGTGAGAGGTCAGAGCTCCTGCTGAATCTTGAAGTTCTTGGTGGGGCGGTGTGGTGGGGGTTCCTCGGTGTATGGTGACCTTGCGGTAGCCTTACCGAGGCGCTACACCGAGAACAGCCGGTGAGCAACAATAGATCACTCTTTCGGTGGCGTGAAAAGCAGCCAACAACAAGCATGTACGCTAATACAATGGAATAGACAGAAGATACAATTTCATTGTTAAAGGATTCAATGATAGTTGACAAAATCGATCTAAGCCCAGGTCTAAGGAGCCGTTCCAAACAGTGAGCTTTGGCTGCTGCCAGCGTTCTTTGTCGAACAACACATCGCATATTAACAAGGGCTGCCGGGTAAATTGCACGACCTATCGCATCATTTCATTGAAATATTCTAGAGGTCTTTGTCTCCTGGGTATTTGATTATAGAGCGTAAGAGTTCTTAGGCCAGAATCCCTTCTCATCAACTGACTTCCTACGTATATTTAAGCTCGACTCGAATACAACACTTCAAGCTGAAAACAAACTACTCAGGCGAGCAAGACTTAACCTCAAATGCTCCAAAACTACAACATGACTATCTATACCATCAACCCAAGCGGCCTTTTTCCGGACGCCTATGTCCTCGAGGGTATGCCTGAGCTCGGCGAGGACACTGACGATACCAAGCTGCAGGTCCAAGTTCTTCAGAATAACACGACCTTTTGCGCCTTCCTGTTGGATTTCAATAGAAGTCAACATCCACCCGGGATTCCCCGTCGATTGTTTGTACAGATTCAAAAGTACGAAAAGAATGGATCTCCCCTGGTAACTGCTGCACTCACAAACCTGGCCCGAACCGTCCTTCCTTCGCTGGTTCCGAAGGTCTGGGGTTCTGGATACAGTTGGATGGAAGACGGTACGAAAGTCTCTTATGTCCTCTCTCAATGGTACCCGGATGCCTGTACACTGGAAACAGTGTGGGATGACATGGACGTCGAAAATCGGGGAGAAATAGTCGGGGATTTATTCGAGGCAGTGTCAAAGTTGCGCAGCCTTTCCTTCCAGAAGCTGACCCTTGAGCAATGGCAATGTTTGCGTAACACCCCATTTGAGACAAAGAACACCGAGCTTCCCATTCTCGTAGGTGGTCCGCCTTACGGATATCACCACGACTTTGCGTCCCTATTGCGCCGTAACCTCTGCCCCAGGAACGCCGATTGCGCGGTCAACGAAAAGACCGATGGGACTTTGATCGTGAGCGTACATACTCCCCAAGAGGAATACTTTGGATTCGCTGAAACAGACTTGGATTCACTGACTCAAAGCTCAGTTCTGTGCCACAACGACTTGGAGCCCCACAATCTACTTGTTGAGAAAGTCTCTACCGAGTGCGGCGACGAGTACAAGCTTGTGGCCATACTCAACTGGGACCAAGCAGGCTTCGTTCCTTTCGCCTTTGAGGTTTCTCGAAAAGATTTACATCTAGGCTTGTGGAACTTCAACTGGAGTTGGTACGACATGTACCGGCAACTTGCGGGTCATCAACTTTTCGACACTCCAGGTTGTCCGATTTGGTCAAAGCTGATCCGGTGCCTAATGGCTGTTCATTCTTCCAGCCAGTCCAAGATCGTTGAAGAATGTACTTCGGACGGCACCGCACAGATGCTGTGGCTGGAGAAGGAAGTTCTCACGTTTTCAACACTCGCTGAAGAAGGATGGGTGAAGATGCACTCTTTTGTCACATTTCCATCCACTGACGATCAGGATATTTGGGATTCCTAGGAGTGCCTTGACTCACACCGAGAAGCGCGCGCGAGCATGAAGGCACGAGTTTAGAATGTAAATGTATATAAATTGAATTGGCGAAGCTGTCCTTTTCTACCGCGATGAAGAGTTCACGTGGAGTTTCACATAATCATGGAAATTTGTTCCCCATGTCCCATGTGGTTGCCTGAACGCCGATGTTAACCGAACGATGAATTCATCAGCACACCTGGATACTCTCAAAACTTGTTCAAATGACTTCTTGTACGGTCTTTCGACGTAAAATTGCATGTGATTTGGATTTCAGTTACAGTAGTGTTGATCCTGGAGACGAGTATGTTCTCAAGGGGAGCGGAGAACCGGACGGAGGGACGGAGGGTCGGAGGATCGGACCTTAAGTCCAGGTCCGGTCCGGGATTAGCGCTTACATGTACACCTTCCACATTCACAGGGAGATGAAGACACACGAAGGAATCCGTGACTTCGTCACTACCCCAAAGAGATGAACCCAATTGTTAAAATCTGCGAATTTCGTGGTCCAGTTTCTCATTTTGAACTCCGACTGTTTGCAGTCCTCCAAGAGAGCAAACATGGCATATCCTGCGTTGGCTGCGAGACCTCGTCCCTCGGGTGCACCAGCGGATGTCACATCTCAATCTCAGCCCAGTGCCGGTCGACGTCGAGATAAACCTCAACTTTCCTGCAATAGTTGTCGACGCCGCAAGTAAGTCTGGATATAGTTCTACCACTACCTTGAGCCCTTTCTAATCGCAACCCAGGATTCGATGTGATCGTCAACGTCCCTGCCGAACCTGCTCTTCACGGGGCCAGCAATGTGTCTATCAAGAGACCAACGGCAGTATCCCGCCCCCAAAGGCCAAATCAATTGGCGCCCCCAGCATAACGCTCCAAGACCGTCTAGTCCACCTCGAGCAATTGGTCACAATGTTGGGATCATCGGACAACCGAACAATTCAGATTGGTACGCCTGCAGGATTACCTACGCCAATTGATGATAATTCAGAGACGGGGAGCATGCGGTCAAGTGCTTTAGAGCATCAGTACGTCGGCAGTGACCACTGGTCAGCGATCATGGAGAGTATTGCCGACTTGAAAGACCACTTCGACCGGGAGGAGCAGTCAAAGCTCGCAGAAAGCCCACCAGGAGATGATTGCTTCGATAGCCCAAGCTCATTATCGCAATGTCGGGAGCGGCAGCGCCCCTTGCTTTTGTATGGGTGTAGACCTGTAGCATCGAGAGCAGAGATACTATCCGCACTGCCGCCAAAGAATGCAGTGGACCGTTATATATCGCGGTATTTCAACCGTCTTGACCTTGTCTCTTCATGTAAGTTTTCTAGTGCCTGATTGTGGCCAGTTGTTTGATGACCAGAGTCACCTTTGCTAATGACCAGCAGCGTCTGTCCATGGCCCAACGTTTCTGAAAGAGGTAAGCACAGCGTCTTTATCACTGGCAAGATCAAATAACTGATTGCGGCATCGACGACAGTACGAAGACTTCTGGCGCAGTCCGGACGAAGCATCACCAATGTGGATTGGCCTTCTGTTCAGCATGATATGCTTAGCTGTCATTGCATCAGATCCACCTCCCGATATATCTGAACATTACCATCAACAGTTGCAAATCGCCCTGTATCGTGAAAAACTGGTTCAATGCCTGCTGATGGGAGAGTACACTCAAGGTGGCGACTATGCGCTGGAGACCTTCATGAACTACGTCTACGTCGAGTTTAGGATACATGATGACGCCCAAAAAGATATTTGGTTCTTGCTTGGCCTCGAGGTCAACTTAGCCAAACGCATGGGATACCATAGAGATCCTAAACACTTTCCTGAAATAACTCCGCTAAAGGCAGAGATGAGGCGCCGGGTATGGGCAACTGTGCTACTAGGAGACATCTTGATCTCCGGTCAGATGGGAATGCCCCGCATGGTACGAGATGGCGAGTTCGATACAGCCGAGCCACGAAATTTGAACGATGAAGACCTGAATGGAGAAATGACAAGTCTACCACTACCGAGGCCAGAGACGGAGCATACAACAGCACTTGGGATCATTGCTCGAAGGAGACTTCTGATCGCTCTAGGGACCATCTCTGATCTTACGGCATCCCTGACCACATGCAGTTACGCGGACATGATGCGAGTTGACGGGAACTTAGAGCAGGCATACACCAGCATTCCTCCACCACTCCACATGAAGTCAATGGCATCCAGCGTCACCGACTCTCCCCAAGTAATCATGGCTCGACTATTTCTCCGTCACATGTTTTGCAAGGGAAAAATCATGCTGCATCGCCGATTTCTCTTCGCAAAGTCGACTATAGAGCGTGAAGGCATGTACTCATATTCGAAGACAGCCTGTCTTGATGCGGCTCTCGGAATGTTGCAAATCCAACAAACTCTGAACGAAGAAACCTGTCCCGGCGGCCAGCTTTTCATGATGCACTGGCGGGTAGGCTCGATCATGAATCATCACTTCTTGACAGCCACCATGGTCCTCTGCTCTTTGGTCCACCAGAGAACAACTCTGAGCCGAGAGGACGAGATCGTGTCCGCGTTGAGGACTGCTCGTGGCATATGGATAAGGAAAGCCGAGGACTCGGTTGAGGCGAAGAAGGCGTCGCAAGCAGTCAGTATCGTTCTGGCAAGAGCTGGAGGTTCGAGGTTTGATGCTACCCTCATAGCTGATCGGCCTAGCCAAGTAAGGTCCGACTCTATCACAGTTTCGAAAGATGTGGTTGGGGAAGGCCTTGTGGGAGATCATGCCATGTTTGATGAGCAAATGCTCTTGGTAGAGGCTTTCATGTCAGGTGAAAGCGACAGAGGTAAATACTGACCTGAAGCAAAGAAACAACACCACAAGGGCTAATGGCTTTCAGACATGGACTTTTTGTCGCCTTTTACTTACAATAACGACAGCCTACCAATCGAGACACTATGTAGTGAGCAATCTGGAGACTCGACAATGAACGAATGGGTGTTTATGAGTGATCAAGCACAGCATCAGTAAAGTGGTTACATACATGATAGATGATGAAAATAATATGTGGAATCTCGGACGTATACTTGGAATCGCAGAAGCTATGGCATCTCTTTGGTAGGACGACTGAGTCTAGCCAAATTGCGACCTCCCTATTACTCTCCTGCTTGCTGTTCCTTTCCGTTCTGACTGTCCCGGTGTTCTCAACGATGCTCGGAGATCGAAGTGCCTTTGCACCGAAAAATTGTCCAGCCTGCTTTACATGACAGTGCAGAAGGCACAAAGCGCACCAGGGTAGCAGCCGTCGGCAGGCCTAATGCTCTGTCAGAGTCACCTTCCACAAAAATCCAATGATAATGGACTACTTACCAGACACCACAGCAAAAGCCATCGTGGTCAATACAGCCTCCACGCAGATGCATTTGCTCTTGGTTTGGATCGGATTGCTGTTCTCCTGGGGTAGTAGCGGGAGGGACAGGTTGAGTATCCTGAGGGGCCGGAGTATCCTGCGGAGCAGGTTGTTGTTCGTTTTCGCCTGACATTGAGCAAGGCAGGTATCAATTTAGATGAAATGTGAGAGCTTTTTTGTGCTTTACCAGAAACCTTTGTGAGTGGAACATGTCTAAGAGCGAGAAGCAGGGGGAAGATAATCTTACGGGAATGTGAGCTCTTTGAGGCTTTCTCAAGGTGATGTTCTGAATTGAGGGTTTTGGTGAATAGCAAATCACGGTTGAGGTGAATCATGAGGTTCATCAGGAGATTATTTGACTCGGTACATTCACTGTCTGCGAGAAAAAATGACGAAAATGTTTGGAAAGGCCCCCCTCCTTAGGCAATAATATCACTTCCCATGGAAAGTAACAAGGTTGGGCACTTCCTTCCTCTTCAAGTTTCCATACCTTGGTCACATGATGCGCGCATGAAGGCCAAGTTCAGAGGAGGACGGAAGCAACGCGCTTAGGTTCTGCATAGGAAGGTTCGATCAGGTCACTTACAGAATGGAACGCATGAGTGGTCTTAGCCAATATTGGCAGGACCTCACCCTAGGTATAGAAGGAAGGAGCAGCAGGCACCTCGGCCTCCAAGGAAAAGAGTATAGAACTATCATGATCGAGTTTGCTCACAATGATTCAGATTGCAGAATGAAGCGCGATATGAGCGCTTGATTAGAATAAAGGTAACGAATTATTAGAGGTCTCCGGCTAAGTAGGGTCATATTTCAATGTTTCGTAGCGAAGTCTCGTCACGCGTTAGGTCTCGGACCTAACGAAGACTTGAGCAGCCTATCGTTTAGGCCTTTCCGGGGTTGATTGCAACCAAGCGCTTATTTTCATCAAGGATAATTGATGTGCAGGCATTCTTCGCAGCAAATTTGGCTCAATGGTCGGGCATATGGAGTGGGGCCGGGGGCTGTGTTCCAGATCGCGAATCCTTCAATGAATGGTCTGTCAGCTGACGGTCGCATCAGCGCCACGCTCATCGAGCAATAGCACCCGACGTCGCCAAAAGTGACGGATTCCCTTATGATTGCTTCCATCAGAATTAATGTACTTAGAGAACAGTAAACACTTCCGATCGACCTCGCTCCTATCTAAGCGCGCTCAAGCTAGTCACTCTTACTAGCAACGCAAACGATATCTCTACAAGGCGCCGAACATGTCAACTACAACAGATCAGCATAACTCGCCTCAAGAAGGTGCACGTTACCCAACCAAGTATCGCCGAAACATTCCTAGGTCAAAGAATGGCTGCTTAACATGCCGTGCTAGGCGGAAGAAGTGCGACGAACGCAGGCCCTGCTGCACATCTTGCGCGCGTACTGGGCGCGAGTGTACATGGCCTATTCTAGCAGAAGTCACGACTAGAAAAGAAAGCAGAGAGCTCCTTCCAAACCCGGCATCGCCAACAAATGAAAACTCGGAGAGCAATGGGTCTTCCCAGCAGCATACGACGCTACCTAATAGACCTAGAGCTGCCGTTTCGACAACGGCATCTATCCCGGAAGCACTTGAGAACTCATCTTCTTTACGCGCATCTCTCACATTTGGTACTCTTTCAAACTTGAGTAGTAGTTCAAGGCCGCTGTATGATCAATATCTCGACATGACCGCGGACCTACTAGCTCGTGGTCCTAGTGCAGATGGTAATCCGTTTATCAACTATGTTCTACCTTTGGCAGCTTCCGATAGCCTCGTGATGGACTGCGTTCTCGCTATTGGAGGAGCACACATGGCTGTTTTAGAGCCTGATCGGCCGCAGTTGGAAGTCATGACCCGAAGGCATTATGCCCGGCTGCTGGAAGGATTACGAAAAGCGCTCTGTGACGATACGGTGTGTCCATTTGGTGAAAGGGACGAGGATAAGAAGCTCTATACTCTTTTAATTCTTATCATGCTATGCATTTTCGAAGTAAGTCATTTTTTTATTTCTTTCAGCATGTTGCATTCAACTAATCTTGCGCAGGGAGTTCAAGGCGATAATTCAGGGGCTGTCTATCATCATATTCGAGCTAGCCGTCACTATGTGATGGACTTGGCAGCTGACACCTACAAACCATCAGCGTCAAAGAAGACCGAGCATATTCGTGGCTTTCTCCTGGAAATATACGCAATGTTCGCTCTAAAGCTGTCGGTCACGCCGCGGGGCTTGCAAGAGGAGATTCCCGTCACACTGGACCCTTTTCTGGGCTCTCTGGAATTTCTGAGCCGGTACAAGTCGCGAGGATTCATGATTGGTTTCGGACACGGTCTCTTCGCCATGATGCCAGAGATTTCGAATCTTCTTGAAAAGCGCAGGAAGGAAGAATTGAGCGGCTCTACATCCGACGGTTTGCTCAAAAGTTACAAGTCACTCTTGGAGAAGCTAGACTCGTTGGACCCCTCGGCCGATGTTCTGGAAGGCCAAGATGCATGCCCTCGCTACCAGCAATCAACAGCCGTCACCATCTACCGCACCGCTCTGATTCTCATTCTTCATTCTGCCTTCCACGAAGATCTGTATAAGAACGCGGATCTCCTTGCTAAAATCGACTTGCGGATAGACAAGATACTTCCTCTCTGTTGGGCCGTTTATGCTAGCAAGTCACCACTGCGGAGGATGATGCTGTGGCCGGGCTCGATTTTGGCATCTTGTTGTAAGAAAGCAGAGCATATCCATGCTTTCCGACTGGGACTGAACTCGAATCCGCGATCGCCGGGTGGTGTCCGGGAAGCGGCTAAGGCCGTTGAATTGTTGTGGCAGGATGATGATCCGAACGCGTTTGGACCTCGAGGGTTGAACATGGTGATGAAGAAGCATGGTCTTAGTTTCAGCATGTGCTGAATGGACTACGAAGTAAAATAGGTGAATGGTAAATTTTTTAGGCTAGCAAGGTTATACGTTTTGTAAACTTAGACAGCTGGATTCATGCATGCAAGTCCTCCTGTCTTCGTGGAATACCTAGGTGGTCCACAAATGAGTCGTTTATAAGTACATTAGTTCATCTCATGAAGTCTATAAGCATTAATCATAATCATTGTCTGCTAACGAAGAACAGGTGTCGCAAGTCATAAAGGTATCAACGCAAGTCATCCCTCCCACAATCTGATCTCCAGGCTTAGCATCCACCGCCTCCGCCCCCGCCGCCATCACCGCCGCCTCCACCTCCACCACCTCCACCACCCCCGTCGCAACCTCCTCCCCCATGGTGCCCACCTCCTCCGTAGTGTCCCCCTCCTCCGTGGTGCCCGCCTCCTCCGTGGTGTCCTCCACCGCCGCCATCACCGCCCCAGCCGAAGCTCCCGGCACTCGCTCCCATGTAGCCGGCGTTATAATCCCTGGGGTTTCCGTGCACGCGGCTTTGGCGCCAGCCACCCCTGGAATCATTGACGTAGCCCGGCATGGCGCCGTAGTTTGGTATAGCGCCCATGGCTGGTTTTGGTGCGTACTCAGAGCCGCTGTACGTGTGCTTCTTTGATCGGAATGGGATACACATCTTGAGTGTCGATATTTCAGGACCGGAGAGAAGTGTGAGGTTTTGTTTTGGCAGATTGGCTTTTGTGCGGGGATTCCTTTCTGTAGGGAAAACTGCTGTACTTGAAGGCTCAATGTGATGTTTTATCCGGTGTTCCCTCCGAGGTAGATGGAATGATGTCTATTATAAGGTTGATAATGATGATGATGGAAATGGAGATACACAATGACGGAAGGGACCAAGAGCTTAAGTACAAGAGCAGCGAGGCATCGAGTCATGGTAGGGAAAGTGAGCCCCAGGTTTCTTGCCTATCCTGACTGTGTGCCTGCTAGGGGCGAAAGAACAAGCTTCGGTGGAAGCCACGATCGCCGTGAAATCTGCCTTCCAGAAGGCTTCTAGCGGCGCGAAGGATCATGGATTTACCAGGATGAGCTCATTCAGCTCCGAATAAGCGAATCGCAGGGTCCTGATAGCTATCACCTAAATCAGCCTTGCAGAGCGACTTTCTACCGCCTGGGAGACTTACGCAAAGAGGTAAGATGATGTACACTGAATTCCATCATCTGACCGGAGGGGGTGGATTCACGGGGCTATTCCGCGTTGTGGGGCTCTTGCGGATTTCCTGGAGGCAGGGAGCGGGGACGAGCTAGCCGGAGCGGGGCCGGATCGGCGTCGTTGGCGAATGACGTACCTTCTCTGGCATAGCCGAGTACCGGGGCGCAGTGCACATAGCCTGGGCATTCAGCCTGTTCAGCCGCACTCTCAGACAACTGCGTCATGCTTGGATCTGTCAAGCCGGCAATTTAGCCACGTGAGGGTGGGATGATTCGCCTCGCTATAGGACTCACGGCTTTCCGCGGTACGCTTTGCAGGCTGTAGAATCGGAAGTATCACTGGAGTCTGGCTTATCATACACTGCCGTTAGTAGGTATGAGTGATTTTATTAAATTACTATAATAAAGATAAGCATCTATAGTAACATGATGGCTCAAATGTTCGGTGACTTGCTACTCTGTTGCTTCTACTGACTTTCTTGCTCGGGGCATGATCCACTCAACAGTCACGAGATGGGAACACCGTCCCGGTCTCGCTCTATCCTTGATTTCTTAGGCGTACTGGCATCGGACGAGAACTTGTCTTTGATTGACTGGACAATGCTCTCTGCACGAGAGGGACCCTCAACTTCGCGTCGCTGCTCCTTTTCGGCTTTGCGCTCGGCTTTTTTTGCTGCTTTGAAATCAGCGGGGCCGGGCTCAAACGCCGGGCCGGGGCCGTCGTGTGGAGGCCGTTTGTTGCATGCTTCAGTCCCTGCGGTGAAAGGAATACCGGACATGTTGGGGGTGGTATTTCTAGTCAGTGTGATTGAGGTTTGGATGATTCAGTTGCACCTGCCGCTCGCAAAACCATTGACTTCAGATTGACGAGGCGTGATGTTGTTATTATCAAGAATCGTTGGTTCCACGAAATTGGGGCTGAGATGTGACAGAGTGGTCGATTTCCTGGCCCAAACAAGCTGGATAAGGAGAGCCTAGTGCAATTTATATCAATATTTTTAGTGACCCCGAGTCTGCTGTCCCGAGTTTGGTGCTACAGTCTCAAATGTTCATCATTTTTCTGGGCGGATCGGCGTCGTGGCACAAGATCATAGGTGCACCGCCATGTGCACCGCCATGCAAAGCCAAGAACCATCTACGTATCTTTGTGACGAGATCAGAATTCTCTCCCAAGAAAGGTTGTATCACATTGACCCGTGTCTTGAATTCATGCTGTAATAGCCGCAGGGCAATGGAAGCCATCTTTGACCATGAGTCTCAATCAAAATATGTCGTCTTGACACCCTTGAGGACCTCTAGATCATTGACTGAATTGTCGCCATCGGACTGGCTCGTGGTGCCAATGTTTTTGATGATCCTCTCCCTCACCCACTCTCCCGCCTTCACAGGCTTACCGTCACTTCCAAGCACCGCACCCTCAGAGAGGCCAAGCTTCTGTAAAACGGGAGACTCTTTAATCGGAATAAGGTCCGTATCATCCTCTATCCGAACCATGTAAATGACCCCCAGACGATCGATGTGTGCCTGGTCTTTTGGAGGCGCCACGACTCTGTGGATGCTAGATTTCAGGTACCCATCTGTAGTGGTGTCAATGACCGCGGCGTCTGGAAGGTTTAATTCTACAGGTCAACTTACTTGTTAGGAACTGCAATGCATCAGCAATGTTTACTGTCAGCGCATCCGTCTGCGGGCGCACCCACTTCCATGTCCCATCATTTGTGAGAACCTGGAGTGCAGCGACTGGTTGTCGAAAAAGTAAGGTCAAACTGCCCATATCCGAGTGTCTTCGTGCTCTTTGTCAGTATCGAGCACATCTTCTACTCCCCCCAGGGATCGGATCTGGGTCTGATTTTCCTCGGAAAGGCTCTTACCCCTTCAACCAAACACCACCCAGCTTTCGGTTCTCCTCCTCGCTTCTCGCGTAATACTTCATGTATCGGAGATGGTCGCCGCTAGACTGTTCATAAAGATGTTTCTTGACGAACCACTCTTCATCCTCGAGACCGAGTGCCAGTGCAAATATGACAAGAAGTTTCCGGACAATTTCGTCGTTGACGTAGCGGGAGAACCATTCGATTGTCGCCAGGTTCTCTTTGACTACCTCGGGATGCGAGCGCGAGGCATGTTCTGGGATGAACTTTGGGATGTTGTAGATCTCGAAGTTGTCTCGAACGCCTGGGACTAGCTCTCTGGTGCCCGGGGGCTTCCAGCCATTGAAATCACCGGCCTCCAGTGCCGCTCTGTAGGGTGCCTTATCTTCGTCCGACAGACTGAGAACGGATGAAGCTAGAGCATACTGTTGATCGATGGCTTCCCGGCTGAGTCCATGATTGATGACATAAAAGAAGCCTTAAAAATGAGATATTAGCGTCGGTTCATGGCTACAATAATGAAGCACTGATGCACGTGATGTTACGGTACCTATTTGCTCAATCGCTCTCGTGAATTCTATCGCAAGCTCTTGTTTACCCCCAGGCTTGTTAAATTTCGAGAGGTCTAAAGCCACCAGATCTGCCCAGTCTAGCTGCTCCGTTGTCTCGGTAGCTTGAACATAAGGCACATGGACTGGCGCTGTCTCCGAGATCGAGGTTGTCATCTTGAAGGGAGAACGAGATGATTGGTATTTTCGTAGTAGCTTGCCACACCGAGACTGGCCAGTCTTTAGCTGATTTTTTAACAGCGCATAAACTTCAATGAGCAGTAAAACATGTAGTCATTTCTGCAGCAGACACCCCTTCTATTACAATTTTCTGGATCGAGAACGGTTCGTGGCGGTGCGTTTGCGCTGCAAGGGTTTAGGCAAAGTATTGGTAATCCACTATCAATTCCAGATTTCACCATATGAGAGTCTCGATTCTTTGATAACAGAGCAAAGCCGATGTCGGAATACTACAATGAGTCAACAAATACTGAGACTTTCACTATCATGTCAGTAAATGTGCCGTCTAATCTCGATATTGGCCCTTGGCAGAGGATGCATCGCTGTGGGGCCGAGGTATTCGTCAGGAAGGATCCAGATGAGGCAATCTGTTAATGGTGTGTCGAGGCGCTCTCGGGAGATGGCTCCGAAAGGCTCAGGATCTCGAAGTCGCAAGGTTTCCTCTGTTAGTCTTGACTTTTGTTTCGGCATGCGTTGGCTTCCTGTACTTAGGAAACTCTCATTGAGGGTGAGATAAAACAACGGAGTGCATCCAAACTCTTGATACTGACATACTTTCCAGAAGAATCGGAACCCATGGAAATGACAACCGATACCACTGAGAAAAGCCGTCATACGGCTCTTGATGATGGATTTTTCACAGCATCAGGAGCAGACGACAAAAATGCACCTAGTCAGGCAGCCAAACTGGAGGCAATCGGCGAGGAAGGTCTTGCCATTGATCCTGTCATTGAGAAGCGGGTGCTGCGAAAAATCGACCTCTTCTTGATGCCGGCTATGATGATAGGTAATTGCACCAAAGTACCCAATACTCTCAGTAAGAGGTCGGGCAGGATGCTGACATGGCACAATGCGATCAAGGCTACGGCTTGGTTTACTATGATAAGGTGGGAACTCAAGAAGGCTCCATGGAAATTTGAATACGTCTCACAGATACGTACAGGCGATTCTTGGAAGTGCTGCTTTATTCGGAATGACTGGTGACCTGCATCTGTCCGTCGTCGATACCTCTTTCACCCCGCCAAAGACCGACACAACGCGACTAAGTTGGGCAACTTCAATATTCTACTTTGGTCAGTTAATCGGTTCGTATCCAATGACGTATCTACTTCAGTGCTTCAATACTAGATGGACACTCGGACCCGTGGTCATGATTTGGGCAGTCATTTGTGCAGCGACAGCGGGAGTGACGACTTGGCAAGGTCTCCTGGTTCAAAGATTCTTTTTAGGTGAGGAGTCATCACCCCGCGAATGATTCGATAGCGATGGAATGAAGTAAGTAGAAACTGAACTGACGCTAATCCCGTGATATAGGTTTCACGGAGTCTGTCATTCCAACAGCTTTTATGACTATCGTCAGCGGCTATTACACCCAAAGAGAACAAGCACTCCGCCAGAGTTGGTGGTTTTCCGGAACTGGCTGGTTCACCATCATTGGAAGCGCTCTCAACTACGGATTCTCTCAAATACAAGGAGGCGCCTTGACTCCATGGCAGTACATCTATGTACTTGCTGGAGGCTTAACATTCCTGTTTGGCATTTGGTGTTTCTTTCTTCCCAATTCTCCCCTGATCGCCTGGTTTCTCACTGCAGAAGAGCGAGTTGTCGCAGTTGAGAGATTACGCCAGGGACAGACTGGCGTGAAGAATCAGACTATCAAGACTGGCCAGATCAAGGAGGCACTGATGGATGCCAAGGTCTGGCTAGTCGCTTTGACAATGGCTTCGGGGTAATTGGGGTCAAGGGAAATTTCCTTCGAAGACGCACGCTAACTGAGTACAGGTATACGGTCAACGGAGCTGTCTCTGGATTCGGTCCCCTCATTGTGTCAACATTCGGCTACTCAGCTTTGGACAGCATTCTCTTCCAATTTCCCTTGGGTGCAATTTGCGCCATTGGTATCCCGCTCGCTGGCTGGGTTTGCTCTAAGTACCGCAACATCCGGATCCCGGTTCTAATAGGATGCACTCTCCCAGTCGTTGCAGGTTTCATAATCATATGGAAGTCAGACTGGAGCCATCGTTCAGTCGCCCCTGTTGTCGGATACTCATTGATTGGCTTTTTTGGGCCAGTCGTCAGCTTGACGGTCACCCTTGGGGCGAGCAACGTTGCAGGAGAAACTAAGAAAAGCTTTATGGCGTCTGCCGTGTTCGTCGCATACTGCGTTGGAAACATTGTTGGTCCTCAGCTTGTGAAAAGCGAGACCAAAGCCCAGCATTATCCTGAGCTATGGACGGGGTTGATTATTTGGTACGTCAAAATCCGGCCTGGGTAGGTCTTCTCAACTCCTCTAACAGCAGCCATCTAGCTACTGCATTACTATTTTTATCTTCTTCGGCTCTCTACGTCATCCTCTATAGAGAAAATAAGAGACGGGATGCTCTAGGTCTGGATGAAAGTGAGCGACATAGACTCACATTCAAGGACTTGACCGACAAGGAGAATGAGCACTTTAGATATGTCTTGTAGAAACTGCGTTGCACTTTCCAGCAGGTAGTTGAATCATATTTTCGTGCTTTCAATTATCGATTTCTGTGTCCTGTCGGCTTCATGGTCGCCCTGGACGACTCGAACTTAATATGCCAAGTTTCGAATAGGTCACTTTTGTTGCAGACCAATGATTACATGCTGATGAGCATTGTCTTCCTTTGAGAATTGGAAGAGCTCTGTTTTTCAGTCTTGTTTTGTTTGGATGAATGAAGCAGCAATACGCGCATTCAAACTCGTACAGAATCAAGTCCCGCGTTGCGTTTTCTTCAGGGGTTGTGATGCAATCACTAAAATGCTCCACCCTCGCCGGCCGTGTTGGTAAGCTGCACATGTTCATGGAGGGGTCTTATCACGACATGTCGGACTGTGGCCGAAATAAGTTCATGTTGACACAGCAGCCGATATCGCCAACGGAGGCTCGGGGGTTGGCTCATCCGATGAGACAACGCGAATGGAACGAGGCTGACGTGGAGTGATAGGTTGCGAGTACTGGTGCCTATTAACAGAGATTGCTCTCAACTTAGGTACTCCTTCATAAATCTTCAATCCAACCTTTACAAATCTCGATTTATCACAATGCCTGAGGGGATTCGGAGAGTCGCTGTCATTGGCGCCGGTCCCGCTGGGGCTATCGCAACAGACGCCCTGGTCAAGGAACAGGCGTTTGATGTTGTACGCGTTTTCGAACGGCGCGACTTGGCCGGAGGGACATGGTGAGTACATTCCCAAAGGCGGCCATCTTCATGTTGGTTGGAAATTGAGTGAGCTCTGACTCAGGAGTCTGTAGGGTGTACACTCCGGAACTGCCACCTCGAATCCCTTCCTTGCGCGCCTTAGTCGAGCAACGAGCAAACGCGCCGATCGATATCCCCAGAAGCTTCCCTGCAGGAACTCCGAGATCCGAAAAGAACAACTCTCACCAGTTACGATATTCAGACACGGGTATTCATGAGACGCTACATAGTAATATCACACCCGAAATCATGGCGTTTACCCAAGAGCCGATACCCCAGGTCCTGTCCGACCGAACTCTGTCACAATATGGCCCAGGCGCTCCGTTTAGACATCGAGAGGTGATCAGAGAATGGATTGAGGAGATCTTCACTCGAGGAGGGCACGAAAAGTTGATCGAGTTTAGCACCACAGTTGAGCTTGCTGAGAAAAGGGGTGAAGAATGGGTTCTCACGTTGCGAAAGGTTGTGCCTGGGAAGTCGAAGGACTACTGGTGGCAAGAAACCTTTGACGCGGTCATTGTGGCATCAGGTCATTTTTACTTGCCTTACATCCCCGATATTCCCGGTATTGTTGAATTCGACGAAAAGTTCTCCGGCAGGATCAAGCATAGCAAGCATTTCCGTGACTCGGAAGAGTTTCGGGGAAAGGTTCGCCGGCATTGATCAATTTATCATTTTGAGGTCGAAGCTAATCAGTCACAGAAAGTCATTGTTGTCGGGGGCTCCGTGTCTGCGTTCGATGCACTCCACGATATTCGACTCGTCTCTCAAAAGCCAGTTATCGCGTCACTGAAGGAACCACTGGCCGCATTCGGATGGGCGCCTTTCACTCACCCCGATATCACCATCAAGCCGCAGGTCACCAACTTTTGTCCTAAGAGTGGACGCATCACATTCAGCGATGGAAGTACCGTGGATGAAGTTGACGCTGTCGTCTTTGCGACCGGTTATGACTTCAGCTTCCCATTCCTACCCAAGAAGAAGGTGGAGAACAGACGAGTTCCTGGGCTTTACCAGCATGTCTTCAATATCAATGACCCAACCCTTGCGTTTGTCGGAATGGTAAGCCTCCGATTCAATGGAACATTGTGACTGGAGAATCAGGGACTAATTCACTCGTAGGTGACTGGTGGCTTTACTTTCCGCGTCTTCGAGTGGCAAGCCGTCGCAGCGGCACGAGTCTTTGCAAGTCGCGGGAAGTTACCCCCTCGAATTGAGCAAGAAAAGTGGGAGAGAGAGAGACTGGCGTACAAGGGTGACGGTATTCCCTTCTTCACCCTATCGCCTGACTTTGAGCAATACTTCGAGGCATTGCGGGCAATTGCTGGTGAGCCTGTGCAGGGAACTACAGGCAGGGTGTTGCCGAAGTTCGACTCCAAATGGCTTGAAGCGTTTTCTGAGGTTATCAACGCCAGGGTTGAATGGTGGAAGAAGGAGACAAAGAAGGCCGAAGACCAATTGAAGCTTGTGTTCAAGCCGAAGCTGTAGGATGGAGAAAAAATTGGTATTATCAACTAATCAAGCTGTAGCAATCTTGTCATGGTTTGAATCCGTCCATGCTACTATGAAAAATGCGCAAAATCTTCCTTACGTGATGCTTGGCGTGGTTTTCCAGGGGTCAACTGAGACAACCTCTCACTCTGTCTTCCGTGGCGTCAATGTCACATTCAGAGGGCCCTTCTTCCACAAACCAAATAGCTGCTGATCAGTCCAGTTCTTGCTGTCATCCGCTATTTGCATGTCGAAGTTCCAGATGACTCTGGCAAGAATGACTCGCATTTCAGACATGGCCAGGCTGTGAGGGTAAAATTAGCAAATGTTTTGTGTTGTGCATCTTGTTCAATGGCTTTACTCACTTCCGGCCAATGCAGTTCCGAGGACCGAACGAAAATGGCTGGAGAGCAGCTCTGTCATCATTCTCGAAGCGGGAGTCTCCTAGCCATCTCTCAGGGATGAATGAGTTGGGCTCCGCAAAGTACTTCTCGTTGTGATACATGGGCCATTGTGAGACCATTACTCGTGTCTATTTCGTTACCGTTAGCAACGCGATACTGTCAGAACCCTACTTATTGTAGAGAAACTTACACCGGCAGGCACGAATCTTTCGCAGATGTAGTCACCGCCTGGCTTAACAACTCGGGTGAGACCCATCGGTACAACTGGGTAAACGCGCATGCTCTCGTCAAGAACTGCGAGCATGTAACGGAGTTTCTGGACACTGAGAACGTCGATCTCTTGCTCTGAGCTGAAAGATGTACGGACTTCCTGTGCCAATTTGGTCATGGCCTCAGGGTGCATCGTTAGGAAGTACGTAACTCCTGAAAGCACAGATGCTGTCGTCTCTGAGCCGGCGATGATCAAGGTGTCTGCGGTTTGCTCAATCTCTGGCTTTGACATAGCCTAGGTAGTCGTCCCATCAGTTTCGGTGCCAGAATGATGAAATACGTATGCTAGGGACAAGACGTACCAAGGGACCTTCTTTCATCATCATAGACTGGACAAAGTCCGGCCTTGACTCACCGAGTGCCATGCGACGGTGGACCTTCTCTTGGCTCATGTCGTTGTGGAACTTTGTCTTGTTCTTCAACTCTTTCGGAATCAACCACTTGGCAAATGGACGTGTAATCCAGTATCTCTGGAACTGATTTCTCCATACACCGGCATGGATGTTGTCGAATATGATTGACACCCACGGGTGATAGTCCGAGTTCTCCAAACAACCAAAGGGCTCACCAAAGGCCAGGTCGCCAATGATGTCAAAAGTCGTCCAATTGTACCATGAAACCATGTTCAACGCTTTCCCTCCATCCTCGCAGTTCTCGTGGAGTCGTCGGATCAACAGGTCAATCTGCGTTTGAATCAGGGGTTGCTGATCGACCATGGCCTGGGCGGAGAATCCGTGGGCCAGAACACGGCGAATACGTGCATGATCCTCGCGGCCGGAGTTGATGATGCTGTGCGGCTTATACCTAGCATTGACGGGGTCCTTATAGTTCTCCATGCCACCCCCGCCCTTGCTGTGGCCCATCAGGTCCTTGAAAGCCCGCGGGTCAGCCCAGTCGATTGTATCTGGGCCGAGCCTGACAACAGGTCCATATTGCTTGTGAAGCTTTGCTAGTCTCTTGTGAGCTTTACCGCTGGTGATCATTCGACTGAGCGGGATGCGGGTAGCGGCGTGGAGCTTCGGCCCAGGGTAGTCTTTCAGTGGGTGGAAGTAGATGTTGTAAACCACCCTCGAGATCAGACGGAAAACACCCTGCATCAACAATTAGCATGTGATATCCTAGTACCAATGGCTCAATTCCGCAGTATTTACCAAAGCAACGAGGACGATAGGCAATGCGACCGCCAGTCGTACATTGCCCAAGGTCGAGATATCGTGTGGAATAATCATGTTGAGTGCTGTAGTGTTGTCGGCAAGACGTCCTGTGGTTGATAACTTAGTTCTGACGGAAATTGAACTCTTTCTGCCCAATATTTCCACATCTTATCAGCGGGATGGCGAGCAGCTTATATCTGCCCAAATGCAGACGAACAACTTGTTTCCGGGTGCATGCTCGCCGAAGACGCGAGAGACACGTTCACGACCGGAGCCGAGCCCGCCCCGGGGATGAACGGTGTAACCTCCAACCAATCGAAGCAACGCAGCTTCCCGTCCGATGATATTTAGTGACGTTATACTGCGTGACGTCGAGGCGGGGGAGTTGTGTTTGTTGGGGGCTTGAGCGTAGAACGGCATTTGGGATGGTGGGACGCCGCGTTTCATAGCCACACACATCTGACGGCGCTGGCCATGAGGCCGCGGATTTCGGGCTGCTGAAGGGTTCCGGATGATGGTCCAATGTTTGTTCGTGCTTGACTTGTTCGTCTTCAGTGTGTGGTGTTGATACGAGCGAGGGTGCCGAATGCGAATGCTGGAATACGATGTGAGTGGCAAGAGCCGTTCTGGGACAGGACTGCACTGATGTGGCCTCGAGTCGTTTAGATGACAGCTCCTTGCGCCACAGACGACGGAGAGCTCGATGATATTCAGGGTCATAGACTCGCGCCCCCGGACGAGCGTTGCCGGCACAGCGCGGAGTGCATATGCAAGGGCACGGCGCGGGGTTGGGAGAGAAGCCAGACTCTCCGCCGGCAGGAATTGGAGATTTCTTCGGCGCCGAATAGTCTACTCCGGGACACCGATGCTCGGGTTGCTGCAGAGCTACAGTTTGTGGCAACGTTGCTGACTGGTGTCGAGATCGGCAAGGTTGTGCCACCACCGCAACGTTGTGTTCAGCTGAGGCGATGTAGATTGCTTATGCTCAGTGTAAGTTACGCGGGCCGACGGCTGACATGTCCAGTGTAACTCATCCTAAATGGCGCTTATATGTTCGCAATGCGACGCCTCTTTGAGCACAGCTAAGACCGTCCACTTGGAGATTTTAGTTGAGCGGCCACAATGGACCGTCGGACTTTGATAACTCCATACGCGAGCTGGATGGCGGTAGATCCACTGAACAGCCCCTTAAAGTGTGGCTCAAGCTTAGTGGCTGATTTCATTCCCTTTTAGCTCAAGACTGAAGGTTTGTCGGAGAGGCTTCCTTGAAGTTAGGAGTTCTGAAAAGACCCGAGCACTATCGCAACCTAACCTACAATGTACAGTCAGTTATAAGTATCGGAAAATGCATTGTCAGTTGCTCAACTAGGTATGGCCACCTGCGAGTCTCTGCGACTTCTATTCGCATCGCTTACCCCCGGCAGTTTCAATTCCCAGTCTCAGGCGCGCTGAGGCGACAACCATGAGCGCTTTGGCCAGTTGATCCTGGCAGGGAATGCTGCTGACTACACAGCATCAATCGACAGACCCATGAGCTCTTCTCAACACTTAACAGCTTGGCGACACGTGATGAGACACTTCCAGATTCATCGCAATCTCAGGGGGTTCGCATTTCTCGGATACGAGGTCTCGATAGGGAGTAGCCCCAACGATAATCCGCTTGTTCGTCTTTTCGTTGACACCCGCTCGAAGTCATATCCACGAGACTCATATCAGCGGGTTGTGAGTGACTTCCACAGAAACATTGCGTCCCCGCAGCAATCAAGAGGATCCAAGTGACCGGTAACACCGGCCGAAGAGTCATGGAGACCGCTTTAAAGCGCAAACCCCTGCCGGCCCCTCCGCCGGGTCCCCCACCGCCTCCGGATTTCGACCCCTTTCCCCAACGTCAACGCCCGCTCCGCGCCGCTCGGTCGACGCCGAATATTCGACAGTCTGTAGCGACATCAATCTACGATCCGCCGCCAGCGTATGAGGAGTTCCCTGGTGTCGATGCTAACGGTCGCCTGGCTTTCGCCGCTCCTAGCTCAAACTTCGGGCCTGGGAGGATTCCATCACCGGTTCCTCCAACCCCGGGTTCACACTTTTCTCTTAACACTCCTCCCGTAGCTGCTCACAAGGAATATCTACCTTACCGGCCATCACCGTCACCGTCACTTGTATCAGGTGGCAAAGACTCGCGACCGCCGTCCACTCCAGAGCCATCCTTTCCTGGTCCTTCAGCAGCTCAAACGTTCCCGGTGGCAGATCATCGTCCTTCTCCATCACCCACACCGTCTAGCCCTGGACCTTTCTTACCTGGTCCTCCCGCAACAGCAGAGACGTTTCCACTGGCACATCGGCCCACTTTATCACCCAATTACGCCCCATCAGAAACCGCATCAACAGAGTCTCAATTAAAAGAAAAGACTTTCTGGCAAAACGCCTTAGACGAGACAAAGTATTTCGCGGGAGGGCTGATAAGTCATCCGTTCGAGTACACCAAGCACTACTCCATCCTCCGCCACTCGGGCGCGCTCGTATGGTATCGCGGCCCCTCAACCTCTATCACCATCACAATCTTCTCCGATGCCCCTCTGCCACCTACGCGGACGGTATGGCTTCAGCAAAAGGGCTTCTCAGGGAACATGGGCATGAACCTGAAATCTCTAGTTGGTGCAAACACCTCTTGGCTCGACGTGACGCCTTCTATGCAGGGGACACCGGCGGCCATGGCCGAGGGCGATGAGAGGGGCTGCCAGCGCGACTTGAAGAAGTTTCTCAAAAAGGCTCCCAAAAATCTGGCAAAGCATATGCCCAGGGAGACACACGTCGTGCGCATACCAGCGGCCGCCGATGACGGATACTTCCGGCTCGTGCTATGCGCTGGAGGCGGTGGTGACGGGAGCAAGAGGAAGGTTCTTTGCCCAAGCCCCGTCTTCCGCGTCGCGAGTACATCCACAGATATGAGCGTTACCCGTGGCGCAAGCTTTGCCAGCATGCCTCTGGAGCTCGGAATCAAGGCTGGCTCTGTCGTTGCCACGACTGTCGTCAATAGATATATCGGACCAGCTGCCGCTGTGGTACAGTCTAGGACGAAAAAGATTTCACAAGCAAAGTTTGTGACGAAGCACGCTGCTCATATCGCGTATGCGAAGTCGGGCATAGAGAAGTCCGGTGTCAAGACGCATGTCACGGCATATGAGGAACAGTATGCCACCACAAGGGGTGGGGGATACGATGCTTGGCAGTCCGGTGAAGCTGAATTCCAAGAAGCGCCTCCCGAAGTCATTGGTCCCGACTCTGGTCCTGCCAACCCATTTCCAATCAAGTTCGACGGCAAAGTTGTCCGCGGTACAGGAAGAGGGGGCATGGAACTGGGTATCCCGACAGCAAATCTCGAGGGCATACCAGAAGACGTGAGGATGCGAATGCGTGGCGTCTACTTCGGCTGGGCAAGGGTCGTTCCCCGATCTGGACTGGAAGCGATATCGACAGACTGGCACGAAAGCATCATTACCGTCGGCCCCGCGCCGTATGCCACACCACGTGTAGCCGCCAAAAACGTCGCCACGGTGCACGTGATCCACGAGTTTGGTGGTGCTCTCTTCCTCGACACGAAGCTCAAGGTGCTAGTCATGGGCCAATTGCGGATGGCCGCGCCTCCCGTTGCTGGCTCTGAAGCCGCGCTTGAGGCCTACGGGGCGGACGTGCTGCTTGCAGTGGCGAGTCTGAGTCGTGACAACTGGTGTCCTATCGAGACGCGAGAGAGGATGAGGACCATGCGTAGCGAGATGAGCTTGGCTGATCGGTACGTTGAGACGAGGGACAGGGTTCAGAAACAAGTAGACCGTATTCCGGTTCACTTGGCTGGGGTGAGAACGGAGGGTGCTGCCTTGAGAGACCGGGCATACGGAAATGGAGGAATTTGGATCCCCAGATGATTGATGTGCTCATTTGGAGATGGTCGGGACTCGCCTGATCTTCAAGCCTCCTTGCACAACACGTAATGTTCATATCTCGCCACCGGGCATTTATATACCTTGTTACTTAGTAGATGTACTTAGTAGATGTTTAATACTGTTCCTCCACTTAGGCAGGCAGGTACCGAACGTTCCTCTCATACGCGAATCTGTCTACATGTATTCATCTCATCTACACGAATTCACCACAAACGATACCCATTTAGGTCCCAACGATTCCATTCCAATCACTAGCTAGGAGGCGCCCCTGTAGATCGGGGGGTCAGGGAAAACTGGCTGGGTGGTGGAAGGGTTAAAGGTCTGACATTGAATATACCCACAGCCTACTCGACAACAGGCTCACCTCCGAGTTCGATTCCCAGCATGAGCACCAAGAGATGTAGCCACACCGGTGGTGAACTCTTTTTTGAATTTTCTAGGCCTCTGAATACTTATAAGAAAAAGGTCGTGCTCTTCTTGATCGGGCGATTTGAGAATCAAATTACACTGTGAAAAATTCTTAACATCCAATAGATAATTCATCCAAGTAACGCCAAATCTGCATTCCACTCTCCTCATCTCGTGGCCAAACCCCTATCTCTCTGACTTTTCCTCGCTGTCGCCCTCAAATATCTATCACACCACTTCTACCTGGGGCACTACGTTGTTCTTGATGGCATCCCAGCAGTTATCGCAAACCTTATGGCTCTTAATATCATCGATCGTCTCAGCGACCTGTCGAATAAATTATCAGCATCCTGATAGCTCCGCCACATGAGAAGATAACAATCGATAGGTACAGCATTAGATTGACTTACTTCAGCCAAGCAGCCGAGCTTTTCTTTTTTACCAGCCTGTCCAATGCCCTTGGTACCCACAACGTCAATGAGGCACTTGACAGACGTGAAGCCGAGTTCCACTCCGCATCTCACGACGTTGCATCCGTCAATCACGAGTTGGTTGTCACTTTCGAGCAACTCCTGCTCGGCTTCATCGAGCTTGTCCCAAACAAACTTTCCAGCTTTGCTCAGACCGTGAAGAACATTGGAGAAGGCGTCCAGGACGCCATCGAGGAATCCAGGCACTGGAGCGGGTTCTGGTGTGGGAGACCGCGAAATGTAGTTTGGTGCGAGCCCCGTCGAGAGGGAAAGCATAGAGAAAAAAGCGATTAAAGAAATAAAGGCCTTCATGTTGCGTGCAGTACAACTTGTTGATTTGGTTATCAGAGCAATGTTTGGTTATGTTACAACTCTAGGCTCATTTGCATGATTTATGGTCTTCGTCAGAGAGGAATGCTCGCCCTTTATGTCAAAATTCCCTAGCCCTCTCTCCGTATTGACTGTGTACTCCATATGCCTAAGACGACCTATTTTGAGACCAATGAACTATAGGCTCTCGTGCATGAGAGCCACCTCTCAACTCCAAGGTCTCTAATCACGCGCAAAGACGTTGTCTTCTATTTTTGCCAGAGCCTGCTTTCAAGCTGAAATCACAAATGCGGCTCTGTCCTTATGCGTCCGCAAAAGGGGCTGTGCCAATCCTTTCACAATGAGGCTGCCATAAACCAGACAAGAGCGTGCATGTAAGCGCCGAAGAGACTACGACGACGCATACAAATTCCTGTTGGTTTCCGCTTGGAGGGTAAGATAAGCATACTTCAGCACTTCAAGCTATTGCAAAAGGACTTTCCGGAGCCTTGCAAGGGCACATGCACACTCTCAGTCCGATACCTCAGTCGAATCACGGTGACGCCCTGCTTTGAAATCATGGCGATACCCCCGCTGCTCATAATTATACATGTGTCTTCAGGTCTCCGTTGGATCCTGTAGGCTTTGATGCCACACGTAGCCTGCACAGAAGGGGCTGTGTGGCCTGTAGACGCTGGGCGCGTACTTGCATGTACTTCGATGTGTGCGTGTTGGATGCCCAACCTACTTACGTTCCGGGCGTATGGGTCGAACCAACATAGAGGCCAGGTACTTACAGCAATGTACCTTTCGTGGATAACACCAGGTTGGGCCGTATGGTTCAGCTGCGCCAGTGTGTTGGTTATTACTACATGCACTCTTGACCGCAGCAGCGGGCTAGCCCTTCACCCGTGAGCGATGCCAGCTGCTAAACAGGGCAGTACAACGTAAATCAGCCCAAATCACTTTTTCTACACTTCTTAAGGCTCTGATATCTATAATTAATCACTCTAATTACTAGCTGTTATTCCAACTTATCGCAGTCTACCAGACTGCCCCAATCTCTAATGAAAGTTCTATGCATTTAGCCATCTCCCATAATCAGCAAATTCGTGGCAGGGCGCAACAGCACCAACGCATCTGTGGAACCTGACATTACAGTCGCTGACTTGGAAGTAGACGAGTAGTAACAGGCGCAGAACGAGCAGGCTATACGAAAATCCCAAATGCTATCCTGACCAGTTTAGGGGTCGCCCGCAAAATAATCAAAGCCCCGCGGCCTAAGCTGTCACAAACCTACTCTTTTGTCTTAACTTCCCGCCATACTTGAACAGAAGCCAAGGGATTGGTATCAGAGGAAGTGAGAGGAACGCGAACACGCTGCCAGCCCAGTGGACGCCAAGCTTCTCATACATCTGCAGTGTGAATAGGGGAAAGACTGCGCCCAGAATGTATCGAAGGATACCATTCGCGGCCAGGGCTAAGAAGCAAGTTAGAATTACTTCCCACAATACATAAGAAAAAGTTTTCAGAGAAGTTATGTGTACTTACCAGATGCCGCGGCTTTCTGACCATAAAAGTCTACCATGTAGGTGATGACAGACAACTTGAATGAGTTAGTTACAGCCTCCGTTTCGGATCGGAAACCTCATAACTCACGAATAGACAAAACGCGCCGAGCCCAAATGGGATACCAGCCGCGACTAAGGCAGCCCAGTGACCCCCACGATGAGCTTCCCACGCATACCAGAACAATCCCACAGGGAGAGCAATACTACCCACGAGCGCTGCATATAGTCGCTGCTCGGGAAAACCTTGACCGGCTTGCACAGCAGGTATCCTGAACTTGGCATCGAGGAAAGCAAAAACAAAGGTAGCGAGGAAGTAGCCAATGATGATACTGAGGAAGCTCAATCCAACTTCTCTAAGATTGAATCCGTAGTACTTCTGGAGTACGTAGGAGCAGCTGCCGAAATAGCTGAAGATCATGGCATAGGCGAAAGCTGTGTATATAGCCAGCGAGGAGACAATGACCTCAGTGAGCAACATCTTTGTCGGTCTCATGACCGCGATCCGAACAATGCTGCCAAGTCGCGCGAAGGTGATGGGCTCTTCCCCTGACTCTTTGCGCAGGATCCAGGCCTTTGATGTCTCCTTCATCAACATAGCCCCAACCCAGATGGGAGCACCAACCATGAGGAGAACATACTGGGTCCATCTCCAGTCGTTGTCTCTGTCGTGTATGATGTAAGCCCCAGCCAAAGGCCCCAAAGTCGGTCCCAGAAACGGGCCAAGGATATACAGCAATGATGCCCCGGCTCCCTTGCCGAGTTCCCATACATCGGCAATGGTTCCCGCGCCTACAGCGATGCCGGCTGAGCCCAGTGTTCCCGCTATGAAACGGCAGGCGAGAAGTCCGGAGAAAGTTGTCACCGCCGACGCGCCTCCAAGGAATGCGAGGAGAAAAGTGCAGGACCCGGCATAGATCCACTTGCGGCCGATCACTTCAGAGAACGGGGCGATGAAGAGGGGTCCGATGGCGAGACCGAGTGTGTAGAGCGTCAGCGGGAGGATGGACTTCGTGCGCGAGACGGAGAACTCTTCCATTATTAGGCTAGTCGCGGGGACTGTAATTGAGGTTGCGAACGTGCTGCAAGATATCCCATGTCAAATTAGATTACATCGAAGGCATTAGTAGGGAAGAAACTGACATTTCGAATGCCAAGAAGCATGGGATCGCAGTGTGAAAGAGCCTCGAAAGAAAACACCAGTTCTTGGGGTTTCTCGACTCACGAGGGTCGTCCCATGCAAGTTGCTGTTGACCACCATCATCGAAAGAAGTGCCGTCCTCAACTGCCCTCTTCTCAACATCTTCTTCTGGTCGGTCCATTACTGGAGGTTTGATGGAAGATGCTTGGCTGGTTGTACTCATTTCGGCAGCCGTGATCATGCCTTGGAGACACTGCCGCTGCTATGTGATGAGGGGATGCTTGGGTTATCTAAAAACCCGGTACCACGGCTCTGGAACAGGTAGATCTATATATTAGGCAAAATTTGGCCAAGATCTGTCAAATTGATAGGGATATCGGCGTCTAGCGTTGATGAAATCCGTGTCAATTGCTATTGCCTTTCCGGATTTCGGGTGGCAGGTGGACTTGACCAACTGTTCACGCCGAAACCTTGAAGGTTAAAAGAGCGGACGACCTTATCTTGTCCCTGATTCATATTTTTTCACCAGAGGATCCGTAAGCACTACCTTACTGCTGGCCTTCATGGCCCTCGGCCTATGAGTATATTGGTTGTTGAGGTGATTACTGATCTCTGATGAACTGGAATCTACCGGTGGGATGAGGCTATGAGATGAACCCTAGTGTTGATCCATGGCCTGACCGTTGCTCAACTTTCGAAGTCCAAAGTCAAGATGCGCAATTTTATTTTGTGGGATCTTCAAATTGATAATCTGTCACCATTTTGTGCGTGACTATCAGATATCGCGAAATCCCAACCATCGTTGTCTGCACAGTATTATTTAAGATCGGAAATACGGCGTACTGTTGTTGATTAGTGAACTGGCCCTCGGCTGGCGCAGTCACGCTAGTGTCCCAGGAATCTGCGAATAAATCAATGCAAACAGCGCCTCTGTGGGCGCTGAGAAGCTAGAATTATGTCTTGAGCGCACGCGTAGCGTGGGGGATCTAGGGTCTGGTTCGTCCAGTCTCAGCAGCTGAATGAGATCAGAGCCACCATCGATGTCGTTTTATTAGTACAGCTAGGATTTTACATCGGAGTAAATTACATGGTTCGAAGATTCCTAGAACTTGAGACGGGCGGTACTTACACAGATACAAATATCCTATCCACCGGCGCGCCATGGTCGACAACTGGGGCCAAGCATTCTGCATCATCTTTATCACTTACAATAGCTACCGTCGAATCCTTCAATGCAAAATTGGTTCTTTGATACCACGGTCTCCGTAGGTATTCAGTTGCTCGATGCCTTCTGGCTCTTGCAAGGCGATCAGAGAGAATACGGGTAGCTCAGCTGAGCCATGTCCCAGGTTTCAGAGCAATCAAGAAGGCTAAGACGGGGGTCCGCGGGAAGTGAAAGTTCTCGATTTCTCTTTAGAGCATTGTATTCGCTATCTCAATGGAACACTTACGCCGCAATGGCATCCTTTACTCTCTGTGGTGCAACAGCTCTCGGGAGGCTAGCGTCTTGTCGAGGTTGCGAACGAGACTGGACTTGATCCGCAAACTCAGCTTCCAGGCGACTAATCATTCCCTCGATATCATAGTCCCAGATCTTGTGCGATCTTTCCTCGAGGTCTTTGAGACATTTATCCCAGTCACGCATAGTGTCGGGATGGTTCCACTCGTAAATCTCACAGGCCTCGCGGCTGCTCTTCACCAGCCACTTCCCACGAGGTGGTCGAACAGTATCGTAAGCCCGGAACATGGCCTCCAGTAAGACAGACTTGCCGTGTTGCGTAGGCTTGGGTAGGCTTTGCAATATCTTGGTGCCATTTTCGAGCAAAGTGGCTAAAGCTAGCGCATCCTCGACACCCATACCCGCGCCCGCTCCGTGATGGGGAGTGGAGGCGTGAGCAGCATCGCCTGCAAGACAAAGCCTCCCTTTAACATACGTTGGAGCAGGATGGTCGTGAGTATCGAAGATGACCCATTTAGTAACCTCATCTGGCAATAAGTCGATGAGACTCTTGACTGTAGGACCCCAGTCCTGGAATACATCAGCGACCTCCTTCCTCGTCGTCTGACTTGTCATGTCGGCAACTCCGTCGCCTATCTTGTCCCAATTCGTAGTATCGTCGGCGAAGGCCACAAAGTTGAGGATCGTGCCACCTGCCACTGCGAAATGCAGGACATGTGCTTGGGGACCGGTGTGACAATGCTCATTGTAGGCTTTAAAGCTTCCAATGGCGGCTACTGCGCGATCCATTGGTATTAAGGCTCTGTAGGCAACTTTGTGACTGGAGTGAGGGTACGCAGCGGGATTATCAGGTCCAAGAACTAGCTGTCGGACTTTGGACTTGATGCCGTCGCATCCAATGACTTGTAAGCATCAGTAACAATAACATTAACCACGACTTTGGAAGTCAAAACTGAATGATGACAGCATCAGTGGAGTGCGACTCATACCTGCATCAGCGCTGGATGTGGTGCCGTCCTGAAAATGCAGAAGCACTTTTCCCCCTATATCTTCATCTGTCACATTCACCAGTTTCTTACGGAATTCGACCGCATCGTCTGGAATGAACTTGACAAGCTCGTCTAAGAGATGAGCCCGATGACAGCCAATGAAACCGTCATGCCCAGTGTCGAGGTTATACAGCGGCATGTCTTCTTCGTCAGGGCGAGTTGCATCCCAGGTATATCCATCGTTGAAACGGAGGCACTCTTCGGGCTCGTCCTCATTCTCACCGTTGTGTGTGGCTACGGCATTGACAGCCACCTCAATGGATGGATTCAGTAGGGCCATGCACTGTCTGGCATTGGTAGTGAAGCCAATTCCGGCACCAATCTCGCGGAAGGAGCGGGACTGTTCGTATATCTTGACAGGAATATTCCGCTTGAGTAAGCCCAGCGCTGTAATGAGGCCTACAATTCCACCACCAATGATGGCAATCTCGAACTTTTCGTTAGCATCGGACATGATTGAAGAAAGGCTCTTGTTTAACTGTTTGTGAAGGAAGTCTGTAGTCGATTGAAGATGGAACGGGATAGTTATCCTTAGATCAGTTATATCTCAATCTCCGTTGGGCAAGAAGTACCTTGCTGCTGATGGCGCTTACTCATTTGGCTGCACATGTGATATCAACGTTTGACTGATGTTAGGTGCACGGCCTGAAACACCGGAGTGCGCGGTCTTCCTGTCCGGCGGGTGATGATCTCATCCGAATAGTGTTCAGAGCAATGACGGCCTCGCCGACGGACTTCGGCTCTCGGCCCATTCCCCTTTGCCAAATCACTTTTTCCCGGTGAAAACGGAGATAGGTCGATGTACGCCGGGAACATCCTAACGACAACGCGAGTATCTTATGTAGGCTTCACAAGACAGCCGGTGCTTGCAGCTTGTAAGTAATGACTTCAATCACTGAAAAATTCACTGTGTATCTGAAGAACCTCCGAAACTCAACTGAGATACAGCTGAAGTAATTTTCTAACCACGACTGTGATAGATTTTACACACGCTCAGAAAAGACCAACATCTCAATCCACCACACGTGTACGATCCAGGGGATGTTCAGTCCCCCATACTCGGCTCCTCAATCAACAAGTCCATGAGAGAGTCAGGCGTCGCCAAGGCATCCTCATATCCAAACCGAGGCGGCTCTGGCTTCGGGATACCTTGGCAAAATGCATTTGCAATCTTCAACTCTTCCAAAGCTTCATCCATCGTCTTGGCCTCATCTTCTAACGCCATGCCACGTTCTTGAAACCTGACCAGAGCTTCCCGGCCTAAATGAAATGGCGCTGGTGTAAATGGGTGGATCTGGCATATGTTGAAATCGGATAGTAAAATATTCGACAAGCGCGTCATCTCTCTAGCTGCTACTACAGCTCTTTCCTCACAGCCATCGACGAGATGATCGTACTCTGCAGTGGTATCCGACATCGCCGTGGCCACTTCTAGAAGCGATAGTGACGCGACTTGTGCCACTATCCTAGCAAGTAATGTCATGGATCCAGCGCGGTGAGATACGGGGAGACCCTGCAGACGGGAAATCTGCCGCGTCAGGACGGAGTCCACAAACATGTGGCGCTCCCAAAATTGGGCAGGCGTCGTCCCGTTTTCATGCCCAATCTTGGATCGATTCATGTGGAATCGAATCTGCTCGGACACTGAGATGGATAGAATTAATTCCAAGAACGGGTGTTGCTTTGCTGCTGTCTGTAGCTCCATGGCTTCTGAGAGAAAGAGAGAGATGGTGGGCGTGCGGCTTTGGAATGCGTCTTCAGAGCAGGGAAGCCGAGTATATATCTGGATGCATCTTATCATTAGTAAAAGAACTCATGACGTATTTGCAGTAATTCTTGAGAAAGGCTTGGCTCGAAATGTTGATGAATGGGAGATGGGTGCGTACCTCAGATTCAGTGAACGTCCGGGGTAGATCATGAACCAAGCAGATAACAGCATCTAGACAAAATGCCATCCATAATGTCCTCCTTTTCTCCTCTTTCTCAACAAATAAATCCGAGTCCTCGGTTGATCCTGAGGCTTTGTCGCAACTTTTATCAATACTGCTCAGGCGTAGGAGCTGTATCAAGCGTACGGCTCGCCCCGCACTCACCCATGCGCGGTGAAAACCGACCGCCATCAGCTCATACATCGATATGAGAATCCACGCCTGGGCCTGCTTGAGCAGACCCTCTTCTTTCTCCACTGGACCGCCAGGTGAGTCCAGGTTCCTGAACCTGTCGAGGGCTTCGCGATACATGGTATCCCGCAAGTGTTGGAACTGCGAGGATAGTGAAGATGCCATGGCCCACATTGCGTACTGTAGACATTTATGTGAGAGTTTAGTTCCGTCCGAAATAGCGCGGGTGTTCATTTCTCGCCTCTTCTCCAAGTGCTTCGATATGCGTATGTACGAGGACTGGTGTAAGAAGGGCGTGAAGGAGTGAACTCGGTCGAAGTAGAGTTGGTCGCTACATGCAATGTTCAGCGACAAGATACGCAGATATCAACATGAAGTCTCAACATATGTCCCGGGACAAATACTCACAGATCAGCTCTCATCAATGGCTCAATCTCCCGGAAAGTCTCAATCGCCGAGGCCGCCAAGGTCGGAAGTACGCCCGTGTAGTTGAAGGCATCCTCGGCGACAATAGGCAGTGGGGTGAAATTTACAGAACCGGGTGTCTGAGTCGGGACATCCGATCTTGCCTGGTTGGTCAAATCCGCGTCAGAGAAAGAGGTGAAGTAGTCCGTAGCAACAGACAAGGTCCCTTGAGGGCTATCGAGACTGGAGCCATCAAGGTCCGAGCTTGATGAAGATTCGCAACTCCGTCTTAGGGCTCTGTTCACTTCGGTTGAACCACTCCCACAACTTCTCGCAAGGCGCCGTTCAAGAGTGGCTACATGTACTCATCCTATCAGTATCTGTAGTATGAAGACTGAATACCTCACTCCAAGGCATTCCTATTTATAGTGAAAAAGTTGTTGACTGACCAATCCTTGATTGAAGCATCTTCATATGATCTTTCTTGGATACTTGACGTGGGGCAGCCGGGGCACTGTGGCAACGTGCACCTGTACGAACACACCCGCCGCAAGGCCGTTTTCGATCACATCTAAGCTTGCCCTTTTGGCACTGCCGGCAGGTCAAATCAGGGCTGCGGCGGATATCACGGCTCGTTCCCGGGCTCCTGGCCGTTTCGGTCTCGTCCGTTATCGATGCTGCCGCGGACCGGGGCGGTGTTGGGCCATTCGGCTCATTTTTCGGGTGCGACTGGCATAATACGCCACGTTCGAAGCAAGGGAGACAGAAACTGCTCCCGTCCATTGATGTTGTGAGCGGTGTCGTTGAAGAGTTGCCGATTATGATGCGATCAATACTGCATCGGGTTGACAATGATTAGGTCCAACTTCGCCAACCAGAACTTTAAATGCACGTTAACGAAGACACCTGCTTGGAGACACCAAGAAGCGATTATGTATGCTACATGGCTACCAGCTTCCTCAGCGTTTGCCACTTTAGCGGCGTGATCTCAGTTCAGATAAGCAAAGATGCATCTCAATCAACATGGATAAAGTGTGACAGGACGATCCTGGTCTTTCATGAAAAACACATGAAATCTGCCAAAAAAAAAAGTGCCATTGCGAATTTGTGGTGATGCCAAGGAAAAGGAAATCCGCCCCTGAAGGTCCCATCACCGACGCTAGTAGCCTGGTAAAGAGCAAACTTTGCCAGTTATTTGTTACCAAGGGTGTTTGCCCCTTTCCTCGGGATACTGATCCGTTGTGCCGCCCGCTTCATATTCCTTTTGCGGACCCCGCTTTTCCTTTTCTTTTGGCCGTTGTGTTTGCTTGTTTACTCCCTTGGCTGATAGTTTGCCTGTTAGTGCCTGACGGTTCATGTATGAGAGATTTTGCACAATTACCGGGATGCCGGGGTCGTTCCCTCGTCAGTTATCTTGCTTACCGGGCCCGGCCTTGCGATTCCCGGATCGGTGGGGACCGCAAGCCTCCATGTCCGGGTTGGGGGGATAGCAAGTCTGACCCCCTCCATGGTAGGGAACAAAGCACGCAAGTAATGGCAACTCCGCTGCATGGCTTGGCCTTTGATGCGCCGGAAAGTGAGCTCGCAATTCTTTGTTATCGAAACTATAGGCCAAACTCGGAATCTTACACGCGCACGCCACCTACTATCCTTCTACTCACTAGATACTGCAAGCGCCTCATCAATCGTCTTCCAGGTGTGATCTTTAACCTTTTTCAGATCCTCCTCGGTGAAAATGGCCTTGTTGCCAACAACCTTGCCATTTTGATCGATACAACTCCAAGGTGCGCCGTCCTTCCCCGTGGCCTCGTCTACTCCCTTCAGAAGTTTCTCGGCGCAGGTATCAGCCGGTACACCCATCACATTGGTCAGCAGTTTTGTCCCAGCCCGAAGATACCACGGCATGGTATGGAAGATATTGGTCTGCACGAGACCAGGGTACGCATGGATGAAGTGCTGCTTCTTATCCTTGTTCTCAGCCGCATAGGCCTGAATCATGGCGTCCGTCATAGATAGGCAGTGGTCTGCTGCTTTTTGCAAGCTGAAGTTCTTCTTCAGGTCCAAGTCGTCCCAAATGAGCTTGGTCGGGCTGCCGCGAGTGCTATCGAGGACGATGAGGACTTTGGCGTCGTCTTTCAGGATGGGACTCAGCTCGCGGATGAGTAGCTGTCTGCCGTAATAGTGAAGCGCCATCTTGCGGTCGATTCCCTCGGATGTCTCGTTCCGGCCCGCCATGGTAAGAATACCCTGGGTGAGAACAAGAAGATCGAGTTGAGGGTCTTGAAGTGATTTGTATTCGTCCGTGTATCGCTTGATTGAGCGCATGGAGGATGCGTCCAAGGCGCGGAACTTGATGTTGGAGTGAGGGATGTCCTTGGGTTCGGTGCGGCCGCTGATGGTGACTTGTGAAGATGCTGAAGCTGCGGCGAGGCGGCAGGCAATGGCGTAGCCAATGCCACCCGTACCTCCGACAACTAATGATCGTGTAGCCATGGCTTGCTCTGAGATTTGGATGAGATAGATGATGGTAAATGATGTTGTCGATGTGGAATTCAAGCTCCTTATCAAACCTGGAAGGTAATGTGAGCTTGGCTCGGTGTGTCGTTAGGCCGATTCCGAAAACAATTGAGATCCCCTAAGTCCGCAACTTTGCGCCATCTGATTGGTTCAAGCCCATTGTCATCATTTCATTTCATGCAGAGAAAGCTTTCTAAGTCCGCAAAATCCGCCCATAGCTCGTGGTAGTTATTCACGAAACTGGTCTGACGTATCAATCAAATGAGCTAGGTTCGAAGCTCTTAGCCGTGAACATGTGATGTTGAAGCAATGTAGTAGATAGGTCTTCAAGAATACTCCGACCGTCTGATCGTGGTCCTTCCTTGCGGACTAAGCCCCGGCCTCTTGTCTTCCAGCCGACTGCAGCCTCCCTAGGCCGTGGATGACATCGAATTGGACACAAGGAAACGTGGGCTTATTCCGGGGATGAATTGACGACAGAACGGATTGAAAGGGGAATGGAAAGTCTCCTCGGGCCCGGGCTCAGCAGCTTCCACTCCGCCGTATTTCGGAATATTCTACATCCATTCTCCGGCCACGTTATTTATAGCATCGATTGAGTTCATCATCCACGTGAACCTTTCCAACCTTACGTAAGTACCAAGGATGAGCCGAAGTGCCGGACTGGGGATCTTCCCTTGGACCAAGTTGGCCACCTTACTACATCAGTGCATAGCAGGACCCCAAGAGCTCCAATTCCCCTGCTCGCGGCTCTGCGGCAACGTTAACTCTGGGCGAGCGGGGCCGCTGACGCGTTACTGGTCTTCTGGTGGTTCAGCGCCAGCCAAAGAGAGACATCGCGGGACGCATGGGCTGCCGATGTTCCAGGCGAGAGAAGCCTCTGCCTGGTAAGCCTGGCCTGCTGTCTCCTGGCAGGGCGAATCTTCCAAAGTGGGTGAGCTTGAAAGGGGTTGAAATCTGGAGCCAGGGCCACATTTCCCCCATCTATTTCGTACCCCTGGGCCCTGGCCGTATGTTCCGTGGTCCGTCTTACGGATACTCTTGTTCCCTTCAGGGCTGAAGTTTCGATCTCCTGCAAATCCGTTCTCTTTCCTTTCCATTTCTTCTCCTCGTGGTCCGAGTCTTGACCTACGTCCAGCGGCTGTCATTGTCACACTTCACACGTCATACACACCACCACAGTGACCACACCACACACGAAGGTTTACGACTGGACAAAAGAGGTGTTCACTGGTCGGTTGTCTGGGATGTCACTCTCGGCCCTACCACACTACTTCAGCCCTTCGGACGGATCTGTGGGATCCAACGTGCTGGGTCACACCTAAATTGGGTCTTTTCTCCGAATCTTTTGCCCATCCCACCGCTCCTCATTCCATTCTCCTTGGCGAACTACGGAGGGGGCCCCTCTGGTTCATCAACTTCGGTTCCTCGATTTGTTCCATTTGTTAAAATTTGTCCCGCCCCAGCCCGTGGAGCACTGGAGACGTTTCTTCACGTCGGCGGTGCCGAGCTTCCATTCTTGACCCTTCTACCCTACATAATCACGCCTTCTCCCCCTCGCGCTGCGCGAGGTCTTGTAGAGGGACGATGGGCATAATGGAGAAACTAGGGGTGAGAGACCCCTTGGCAAAGCTTCCCCACAAGCCGCAGTCTTACAACGACAAATACGTCGTCGTCTACGACTTCAGTGAAGTCGGTATGTCAATTTCTCATTCGTCTCTCTACTATGATCGGGAATTGTCGTTGGAATGGGGCTGGCCGACTGACTGTGCCCCAGATTCTGAGACCTCCGTCAAGGAGCTCACCACGCTCCTTAATGAACTCGAGTCTGCTGGTCTCCAGACGGAAGTAAGGGCCGGCTATGATCAGACCCTTCTTATCTTCGTCAAGGCTCCTCGAGAGCTTCTAGGAAACACCGTCTACAAGTCAAGGTCAGTTGGACCAACTCGTCACAGTCAGCTGAAGCCCTTGACTGACATTCCACCAGAGTAAAGGACTGGCTTTATGGCATCGTCCCCGAACATCCCGGCGGCACCAAAACCACCGTCGTCGACGGTGCCTTTGAGGCAGAGGACATTCTTTCAGTCTACCACCTCGTCAACTGGCCCAAGTCTCTCGGTGGCGCTGGAATCACGCCTGAAACGGGCCAGTGGAAGAATGTCAAGGCTATTTTCCCTCTGCACAATGAGGAGACGAACCAATCCCTTATGAAGCATCTCAGCAAGCGACTATTCCTGACGCCCGACGATATCGATTCCATTCGCGACCTCTGGGGAACCAAGGTGAGTCCCGCCAACCTGCGTTCTCTGCCTATGCCATCTAACAGAACGTACACATAGGTCGCTTTCTACTTCGCATTCATCCAGACTTATCTTCTCTTCCTCACCTTCCCCGCAATCACAGGTGTCATTGCATGGATGTACTTTTCAAAGTACTCCCTCACCTACGCCATCGCGACATGCGTCTGGTGCACCGTCTTCCTGGAATACTGGAAGATCCAGGAAGTTGATCTCAGCATCCGGTGGAACGTGCAAGGAATCGGCAAGGTCAAAGTCAACAGGCCGCAGTTCAAGTACGACAAGATTATCAAGGACGAGGCTGGTCAGGAGAAGCATTATTTCCCCAAGTGGAAGACGGTCTCCCGCCAACTGCTCCAGATTCCCTTTGTCTTGCTTTCCGCTCTGGCACTCGGTGCCATCATCGTCCTCGTGTTTGCTATTGAGGTGCTTATTTCAGAAGGCTACGACGGCCCCTATAAGAACTTAATTGTAAGTTCTCTTTATAATGCTTTGATGCTTCAATGAGATGCTGACCATAGGCAGGAGTACGTTCCGACCTGCCTGCTCGCTATCGCGTTGCCCTACATCAGCAGCGGCCTCGAAGAAGTCGCCACGATGCTCACAAACTACGAAAACCACCGAACGGCCGATTACCACGAAATGTCTCTTACGCAGAAAATCTTTGTCCTCAACATCATCACAAACTACCTCCCGATTCTCATCACGGCCTTCATCTACGTTCCTTTTGGCGACACCTTCGTCCCCTGGCTCGAGGGCATGACAAAGGGCTTCCTCGGCGCCATTGGCCAAAAGTACATGGACGACGACCTCAGCTTCCATGTCGACGCAGATAGACTTCGTGACGAGGTCATCGCGCTCGTTGTCACGGGCCAGATTTCCGGATTCTTCGACGAGAACATCATGCCCGTCCTCAAGCACAAGGCTCAAGGGATCTACCGCGAGTACAAGCGCTCGCACTCAAAGGACACGATGCTCATGTCCATCGTCAAGGACGCCCCCGAGGAAGCTAGATTCCTTCGCAGCGCACGCAACCAGGCCACCCTAGAAAAGTACAATGTCCAGGACGACATTGCCGAGATCGTCCTCCAGTTCGGCTACCTCGCCCTTTTCTCCCCCGTTTGGCCCCTCATCCCCATCGGGTTCCTTATCAACAACATCGTCGAGCTGCGCACCGACTTCCTCAAGATCTGCATGGAACATCGCCGCCCGCCCCCCGTGCGCACTGACGGCATCGGCCCGTGGATCAACTCTCTCGACTTCCTCACCTGGGCCGGCAGTCTCTCAACCGGCGCCATCGTGCACCTGTTTGGCGCAAACAGCATCGGCGGCGGAGCCTGGTGGGCGCTGCCCATCACCATCTTCATCAGCGAGCACGTGTTCCTCGGCTTGCGCTCCGTCGTCCGCTTCTGTCTGGAGAGCATCGGGTCGGAGCAGATTCGCAAGCAGAGACATCAGCGGTACGCGACGCGCGTCAAGCACCTCGAAGAGATGGAGGCAAACAAGCAAGCTGGGCTTATGCTCTCAGTCGCCGAGCGCGAGCGCCGCAAGTCAATCCGAGCGATGGGACAGGAGTCGTTCTGGACTACACAGATTGACGACGGCGCGAGTGCCGCTGTGGGGATTGGTTTGATTCAGTCGGTCAAGAGGGCTGAGGTGTTGAAGGCCGGGCAACCGAAGATTGACTAGTAGGTTCTATTGTACTCCACCGGTCAGGTCATTTGCAGAAAATCGGCGTCTTGTTTGATTAGAGGGTTGAAAGTTAGAGCATAAACACCATGCCATACAACATCAGTTCGTCCGCCTGCTCCTCGAGTTGGTGACTGAAGCTAAGTCAAGAGCTAAGTGGAGATTGGACGAAGGGGTACAGTGACATGTCTTTGACATCACATCACAGCACTGACATCATCGGATCGCATCCGCACCGTCAACAAACGCAGCATCAACTTCACTTTCGAGCCTCGATTGCAAGAACGATAAGCTGGTCCTTTTCAAACATCATCGACCGACATCTCGACTTATTTCCATCAAGTCGTAGGAAAGACCACGAGATATCATCCAAAATGTCTAAGATCACATCCCCCTTCAATAACCCAATCTCCTTCGCCTCATGCTCCATTGGCCTGCCTCGACACACCCTCGAAGACAAACTGTCAGCAATCTCCGCCGCCGGCTTCAACGGCATTGAACTCTCCTTCCCAGACCTCCAATCCTACGCCACGCGACACCTTAATAAGGGCGACATCGCCGCAGATGACTACCCCTCCCTCTGTGGAGCCGGCGAGCTCATTCGCGACCTATGCGCACAGCTTAACCTCCAAATCATGGTCCTACAGCCCTTTGCGAATTTCGAAGGATGGCCTAGGGGCAGCAAGCAGCGAGAAGAAGCGTTCGAGCGCGCAAGAGGGTGGATGGAGATCATGAGCGCTGTGGGGACAGATATGCTGCAGGTCGGATCGTCGGATTCGCCGGATATCACGTCGTCTATCGGAGACCTTGTAGCCGACCTCGCTGAGCTAGCGGATCTTCTTGCGACGAGGGGGTTTAGGATTGCGTATGAGAATTGGTGCTGGGCTACGCACGCGCCGTCGTGGAAGGATGTGTGGAAGATTGTGCAGCTTGCTAATCGGCCTAATTTGGGGCTCTGCTTGGATACCTTTCAGTCTGCTGGTGGAGAATGGGGAGATCCGACGACGGAATCAGGGCGCATTGAGACTGGTGGTGTGAGTGAACAAGATCTCAAGATGTCGTATGAGATCTCACTTCAGGAACTCGCAAAGACGGTCCCGCCGGAGAAGATCTATTTCCTCCAGATCAGCGACGCTTACAAGGTCTCCCCGCCGTTGAACCAACAGCCGGATGAGAGTGGGTTGAGACCCCGGGGGCGTTGGAGTCATGATCACAGACCGCTGCCGTTCGATGGTGGGTATCTGCCTATCTTGCAATTCTTGGAGGCTGTCATGAGCACCGGCTTCAGAGGGTGGTTGTCAGTCGAAGTGTTTGATGGGAAGTTTGAGGAGAAGTACGGGGATGACCTGTTGGGATACGCCAGGAAGGGGAGGGACGGGGTCGTCAAGATGCTGGGCGAGATGATTGTTGATCGGAGTGGCTTCTAATTTTCACAGACAGCGTGACAATAATATGGGAATACACAAGAAAAGCCGCTCAGCTTGCTCAAACGCTCCGCGTCAAGGCCTTCACCTTCTCACCCTTCTTCTTCTTCTCCTCCACCTCATCAAACCTCACAGGCGTCTCATTCTCCGTCCACGGCATCACCTTCAAATCCTTCCAAATCCCAATCCACCTCCTCGCCTTCTTCTCATACGCCTCCTGCACCCCAACCGTCGAATTCGGCCTTACAATCATCGAAAAGAACTCAGACAGCCCCCTCGGCGCATACACCCTCCACGCCCCATCCGCCTCCACCCGCACCCCAATCATCGCGCTCGTCGTGATCCACGTATCGATCCCAGCCTCAGTCGACTCGTGCGCCGGACACGGCGCCCCGAACTTCTCCTCATACCACAGGTGCACCCGCGCCTGGTTCCGGATCTCCACGCCTTCGCCGGGGATGCCCGCGAACAGCTCGCGCCCGCGGCGGATGACGGCGTCCTCAGCCTCGTAGGAGAGGTCTGAGTCGTCGTGGTAGACGAGGTCGTAGTCTGTGATGCCTGTCGTGGGCGGGAGCGAGGAGACGTGGTTCCAAATTGTTTGGGAGACGGCGCCACCTGCGAGGTACCAGTTTGGGAGGTTTAGGGTTGTGGCGAGGGAGAGGACCTTGAGGAGGGTTTTGTTTGTTTCGAGGACTTGGCGGACGAGGGTGAGTTGTTCGCCCAGTGGGAGTCTGGCGAGATTTACTGCGGGCATTTTGGTCTTGCTTTTGAGGCAATGCGCTTTGCGAAGGGTTGTGAGTGAAGGTTTCGCTGATGAAATCACTTTTCGACGCGCTCTTGTTGACTCAGACGCGTTGCGAACGTGTCCGTATTAGTGTTGAAAGATAAGGATCAATCGCATCACGTCAGAGGTTTTGCGCCTGGCTTACCTAAGGTAAGTTGTGATTTTGCCAGGCTTTCTTATTTCACATTGCGAATCTCGCGATACGTCATCTTGGAATTCACCGCTGGAAATAGAATCTTAGAGGCCTTCATGTTATCCCTGCTTTCCCAGAACGACTAGCTCTGTCGCAATGAACTGGGGCTTACTCGGAGACGATGCTCTGTAACTTCATGAGCTGAGAACCCGTCGTATACTACAAGAAACCAACACACCTTAGCCATCGCGGATACACTTCATTTACTATATAGGCAACACAAAGACAACACGATGTTTTGCGTCATCTGCCATGATCTCTGCTTTCATCCTGGTGCAAAATCATCGATAGCCCCTCCTGGTTATATAGTTGGGTGAAGCACATGAGCTTTCACTGTGAGCGCGCATTTGTAGCTTGCCGACCCCGCTATTACCCCGCAATCATGAGGGGCATCGTACCTCCAATCGTAGATTGAGCGGTCTATTTATTCTTCAGCTATGAACATCGAAACTGACGGGCCTGTAGCTGACAGCGATAGGATGAACTGACCCCCTTGCGCTTTATGGAGTTGTAAGATGATACGATAAAGAAGTACTCATCATTGCTTTGGTATTACTCAAACAGGGTATTATGCTTTTACTAAAATTTGTGGCCGTCATGTCGGATAAATCAAATTCACGAGTCCTTCTGCTCGTCGACAATGAGAAAGCTCTGCGGCACAACCCTCTCATTGTCATGCGAAGCCTCCCTCGTCGGCCTTCCTCCATAAGTCAACTCTTCCTCACTCCCATTCTCACTAACGCTTTTGATGTGCGACAACGTACCAGCATCACATTTGCTTGCTCTCACTGAGAAGCCCATGCTCGACCTCCTCTTCCCAGAAGTCGCCTCACTCTGCCTCTTTTGACACTTGAAGGTGCCGCAGCATTTACAAGGAAAGTACGACATGCTGTAGATATCTTCGTGCCCGGACTGCGGCGGACCGTCGCTGGACTTGGCAAAGGTTGTGGCTGCGAAGGCCGATGGTCGGCGAGTTGCGTCGTCGGTAACGCGGTGCGGGGATGGGTTTGAAGTCATTCCTAATTTGTAGCCAATGGCTTTGAGAAGGGGTCGAAGCGTTGCGAGGCTGCCGGCGGTGATTGCTAGGCCTTGTTCTACGGATGACCAGATGGCGATGTCGAGGGTGGACCCTTGATGAAAGTTAATTGATTTGTCCCTAGAAAGAGACAACTTGAAATGGTAGACCCACAGAGGAAATCGGCGTCTTTAAGGCCCATGAGATATCCAAAGCGAACCAAGACAGCTGAGCTGGCACTAGTACGATGGTCAGCTTCGTTCATGTTGCCGATAAGGTTTGATTGTACTCACACGCAACCCATGATCAACAATGGAATCAAAGCAAACTTCGTCTTCTTTCGCAGTTGGAGGTTCCAAACTAAAAAGGCTGGGAGAATGGCGAATGTCAAGTCGGATATGACACTGAAGGCACTGTACAAGTATGCCAATGCAATAACAATGTTGACATCGATACAGGTTCCCGGCTGACTCTTGTTCCAGAAGAATGAGATCGGGTGGCACTGGAACAGCGTCACGAAGAAGAAGACGACTCCGGCTAGAACAGTGAACATCATAGCCATGTAAATGATCCAGCTGTGTAGTCGTCGGGTGGTAATTCGTAAGAGAAAGAACCCGATAGACATCTTCGAGACGATCATGCTGAGGGAGTAAAAGAGGTAGCAGAACCACCAGCACTATGAGGTTGTGTCAGTACACTTGTTACAAGTGGAAATGTATCGCCTTGGAATAGTTGCTGACCTCGAGCGCTTTGGTGATATGGTCATCTTCGATATCCGCGAAGTGCCTTCCGGTCCCATAGTGGACACCTAGTATCGAGAAGGTTGAGTAGCATATAAAGAAGGCCTTTGATGGAGTTAGTCATGTCTTCCTGTCTGTATACACTATCATCATGCAAGTCAAGTAATGCATACCAGAGCCATGACCATGAGCCAGTCATCCGTTCCAAAAGCCTTGACCAGGCCAGCCCGGACGTAGCATCGCAACGCAGTGGCCAACACCGCCGCCGAGACGAAGAAGATGTTGACGGCCAGGAGCTCGGGTCCGCGGTTCTCAATCATGGGTGCCATGTTGACTCGTAGATCTCAGGTTGGAATGTCTGCCAGGGGTCCTTTCTTTGGAGCAGGCCCTCCCAGTTCCCACTTGAAGAGATGCAAGGTTTATGGGGTTCGTGGGGAGGGAGGGGGGAGGCAGGCAAAGGTCGTACGATTCTTTATAATCCCCATCCTTAAACAAGTACGAAAATGAAAAGAAGGATACGGACCGCAGAAATCACAAGACACCGTCGTTCCTGTGCACCGGGCGCTAACGCCAGGGGTAGATGGGTCTTGTTGTGTCGCGTTTCCATCTTCAGAGCTCAATCTGAAGCCTTCAGTCGACGGCGTCGGGTCGTGCGTCCGGAGAGCTCGGCATGCGCCGTCCGTCCCTCATTGAAGACTCAAAAGAAGGGAAAGTATCTGTCTTGACCCCACCGGAGCTCTCCTAGCTTCAAAGGACATTTGATTTTGGGGGATCATTTGCGATGAGGTAAGTCGACACAAACGAGCAGCCAGCTCCGAGCCTTTGGAAAGCTTTGCCTTGAAGACAATATCCAGATCCGGCGACGGACTCGGGACGGCGGCGGGAGGAATGCCTCATCCGCGTTAAGTCAAGCTCTAGAGCGTCTGCCACCAGTCCTTCTTAGGACACGGGCTCCGGTGAACGGACGAGGAGGCTGACCAGTGGGATAACTGTGGCTTGCTTTCTCGAAGGAGCGCTAGAACAGATCTATCACCGTTCCGACACGCCACGTCGGAAATGGTGGCCGTGCAAGGCATCTCGCGTACGTCTAGCTTGTCGTCTAGCGGCTTTTCACTTGCTGTCTCGCTACTGCCGATCGAGCCAGTGGCTAAGCCTCTGAGGACAATCCTTGAAACAAACTCAGTAGCCCTCTGGCTTCATGAGACATGAGTAATTCCATTAGGTCAGCGGCATCAAACCTGACTTTGTTAAAAAGATGGTTTTTGTGGTCGGGATACCTCCGATTCATACCCCCTTGGCAAGGGAGATCGGCCCGGGGATGTGTGCCGGGTCATGATCCGGAAGTGCCGCGATGCAACACAGTCATGGCCTCTCAGGCCCCTTCTTGCACATGTTAATCGAATGCCCAGTCGCCTCAAGATGCCAAACGACAATATCTGTCACTTGTCAGATTGAAAGTTCGGTAGCTACAACTCTAATGCCTTGCACGAGGCACTACTGCGAGACATAAAACAGTGTGGCTATGAACAGGAATACGACGGCTTTAATTAACAGCCCAGGGGAACCGAGACAACCTTCACGTCCTTTTCTAGGGCGCCACAAGTGCAAACTTCTCCAGCATTTCAACGCCAGCCTCCTCTTTGACATTAGCAGCTACGCACCCTAATTCAGGACGTTGTGAGCATATTACTCCAGCGATTTTGCTTTCCTGTTCCGGCTTGTGATTCAACATGTGAGACATTTACCTCAGACTCCCTATTATTGTTCTTGAAGGAAATCATAGGCTCGAAGGATCAAGTCAAAGGGCTGAATGGTCAATGGCACACTCGCTAGAGCGTCTTGGCTTCCGGCCGCTTCGTCGCTGCGGTATCCTCCCGACATGAGTTCGTCGGCAGATTCTTTGCCGTGTGCACAAGCCAGGGAACAAGACATCTAGACGGCTCTTGGGTGACGCCTGTGGATCTCCTGCTACCAGGATCCAGGTACACGGATGACGGACGGATGACGGGGCTGGCGATAGTTTGTTTGCAGGATGGGTCTGGAAGGGGTCCGGAAATAACCCCTTACGTGACAGACTGTGGACCAGATTCACATGCACGGTTGAATGGAACATCCAAGCGTCGTCTCCAGCATCTCACGGTTCTCATCCTGTCGCCTTGTTTAATCGGGAAGAGCAGGGACGATGGTGTGTCCCGTGGAAACCTCGACAATGTGGAGGAAGGCCTGGCGAGCTTTACACCTGCATGCAGCGGGAACTGCTGTTTCTTGGCAGGCTAGCATGCTTTAAGGATCTAGCATTTCCTTCAAACACGTAGCGGGGTTGAAACATTGGGATAGGCGTCAATAGACGACAAAACTACCATGGCTATATGCGACAGGGCTATCACTAAGAGCTGTGTAGCTGGTCAAAGTAGGGCCTCTCCGCTTGCGGTGTAATCCTCAACATATGCCGCCTAGTTGTCCCCTCTTCGACCCTAAAGTCTCGTAGCGCAGGGTGCTGAGTGTTCCTGTTGTCGTAGACCACCACCGTCCCCGGCCTCCAATGAACCCGCAGGTGCCAGTCCTGGCCTTTTTCGATATGGTCAAACAAGAATCCTAGCAAGGCGGCACTCTCTTTCTGCTTCATACCGACAATTTGTTTCGTGTACAGCCGATTGACGTAGAGAGAAAGCTTCTTAGTGACGGGGTGAGTTCTCACGACTGGATGGATGGTTTCAATGGGTTCCCGGATGTACCGGTCGCGGTGGCCGTTCACCGAAGCTTGAGAAAAGCCAGAGTGAACAGCCTTCAAGCTGTGAAGCAACGTACGGTAAGTTTCTGAGAGAGCGTAGTAGGCTGCTGTCGTGGAGAGGTAAAGAGTATCCCCTCCAGATGACGGAGTGCTAAGAGGCAAGAAGGTCGTCGTACCCATCCCGTTACTGTATGTTGTCAGGTTCCAGTTCGATGACGTGTGATTATTGGCAGCGGACTTACATCTCATAACTCATGTCGCCGTGCCACTTCACGCTGGAGACATTGTCTTTGATCTCGTTATCGACAGCACCTGCCCTGCATTGTCTGTCAATTGTCCGTCTCTGCTTCAGTCATCGCGGTGAACCTACGTGAAGTCGCGGTACACAGGGAGTAGTTCTGGGTAGTCCTTGATCTGACCGCCCATCTGATGGACATGCAGTGGTCCGAAGTGTCGTCCGTAGGCTTTCTGCTTCTCAGGTCCGATATCTACGAAGTCTTGGTCTCGAAAAATCACCACGCTCCGCTCGGCTGCGAGAAGTGCCAGCTCATCAAGTTGGACAGAGCTCAGTTGACTAAGTTGGATTCCATGGACCTCAGTACCGATCGCTGGTGTGACTTCCTCATGGCTGACCTGAATTGCTCCCAGCAGATTCTTCTTAGTTGAATCAGCCCTCAAACCGACATCATCATGTTGGAACTCTTCTAACGGAGGCTGAGTTCTGGGCACGAAATGTGGCAGGTAGCTTTCATACTTGTACTAAAATCGATCAGAACCTGTCTATTAGAAAGTGTTATGTATTCTTACGCTCTCCCTATCGTAGTTGATAGATGTTTCTGCCCGAAGCTGAATTGTTTGGGGCTCTTCCATGACCTCTGTGCTTACTTCTGTCGCCATTGCGATGAACGTTATTGGTAACTTAATCCGGTAAACAATCTAAACAATCCAAGCACTCTGGATGCCTTGATCACATCAGAGCCGCCCATCCTGATATAGAAATGGCCGGGTGCTTATTTCCGTGTTTGAGGTTGTACATGCTAGCACGCGATCTTATCCTCCTTGTTGCGACATCATCCTTGGGAATTCGTCATGACATCTGCGCCCTCACATTGGTCGACAATTCCGTATCATATCTGCATCTTATCTTTCGCGACAATACTACCGACATCAACAGCATTGAAGCTCTCGGTAAAAAAAATTGGATGTAAGGTAGTTCTCCTCTTTCCTGATTGCGAAATTCAAATGCCTTGCTTGTCGCCGGAGACCCTGGCAAGGATGCACTTGCCGGCATGCCTTATGTTTTTTGTGTTGCTTGCATCGGGCAGTTTCTGAAAATTCTTGCTGCACTGAGTACAAAAGGGTACTTCAGAAGATGATAGAGGATCATCATCATCAGAAGCAATGGCGTGCTCCAAGTAGAAACGGGGTACGCTATATGAACTGCACATGATGAGGGACGCAGATGGTCTTCACACTTCAATCAGCTTAGCAGTTTGTTCACTTACCATTTGAAAACATGACCAGTGACGGCAGAAAGCAGGATTTTGAGGTGTCTACAGACCCTGAGGTCCAACTCGCATCTAGCGAGGTTGGTAGATGGAGGGTACTCTCAAACATCTCACGAAAGATCTGGGGTGATGACCCACGAGAGCGTAAATATGTTCGGAAGTTGGACACCTTCCTCTTGTGAGTCGGGCTCTTACTAACTTTATCCTGTTCTAACTGACCATGGCAATAGCTCTTACGTGCTTCTCGGTTATTTCATCAAGTACCTCGATCAGAATAACTACAGTAATGCCTTCGTCAGCGGCATGCAGGAAGAGCTTGATCTTTATGGCAATGAGAGAAATCTCCTGAATACATACTTCAACATCGGTATTATCTTGGGTACTATTCCAGCGCAGATGATCCAGTTAAAGTATGTACGTCCGTCGATTTGGATACCGGCGTGTGAACTCGGGTGGTCTGCCTTGACAATGATCATGGCGAGTGCCAGGAATGTGGAGACGGTATGTTCACAGTCTCTGTCGCTCTCAGAGGCGTTAAAGTAGAACATTGCTGACCAAGTATCTTTAGCTGTACGCTTTGCGCTTTTTCATAGGGCTTCTCGAGTCATGTTCCTTCCCAGGTTTCGCTAGCATACTGGGGAGTTGGTATGGCAAGTCTCAACTCGCCAAGCGTATGGCTTTGTTTGAGCAGACAGCTGCGATTGCTGGTATGTTCAGTGGATACCTCCAGGCAGGGCTTTTCACTGGTATGAATGGGACAGCTGGGCTGTCTGGCTGGAGGTGGCTCTTCATCATGGATGGTCAGTAATCGGCACAACTTCAAGGCGATGTGGAGCCGGTATTGATCATTCATAGGCGTCATCTCGATACCGATCGCTTTGTATGGATTCTTTGCGCTTCCTGATTTACCACACAACACCAGAGCTTTCTACCTTCAGAAAGAAGTAAGAGCCCATCTCCTGCATTAAGCTAGTGAGCCGGACGTACAATGCAGGCTGACCGATACCAACAGGACCGTGAATATGGCATGGAGCGCATCAAAGCTATGGGTCGCATATCACCATCGAAGTTAACCCTGAAGGCCATCAAGGAGATATACACCTCATGGCAACTTTGGGCTTTCATACTTCCGTACCTCATGGTAGCTGAAGCTGGGTCCGGTACCGGGTATTTCAACCTCTTTCTCAAGTCGGAGGGTTATAGCGTCGTCAAGACGAACATCCTCCCGACGATAGGTTTGTCTAACAACGACTGCAGTCAGCTTCGACGTGAAGAGTGCTGAGACCTTACCTATTTTCAGGGAACGCCATACAGATAGTCGCAGCGTTTGCTATGGGCTGGCTTTCAGATGTCACGGGTAGTCGAGTAATGACGGTGATATTCGTACAGGTAATGGTGCTTGTGTCGAACATCATGCTGTCAATATGGAACGTTCCTAAGGCGGCTTTGTTTGCGGCCTTCTATTTAAGCTATACCGGCGGTGCGGCTCAGCCAATTGTCATCAGCTATGGGCACGAGATCACGCAATCCAATGCAAATCTCCGACAACTGCTGGTCGCTACGGGCAACATCTTTACCTACACCTTCAGTGCTTGGATGCCCGGTTAGTCTAATATCATGCGGGGATGCTTTTCATCTTGCAAGTCTCGGATGTTCTAATTGCTAATGAACTCCTGAAGTTGTGTTATTTCCAACATATGACGCCCCCAAGTACAGGTATGGGTACCAGATACTCATTCTCTTCGGCGGGCTTGCCGTTGGGGGCATGTATCTGCTTGACTTTCTGTACAAACGGGACTTGTGGGTTCGAATTCTTGGAAATGAAACCATAAGAAAAGCATTAACGTTCAAGTAGGAAACGCAACCCACAGCTTTACGAGGTCGAGCAGCAATCTGAAAATGATCAGCTCACGTCAGAGAGACGTAGCGATGCTGCTTTGGGGCCCGCCCGGAGTGGTTTCGAGAGCCGATATGGAACCGTCACAAATGTGGATACATCACTCAGATCGAAGTAGATCCAAAACCGCTCACCAGACTGTCCAAGATCTTGCAAGTTGCACAAGGTTCAAGATGGGATATATGATGGTTGGCAATGGGCGGTGCGCTACCTATGGTCGTAGGCATCTATTCGGCCTGGTTGACAATTTCAAGAACGTATACCATTGGACATTCGCCAGACCACAAAGAAAGCGGCCAGTGGGATACGACGAAGAAATCGCGGCTGATGTTGCTTCTGATACAGGATAATAAAGTTTTGTGTACAAGCTTGAGGGCATGACCTGAAGATGTGCTAGAAGCGAGCTATACGAGCATGTCTTCAGGCCAATTCCATGACTTCTTTAAGTGAGCCAGTCTACCTCAAGATGTCAGCAGCCTGTCATAAGTTCCAAGGGTAAGACTGGCAAAGGGGACGGGCGTTCTTACATCAATGACACATCCCAGCTGAAGTCATCCGCAGTATTTGATAGCAACTCGTAGAGGACTTCTTGCTCTTCTCTGATGGTGAAACGGTCGCCCGCCAAGACTATGGCCATGCAGGCCGATCTGTTGATGAATGAGTGATGATCCAAATATCCCGAGAGTTCATCAACCTACATATGAGCCGGGTTGCATGGGCTAATTGAGTCTGCCATGCCGGCAAGAATTTTCACGTCGGTAAAGATCTCTTTCTGCAACACATATGTGAGCAGAGAAACTGCGGCCCCCAAGTAATAGAGACTTACATTGATCGACCGGGCTGCTTGTTTAGATACTTTGGCCAAGCGTTGCGCATCGGGATTATGTATCGTTAAGAGAATGCGGTTGATGTGATAGAATAGAAGCCCCATTACGACAGAGTCGTTCAATAGAAATATCTCTGGAAAGAGGCTACCACGCAACGGGGCTTGTACTAAAACCGGTGTGAACGACTCTGGAACTGACCTCATCCACTTTGCGGCGTAGGATACCAGCTGATCGTAGGTCTCGCGGGGCTTGTTTCCCCCATAGCAGTAGTTGAGTACGTCGACGGTGTGGAGGCACATCCGCCATGCCCAGATGTCGTCGTCCGCTGGTTGGAGGGAGCGATCGAAGTCGACATGCTCTATTTCGAGGTCTAACTTTTCATTTCGCATGACAGACCGAAAGATTTCAATACGTATCCAGGCCCACATTGCTGCCTCTAGGAGAGTACCGTGTTCGGGAGTCTTGATGTGCGTGGAGAGGAACCTCCATATCGGGGTTTCGGGTGTCTTTTGACACAACGGTGTGACTATCACGAAAGTCAGCGAGACAGAGTAAATGGCTTGATGTCACAAATTCTTTGCCAGGTACTCAAGTTCCACGCGAGAGGCAATGTAACCATAGCCTTGGGCAGTGGGAGGACGTACTATAGATATTCTCATAAAGCCTGAGCAGAACGGCGGCAGCAATGTGTGCCTCATCGACCTCAGAAACAGCGTCATCCAAGGCAGGCTGCAGAAGCTCCATAGTCATATCATAGTATCGCTCTGCAGGTTTATCAAAGAAATTCAGGCTGTCGCCCTCATCTTTTGACTTTGCCGCGACAGCTAAGACAGCATTGAGCAGCACGGGGCTTAGAGCAGCATGCTGCAGAAGGAGAACCGAGATCCGATTGTGCGGGTCGCCATAGTCAAACGAGGCCGCGATAAACTCCCTGAAGTGGCGAACTAAGTCTGCCTCACGACGGTCTTCTAACGGAAAGTTGGCGGAACTGAAGGATCGACGCGGCTCGGGCAAGCTAGGGTCATCGCAGTGGCTCCCGCTACCAATTTCGCTGATGGCGCTTCGAGGCACTGGTGAGAAGGACCGCGGCGCATCGTCTGACTCCAAGTGGCCTGACGATGGGCTTCGGAAGGCAGGATGAGGGTGTAGGGCGGGCAGCTTCGTCAAGGGGTACGGCTGGCCTTTCTCGATGGGCAAAGGACTCTGGCCAGTTTCGTTGGCAGCGGCGTCCGAGTTTCGGCTTGGACGATTGGTCGATGACGGCTTGATGAATGCATCTTGTCTTTTCTTAGTCCGTCGCGGTGGTGGTGCTGGTGGACTCGGGGGATGATCTTCGATCGAGATGAAGTCTTCGTCGTCGGAGTCGAATCCATCGTTGTGGAGGCTGTTTATATCGGCAGTCTCGTCGATGAAGCGTATCCTCTTCCCTGACACCCGGCACCACTTTTGCGTATCTGAGAACTCATATTGGGCCTCCCCTCGATTACCATCGGTGTCACTGTAGGTTGGAAGCAGTCAGATGCGTGCCTTTGGGTTGGGGGAACAACAAATAAGAGAGAATGGGAATAAGCAATTCACCTTGGCACGGTAATGTGTCTGAACTTGAGCTTGGTACCACGGACACAAGCCCTGCCTTTCCGAACACACTGCCCGCAAGGGGCTCCTTTATCGCCTATATGAATAAGTCAGCTATTGGAACGGAATACCATCACTACTCCCACTGTTGAAGGGGGTAGATCCACCCCCGCACTCACATTTGATATGTCTGGGGAAGGCAGTACAAAATCAGATTAGTGAACTGTCCGGGGCCTCGCGGTAGATCGATCCGTTCTCGGTCTCGGGCTAGGAGCGAGGGGTTCTGCGGCCCAGGGAAATGGATGCCATCCCCGCGGGTTCCGCGAACCTATCCGAGAGGCCGTGGCATTGGCTGCCCTTTCTGCCAAAGCAAGGGACGAATAAATTACAAATGGATGATGATTTGAGCAAATAGGTCCAAGTAACATACCTTGAGCGACAGCTTTCGCATCCTGGCCTTCTAACGGTTCCCGGTGTGGGCATTTCAGGCAAGAAAACAGCGACTGATTCTTACCTGCACTACAGGGCGGCGATTCCTCTTCGACGGCGGCAGATGGCTTAGGTGAGACAACAGAAGGCGAGCAGCATGTTTGTGGGGGAAAGGTGAACGGGAACTGGCGGCTGGTGTGGGATGCAGCCAATGTGCACACCATTGTATGGGCGAGGGACCGGGGCCTTTCGCGCGGTTTTATCCAAGTCTACCGAACTAAGGAGGAGTTTCCGTGCGGGGACAATAATTGGAGACGTGCGGTAAGAACGCCGAATGTCGCCGATGGCGCGTCAAAGTCATTGGGGCTATATGTTACGATAATAGTCTCGTGCATATTGCATGCCGGTAGGCGTCTGGTACTGAACTGGGTTTGAGCTTATGTAGTCCTCTGGGTTGGTAGACAATCGCAATTGAGGTCATAGTAGATTTACGAAGAAGGCGCAATCAGAACCGTAAGCTGAATTTGTAGATGACATGGGCGGCATGGGTATCCTCATTTAATCTTGTTGTTTCCGCCTTGCGGATAGCCTCAAACCCCAACGAAGCTTTGCCGCCACATGTTGCGAAGAAACTCCTCTGGCATCTGCTGGGAACTGGTACCTGCTTGAGTTGATCGTGATCTCATATCTGTCTGGGGTAGTGCGAATTCAAAAAGTCTCCGGATTTCTGGAACCAAATCTATCAACAGGCCGTCGCGGAAAGCATTGCCACATTCAATTAGAAGAGTAAAACATGAGCGAAACCCCCAAAAAATGATCCACTGACTCGGCCTCTGCCCCGGACCCGCTTCCCCGCGCTCGGGATCGCCACGGCGCGCGCAAATTTTGCCATTTTGGTCATGAAGAGTAAGGCTTTCCGTTGTCTGACAACTGCTCAGACGAATTGGCGGTCGTGATTGGCCTATTCAACCAACCTTTCTCGATGTTGTTTGCAACAGCTTCAGCCTCTAGCCATGGCATCTTGCGCTATCAGTTTCCCGAATGCCGCAGAACACCGGTAGGAAGGAAGTTCCAACCGTATTCAGTATCATCGTGAGTACGTCTTGTTCAGGAGATCACTTTAGAAGCTCCATATTCGTGCATGCCAGTGTCTTGCTCGCATATATAAGATGAGGAGCTCGTGCCTGGTCCGCCAGATGATTCCAGCATGCCAGTCTTCTTTTTCCACCCACCTTGTTGATTCACCTGCATTCATACCCCTCCAAAAGCGCCTAAGCAAACCTTTCGGTCTATCCACGAATCACATACACAAAAATGGTCCAGAAACTCAGAATCGCGGCGTCTGGCCTCGGCCGTATGGGCAAGCGTCATGCCATCAACTTCCTGCACCGCACTCCCCGCGCGCAGCTTGTTGCTGCCTTCACCCCGGATGAGAATGAGCTTGTTTGGGCACGACAGGAGTTGGAGCCTCACGGAGTCACTCTCTACACCGACTACGATGAGATGCTCACTCACGAGGGCCTCCAAGCCGTCGTCATTGCCACCGTTACCAAGGTGCATGCCGATCAAGCTATCAAGGCAATCAACAAGGATCTTCATGTCCTTTGCGAGAAGCCCATCTCTCTCGACCTCGCCAAGGTCAGTAGCTTCCAACCATCAATCTTGCAGACTCATTACTTACACTACACAGTCTATGGAGGTCGTCACTGCTGCGCAGCACAAGCCTCATCTCAAGGTCATGTGCGGCTTCTCCCGCCGTTTCGACTCATCATATAGAGACGCCTTTGAGAAGATTGAGACGGGCTTGATCGGCAGACCTTCCGTTATCAGATCTCAAACATGTGACAAGCATGATCCCAGTGGCTTCTTTGTCAAGTATGCAGCCCTGAACGGTGGCTGTTTTGTTGACATGAGTGGTCAGTACCCTTCCCGATCATCCAAGCGTAATTGGCTGCTTATTCTAAAAACCAAATACAGTCCACGATATTGACCTGTCACTGTGGTTCTTTGGCGAGGACTCCCAAGTCAAGTCGGTTTCAGCATCTGGCATCACAGCTGTTTCTCCCGAGCTCAAGGAGCACGGCGACTGCGACAATGCCGTCGGCATCGTTGAGTTCTGGGGCGGCAAGATCGCCTACTTCTACAACTCGCGTATGATGGCGCACGGACAAGAGGATACCACAGAGCTCATTGGCACCGGCGGCAAGCTCACAGTCAATGGCAACCCCCAAGCCAACTTTGTAAATTACTACGGACCCCAGGGTATCACAAGGGAGGTTCCCGCCCACTACTACGGTCGGTTCGAGTATGCCTTTGTCCAGGAGGCTAACGAATTCACCGCCGCTGCACTGGACAACACCAAGTTGCCTCTCAAGTTGACCAACGCTGTCAAGGCTGTCCAGATTGGGTCTTACCTGCAAGAGGCACTGGAGTCAGGCAAGAAGTTGTACTTTGACGAGATTGGCCGGCGCCTTGACAAGCAGGCAAAGTTGTAGACAATGTTATGGGGGACAGATAGAAAGTTCTCTCTTGCTTAATGAAATAGAAAGTATTTACTCAGTTCCTGTCTACTGAAGATGCTGTACCAGTCTGCTCACCCCCGTACAACTACTTCATACAAAAGGACATGTAGATCCATACGCACAAACTTCGAACAAAGGTAGACTAAGCGCTAGGGTTTGATTTATAGATGATGATTCCTTGCCAGGAAGCAGGCATAGCCTGCAGGCAGCATTGACCCTGCCGAAACCTAACGTCTGTCCTAGACATTGGCTCTAAGCTTCTTCTCTGCGGAAAAATGTGATAGAGACAAGCAAAGCCGAGGTGACTTTCAGTTTTTATCAGTTCCGAGCCTCTGCAAAAAGATGCCCAAAGGCACTATTGCAACTATCTTGTGACCATTGAGAGTTCAGTTGCTCCTCCAAATCCTTCGTGCGCCATCCAGTCCGTTGATGTATTTTGTCGAGCAAATCTAGGCTTTCGCGTTGCTCTTTGGGGTCCGTGAGATATATACCACCTGTAAATGCGAACACGGACGCAATAGTCAGTTGTATGCTCATTCGTGTCAGGATCAGGCGGGGGCGATTACAAGCTCTCAATGCATGGGCAGCTGTGAAACTAGCGTTTACTACCAGCGGATTGCTAATCGCGAGGCCTAGAAGGAGACGGAAGTTGTCCAGAACTGCTTGCTGAGCGATGTTAGTCGGATCGTACGTTGACGGCGCCCAGGTCAAGAACTTACCTCTGATTCCCTCCTCCGCCTAAAGGTATCAAGACTCGGTTTGCTAAGGTATGGGTTGAAAATATGTAAGATCATTCGCGCAAGACTGTAATGCTGGTATCCCACCACTGTGTGCGCAAATTGTTAGCTTCCCTAAGGATAGAAGACCGATGTTCGTGCAATGTTGAGTCTCACCATGCGCAGGGTGCGTCATCCACACCGTTGGAAAAGCAGATCCATTGGCACTTGTATCATGCGGCGGGTCTACCCAAAGAGGATCTGCGTGCCAAGGATTAGAGACGAGCCAGTTTCCCAGCTCCTGGTTGAGTTTATTCCATCGATCGAGGTCTCTGACCATGGTGGGTTGGAAGGCGTATGCGCAAGCTTGCGCGCACAGAAAGACGGCACGGTTGGCGAGGCACTCGGGATCGGAAACGACGAACGAGCTAGAACCTTTGTAGCTATCCAAGTTGATGCTCAGAGGCTGAGATTTGACCAGAGCAACCCAATAGTCCTGGCGCAATACGATCCAGCTTGCTGCTTCCCCCAGTCCACCTTTGCTGGCAAGGCTGAACATGGAGTTGAGAAGCTTAGAGCTGCCGGATAAATGAACGCCAAAGTCAGTATCTTGAGAAACAAAGTCAGTTTTCAAAAGACAATCGCAACCAAAGTTGGCAACTCTCACCAGTCATTTCTTCGTATTGTCTCAATATTACGATCGCCGCCAGAACTTCTTCGTTAAGGGCCTCTGTAGAGCTGCCCAGGATCGGGATCAAGATTTGCAAGGCGTGGCTGTAATAGGTAGAAGGTTTGGAGTCATCTGTTCCTTTGATGGAGCAGAGGCTTCGAGATGCCAATGCTATGATCGCGTATGCAAGCAGGGGTGAATGACATGCTCTTTTGGGCACTTCTGTTCCGAAATGTCGACGCTTGTCGCTCACGTCTACCTGCATAATTTTCAACATTAGCTCTCGATGACCGTGTCTGTGTACATGTACTTTCAGGGCGATTACTCACCCATGTAGAGAGATCATGAATGTAGTGCATGAATAACCTCGCTTTTTCCCTGTCTTCGAATGGTCTTCCGACACCATGTTGACTCAACGACGGGGCAATTGAGATAGATTGGAAAGAGTCATCCTGAGTGTCTCTGCATCATTTGCGTCAACAAAAGCTTGAACACAACGTAACGCGTAAGACTAACTTTGTGACTGTGTCTTCATCCAGGCCTCTTTGGCCAGCCCGCCTCGCAACGCTGATGTCTAGGAGCGACGGCAGAGGACTCTTCCATATCTCGCCGGGCGAATCATGCTCAGACATCCCTCAACATGCCCGCGATGCTGTCTTGAGGCCAGTTGATGTCGTCGTGCTCGAGCAGAGATGGACCAAAGTCATCAAGCTGTACTTACTCAGACAGGCGTCCGGACCAGGGGTTGCTACGATAGTACGGATGGTTACGGATACATGTACGGCTATTCGTAGAGATGTGGACTTCGCGTAGGAAAATGTACGCGGAGTTTGGCGGATTACATTTCCTCTTTCGGGCTAGGATGTGGCGGTGCGGAGAGGGAAAGGTTACCCTCTTGGATCTTGTCGCATGTTCTAAAGGAGCTACCCGTAGGCCGAAGGCCCAGTAATAATAACCCCGCTTTTCATGGAGCCGACACGGAGTAGTCCGCGACCTCGGGCGTCACTTCAGCCTCGTTGCTTTCGAAGCTGGAAATATCACTAAAGTTCAAGATCCTGTAAAATCTCAAACGTTATTATGTTATTTCTGAAGAACACCCAATGAGGTCCATCAGTAGGAACCTTTTTTAATTGCCGATGATTTAGGTGTTTATCATTTGAGTCAGTTACACACGAATTAAGCATATACCGGTCCAAGGCGTGCAGCATCAACGCACGAGATGGCTGTCATCTCATTGCGCTCAGACTTCGACTAACACGTGAAACTCGATTATGCAGCTTTGACTTCTGGATCTCTACACAGATCACTGGCTCTCCACTAAACCTACAGATGTACTCGAACCCTAGGTTGGCGATTTGGCTACTCATTTCATCATCATTGGCGTCTCTGAAGATGGCATGTATCGAGCTATTGAAGTCTTTTCGATTAGCACTTGCCCGGTGTAAGAGACGTACTGCTAAGGCTCATGTAGTGACTATAACGCAGTTGCTACGAAACAGGGCGGTGAAGATAAATATGCAGCATCGGTGGATCACAAGAATACACATACTGGACACTTGTGGTCTGCAACATCCTGAATTCGATGCGTATCCCGCCGCTCATACTGTAGTGGTCAGTTTCGACATCTTAATGACATTGATTCATATCTTTGCAGACTCAAATAACCCACCTAACACGATTCGGAGTAGTAGCACGATATACTGTGACAAGGTACTTACTGAGATGACGTACAGAAGTCTAGAAGAACTCGGACCGAAATGTCACGATGAAATTACTAACACTGTAGAGCCACGGAGCGCCACGGAGATGACTGATGGTGACGGAGTGGAACTTCCTGCCAGACCGAAGAGCAAATGGCAAGCCAACTCCAATGAGTGGTGGATTATCGGCAACTGGACCGATCCGCGACCCACGCCCGGTTCTATATTCGTAGATAATAAGGTGCCAGTGCGCTGTCAAGGTTCACATTACGCTCGCCAAGCCAACTTTGAGATGAATCTAGCCGAAGTGGCCAATTGATTTAGAGTTGCCCGGCCGGCAGGTCGGCCGGCAAGTCAAACCTCGGCGTTAAGAGAAGTCGCTCGCAAAGCATAATCACGGACTTATGTGTCCATGATCTTGGAAGCGACCTTTACGTAGCGACACAAGTTTAGTAATACATCTAGTTGCAAGGAGCCGAATGGACGATGCTTGTACGAATGAGAGCACTCGGCATCCTACATTGGATTCGGAAGGAGGATGCTGCCTAAGCGATTTTCCACCCATCGCTAAGGTCCACGGATATGTTTTGTGAAGTCATTCATTGGAGAAGCAAAGATGAGCCCCATTCAGTAATTGACAGTTATCGTGAGACCATGGGCTTGACTTATCTATTGGGCGGAAAAATTGCAGAGTGCGGGTTGACTTTGGCAGCCACTCGGACTGACTTTGGGAGCAACACTCTGCGTGGCGCCGTACATGCGTTTCAGCGGGCCTGGTGACTTGGGAAAGACAGACTGCCACGCCATACCCATACGTGGTTTCAGAGGAAGTGAATCGAACTAAACGCATTGGCATGGCTACATGTCATCACTACACCCTTGCAGACGATTCCAAAGTCACTCCCGCGGGTTGGCGGCCAGAACTGAAATGACGCTCCTCCCTATTAGATCCTATGCAGTTCCAGCGTGGACTCAGTTAGCCTTGCTACTGAAATCGAAGTAGTACGGTCCTGAAAGAAAGGGATAGCTTTGGTGAACGCAGACAACCAGTCTGCCTTCTCTGATAACTTGGTGAGCGAGTTTTCAGAGGCCTTCTCCGTAGGCTCTAGGCTCATCCTCTTGAGTGGGCCTCCCAAAGTGAAAACAGCTAAGTTATGGCATATTTAATTGACGGGCCTCAAGAGAATATGTTCATAAATGACCCCACCCCTCATCTGTGGCAAAGCCTAGGTGGGGCCGTCGGACGAGGAGATATTGTTCTCGCATTCACGGATGAACATATTTAGCGGAAGTAAGGTAGAAACAGTGAGGAGATTCATTCAAAAAGGCGGAAAATTCGAACAAGCATTTCCCAAATCTGTAGAGCTCAAATAAAGTATCCGCCTCTGGCAGAGTGAACTACCTGAAGCTGGTGCGGTCCCAAATCAGGCAGATGAGAGGGGCCATTGAAGTCGGGGCCACTACCACTGAAGAGCGTGGTAAGATCCCTACAATTGTATCAGGTTGACTTAGGTAATACCATCAAATATTCCGTGGCAATCTAGCCTGGTAATGCACATTGGTTCGTTCAAAAAGGTTTTCATGTTCATTTTCGCTGGAAGCCGAGATTGGAAACAGCCCGGGCTAATCTAGGGCTTTCAGATATGTGTCTATCACGTAAATCGGCGGCGCGACGGGCAAGGCGTGATGCTATCCAGCTGCCACCACTCTCGGTTTGACAGACACCTCAATTCCACAGTCAGCAACTTGAATACCCGTCTTAGATAGAAGAGCTGAATTTCTGGATTAATACTCTGCATAAAAATCAGTGAAATTGCTAGAGTTGAGATTCGTGAAGTCGATGCTTCACGAAGCCGTCGACGGTCCTACCTCACACTCCCACCCTCATATCCTACCGTGTACTACCATAAGCTACATGTAGATGACGACAGCACCTACAGCATCCATTGACCCTGCGATTCTTACCCTCTACATGACGAAGTTTTGGGGTTGCAATTATAGGGGTGACATAGAAGACACATTGCCGACGATGGTCGACTCGAACTAATCACTTCCACGGGACCTGCGTCTTAGGATAAGGTAGGTAGAGATATTACTCATATTAAGCGCATCGCTGCTACTCCAAATGCAAGAGTCACGCTGAAATCAACAAGAACCTCCCAAAATTGCCTCCCACACCCTCGCTGTCTACTGATTCTGGCTCAGAATCACATCAGCAGCCTTTTCACCGACCATGTACGTAGACACAGCAGTAAAAGTGCCAGGAATTCTCGGGTATACCGACGCATCAACAACCCTCAAGCCATTCACACCACGCACCCTGAAGCTTGAATCCAGCACAGCCATCGGATCATTATCGGCACCGATGGGACACGTTGACGAAGCGTGGTGACCCCACGCCGTATCCTTGATGTACTGCTTCACAGCCGCATCACCCTGGACGCCCGCACCGGGCAACTCCTCTTTGATGGGCACCAACTGGCGCTTGAACGCGTCGCGGGTGAGCTTCACAGTCTCCGTCATGGCCTGCAAATCCGCCTCGGCGTTGCCGGAGCCCGTATCAAAGTAGTTGTAGAGAATATCCGGCACGTCGAGCGGATCAGACGTGCGCAGCGTCACCGAGCCGGCCGTGTTACGCGGGTGCGACTTGAGAATTGCCCAGCTGAACCAGTCATGCTCAATGGTTGCGTTGACGCTGTAGCCGGGGAAGTAGCCCCTAAAGTTGACGGGTCCGCCAAACGCAAAAACATCCCACTCGTTGCGCTCGGTGGTGCTGCTCTTGTAGAACATTGTCGCCGCGAAACCCGAGGACTCGTAGATGCCGCGGTCGCCGAGGATTGGTGTGTTCCAGCGCGCGAGGCATGGGTCGGATTGTCCGTTGAACCCGAAAGTGCAGCCGTTGAGCGCGCTAAAGTCGGCGGGCGTGCGGCCCTGGACGGTGATCTCGTAGTGGTCTTGCAGATTTGTGCCGACGCCGGGGAGGTCCTTGACGACGGGGATGTTGAACTTGCGCAGCTCGGCGGCGGGGCCGATGCCGCTGAGCTTGAGGATCTGCGGGGAGTTGTAGGCGCCGCCGGCGATGATGACTTCGCGGGAGGCCGTTGCTGTGCCGCGGGTGCCGGCGCCGGCGTTGCGGGAGCGGGGACTTGCGCGGTATAGGTATTTTCCGTCAAGGAACTCTACGCCTGTAGCCTTGGGCGGGGAGGAGTTGTCGAAGAGGACTTTGGTGACGTGGCAGCTTGTGCGGACGTCGAGGGGGTAGCGCTTCGCGCCAGTGATGGTTTTCGCGTCGCGGACGGCGACAATGAACTCGCGGGAGCCGACACGGTGAGCGTCGTTGGAGGAGATGGGAATCTGGTAGAAGCCTGGCGTCGTGTCGCGGCTGGCGGCCACGTTGTTACCATCGCCGGCGAGGAGGGTGGCGATGTTGAAGACTAAGTTTGTCTCGTTTCCAAGGGCAAAGGCGCCGCCGGTGACAAGGCTCAGGAGCTGAGGGTCGAGAAGGGCAAGGTTGAGAGGCGCTGTCTCGGTGCTGTACCAGCCATTGTATCCATGGCCTGGCACACCGGGGAGGAGGTAACGGTTGTTCTCCATGCGAATGAAGTAGTTCCGCATGTTGTCTGCTGACCAGGACGAATCCCCGGTGAGGCTGGCGATGTAGTCAAAGTCGGAGCGATGAGGGTAGACGGCGATGAGTGCATTGTGGGCGGTGCAGCCTCCAAGGGTACCGGAGCGAGGATACAGAGTTCCCTTCATCTTGGAGCCGGACGGCGGGTTGAGCCCGGTGTACTCGCCGCCGCCTGGTGTCTCATATGTGGTCTTGAAGTCGCGAGCCTGTCTTGCCTCGTCGGCGTAGTGACGAACGAAGAAATCCCATGCCATGGCGTCATCTTCGGTGGATTTTGCTTGGTAGGCTGGGACAGTGTAGTTCTCGTTGGCTCCCTGGTCGTCGCCGGCTTCGATGAGAAGGGTCTTGCGGCCGGCAAGGGCGAGACGGGCGGCCAAGACTCCGCCGCCGGCGCCGGAGCCGACGACGATGAACTCATAGCCTGTCAAGTCGACAGCAGCGACGAGACTTGTTGAAGCGGCCAGGAGGCCGAAGAGATTTGTTAACCTCATAGCGATGTCTTGTGTGGGAAACGGCTTGACTAGAGTTGTAGATCGAGTTAGACATGGGAAATACAAAAGACGATGAAAACTTGGGGATAATACACACCTTGAGAGATTCGTCGACGCCGAGGTATCCGTAATTACTTGCAGATCTGGATACCCATCATATGAGGGATCGCCAGCTCTTATAAGCCACGATCGACAAGAAACAAATAGGCGCACATGGTGATGGTCTCTTTCGGGAGTCAGCTAGTGGGCAATTAATCTCCAGGTACTCGGCATGACGGAGAATGCCACCCTGATCCATGTCCATGCCTCTGCGCTTAGAATTAGTCGATAGCCCGGACACTGTTCCGGGCCTTCTCGGCGCGGGGTCACTGGCTCGGCCCGCCAAGACATTGCTGGCGCCTCCCTTTCGTGCTTGATCGAGTCAAGCTTTTGAGTTGTCTTTGGGCAGAGACAAAGAAAAGTGACGACATTGTAGATATTTGCGAATTCCAAACCAGATCATGGGGCTTTAAGAAGCGGTGAAGGTTCATCAAGGGATACGAGAACCTCAGCTATCGGACCAGGCACCAAGGGTGGAAGGATGTTGAGTTCTTTCCTTCTGAATCGAAGGAGCCAGTGAGAGAAGGAAACTGAAGGGGGAAACATCAAAGTTGGTCGATCTGGATGTAGGATATCGGATCGAGAAGTCGTGCATGTTGTGTTACTTCGGGGCTGCGCTCGTGTTGAGCAACACAGATCATCTGATGCAGAAATAGCAGTCCCTCAATCGGGCCATTCCTTGCACAGTCCTCATCTCAATTTTCGGATCCCTGTCGTCCGAATGCTCGCAGGCCATGGGGAACGATTTGAGGTTGCTGTTTTGCCCCCTTGGAATGGGGGAATTTTACAGTTCACTAGACCGCGCGGGATGGCCCTTCGCCGGACAGGGTATCCCATGCTCTCAACGCCAGCAACTCAACGACCTCGGGGACGACAATTAGACGTGCGGAACGGCGTTCGCAGGCGGCTTCACTTTTCGGAAGTGGCTGCGATGACGATCATTGTCGCATACAGCAGTGCTCTAGCAATCTGCCGAGATTGTTAGCAGACCTCTTTCAGTGATGGCGGTTCGCTAGTCTTTTGCTAGTGCTCGCCTCACCCCCCGCCGCGAGCGCTGCAATGCAACACTGAATCTTGAATTGACGGGTCTTCCCCGCACTGCACTCACTGCAGTTCTGTACTCCGTAGTCTGTCATGCGGGTTTGGTTGATCTCGGCCGTGAATGTCCTCCGTCTAGAGGGGTGGTTCGGGATCTCATGCAAGACTGAGACTGCGAGGTGATGAGTTAGGCGCGAAGTGATGGAAGCTACCAAGGTAAGTTGTGAAACTGACAACGAGCGGGCGACTCGAACATGACGGAGATGGCGTGGGAGAAGTTCTTCAGCCGGTGGGAGGCTAAGCGGCTCGTTTTCCGCAAGTCCATTCGGGCAATAATGGAGTTGGGGCGAGCTTGTCATTCTGGATTTGTTGTTGAGCAGCAACTGCTGTCGAGACCATCTCAACCGGCCCTTCTCTATCGCATCTTGCGTCAATGCCCATCAGAGCGTCTGCCGCCCAAGGAGGAAGCATGCCGAGTTTGGAGATACCGCCACCATTATCAGGGCGAGTGAAGGGTAGCATTCGAGGTCATGTCAGGGAGTCAGCATATCCTCCCTGTTTCTTGCTTCTTCCCATGTCCCTCCCTTTCAAGCGTCCCGTACATAGCGGACATGGAATGCTCCGAGACCCCAACGGACTTGAAAAGACGACAAGGAGGGGAAGAATCGCTACAGCGAGGTTTGCGAATATCTTGTTGTCCACGTGCGAAAGCAATGAATCGCTCGTCAAAAGATCGACAGTCCTTGCTCGTTGACGTGGTTCCCATAGAGTTCGGACAAAGATCGACCGGCTTTCCAGTCCCAGCCACGTTGTCGCGACCTCGCATATTCGCACTGACTTGCCAGCCTCGGATCTTTCGACCGTTGCTCGTCAACTGACAGCACAGACTTGATTCAGTGTCGGGCAAATGAAGTGAAGCAATTTGTTGCGAGGCCGTCGCACTCTTGATATCACCAGTCTGCGCTGCCTCTTCGAGACGACATGGTTGCCGAATCAAGCTAGAGGTAAGGTAGAGGGATGGGAAGGTTCGTGGGGCGGTGTCATGAATAAGCTTAATACGCCGAAGCCCAAATCGTGCAGCACAAGTGCATCTTTTTTCGCCGCCGGCTATGCTGTTGACTCAGGAAGACTTGATGGTTTGGCTGCGTTGTTTGGTTGGTAGGAGGAACAAATCTTCCGGGGGGTTCGTTGACTCGTTGGCGCCAGAAGGAAAGGAAATGGGAGCTCTTAAGATGCGGCTATCTGATTGGCCGCTCGGCAATCCGCGGTACTCCACCGCTGGGCCCACCCTACGGAGCTCTGACCAAGCAGATGGCCCTTCAACTACCAGCTTGAAGTCTGTCCTCTCATCAACCAGCATCTGTAGTGTAGTGGTTATCATCCTTGCCTTCCATTCCTCGGATCAGCAAGGGACCCGGTTTCGATTACCGGCGGATGCATCACGCTGGTTAACATTTTTTGCATTTTCTGTCAATTCGCTTTAGGTCTCTTCCATTTTTTATGCTTTTCAATGTAGTTCCTTCATTTGTTTTCGGAATCTCGTGGAAAGGTGTCCATTGGCACGGTTGGTAGTGTTCAGTTGAATGGGCAGGCACAGAGTTTGAATGAAGCTTTTCGGGGAAGGAAGGCCTGCGATTCCGCGACTCCGACCCGGCACTTCAGAGAATGATAAATGGTATGTATGCACGAAGTCTAACATATCCCCTCTATTTCTTGGTGAACGACTCCAACGAAAGCACTGTGCAATTATTTTAAAAATCCATTGTCTTTGAGAGAGTTACGGACTTCTCGTTCCTGGCAGTGTTTGTACTAAAACGCAGCATGCAGTCATGTTGATCATCATCATCATTACAACTACCTCGAGCTACCTTCCTGCATCGCATGATACCATGAAAGTAACGAGCGGCACCCCCAATATCTCGTCCACTATCTTCATTCAAATAGTAAAAGTCCCGTTCAACCTCAAATCCCGACTACTAGCCCCAACCCAAACCCCATACTCACCCTCACTCAACCGCCACTGCTGCGCACTCACATCCCAAAAGCTCAAATCCCGCCTCGTCAGCGCAAACTCCACCGTCGCGCTCCCGCCCGCTTCGACAAAAACCCTCTCGAAACCCCTCAACTGCTTCGCGGGCGTGCCCTCGACGGGGATGCCCACATACAGCTGCGCGACCTCGTGGCCGCCCACGCCGCCCGTATTCTGTACCGTCACGCTCACGGAGACGACTTCCTCCCAGAGGGCGGGGTGTCCGCCCTGCACGATGGCAATGCTCGGATCCGGGATACCGGCGCTCACGCCCGACGCGGGACTGGCGGAGAGGGAGGAGTAGCCAAAGGTAGTGTACGATAGCCCGAAGCCGAATTCGTAACGGGGCGAGATGCCGTCGCGGTCAAAGGCGCGGTAGTCGATGAATAAGCCCTCTGTAAAATCGTCCTGCGGGAACGGGCCCGCTTCGACAGTTGAGTTGAGGAGGTTGCCGTAGTCTGACTCGGCGCGGGCAACAGTATAGGGGAGTCTGCCGCTGGGATTTACGTCGCCGTAGAGGATATCGACAAGGGAGTTGCCCGATTCCTGGCCAGGTAGGCCGGCGAAGAGGATTGCTGTCACGTTAGGGTGGTCTGCCCAGGCTTCGACAACGCGGGTTCCTATTTCGGACGTGTTAGTGACGACTATGCTAGACAGCAGCATAAGACTTACCGGCAGAGTGCAGCACGACAATCGTGTTGGAGCAGTTGGCCGCGACGTTGTTGACCAAGTTGTCGCTAAACTCGTCCGTCAGGCTGGGTCGGTCGTACCCCTCTGAAGCCCACGCGTTGATAAAGACCAGACACGCCTCCGAGTTGACGTAGTTGGGCTGCGGGTTCTCAGAGTAGAAATCCCACTTGACCACCCCGCCGTCCGCGATGACACGATCCTGGATGGCCTGGAAAGGAGTAATAACATACGGCGGCGTCGTCGTTCCAGAGCCGCCACCAGAAAGCAACGTTCCGTTGAAAGTATCCGCTAGCACAGTGCCCCATGACGGGCCATAACTCGTGCTCCCCCATGGAGATGGAGCCAAGCTAGCATCGTATCCGTACACCGTCAGGAACTTGGGGTTCTTGAAGGGCAGCGTGCCATTGACGTTCTTCACGAGCACGGTACCGGCGGCTCCGATCTCGCGAATGATTGCCTTGTGCCCATTCTGCACGTCGACGGGTGCGTGCTTCTGAAGGTTCGAGTAGGCGCCGACGGCGGGGTAGTCGTCGCTGTCCTGGCCGATGTAGTACCATGCCGCGAGGATCCTCGTCGTCATGTCCTCGACGCGCTCGCGGGTGACGCTGCCGTTGTTGACTGCCTCGACGAGAGATGCACCCCAGAAGGCTTCGTTTGGCATGACCAGGTCGAGACCTGCGTTTGCGGTTGCCACGCCGGCGTGTTGTGCGCCCCCTGCGGCGATTGTAAGCAACAGTCATGGAGGCTCAGAAGAGAAGGGATGAGAGACTTACAATCGCTGACAACGAACCCTTCAAACCCGAGCTCAGTCTTGAGGACTCCATTGAGCAACTTGGAGTTCTGGCAGCCGTACGAGTTATTGGCGCGGTTGTAAGAACACATGACCGATGCAGCGCCCTCCTTCAACGCATCCATGAACGGGAAAACATAGAGCTCATGCAACGTTCTGTCGTCAACATTGGATGATCCAGCCTCGCCTTCCTCAACACTCGGGTTCCGGCGGTACTCCTGCTCGTTGAGAATCCAGTGCTTCGGGCACGCAATGGTACCAGCATCTTGCATCCCCTTGGTAATACCACCGACGCCAACAGATGACAGATACGGATCATTACTCAGACCCTCCCAATTCCTGCCGCCGCGCGCAATACGACCCAGCGGTCCACCAACGGGTCCCAGACCGACATTGATACCTTTACCGCGGAACTCGGCGCCCAGGGCCTCGCCGTAGGCATACGACAGGTTCTTGTCCCATGTCGCGCCCAGGTGAATACCAGAGGGGAACGCCGAGACGAATTCCTGTGCGCGGACGCCGTCGGGGCCGTCTTGAAGGCAGATGGGCTCGATGCCGAGGCGGGGGACGGAGCCCGTGTTGCCGGTGCAGAGGCCGTCCCACCCGTGGGTGAAGTTGGCGAGCTCCTCGACCGTCATTTGAGCGGCAAGGGACTTTGCGCGCTGGTACGCTGTGGCCCATTTCTCGTTTGTCGTTCCGTTTCCCACGGCTATTTGATTGTGGGTTAGGTTTGTGTCCCGGTCTGTTCAGGTCAAGAGAGAACAATATACTGACGTGTGGGGTAAACGGCTGGACTTTGGCCATAGTAAGGATCTGTCTCATTGGTATAGCTATCTTGAGCTGCGCAAAGCGTGAGGCCTGCGAGGGCCGCCGCCAACATTGAGATTAAATTGTTGACCATGTTGAGAACCCGATTGAGGAGCACAACTCGAGCTTGCAGACTCTCTTTTCCATTGTCCCCTCCGCGGGATATCCAACCACTTAAGAACTTCCCCTCCCGTCGTCTTTTTGCCTGCGTCATCTGTCCAGCGTCTTCTCGGACTGAAATACGTCGACGGCCGACATCTAGTCCCCGGCACCGCTGCGCAGTAGTGTGCACGCCGTCGGCCCTTCTCCCTAGTCGACGGTGTTCCCATGATCACATCCAACTTTTCGCCGCAGCCAGATCCACCTCCACTCGGAATCCGTCTTCCAGCAGTGAAAAGGCACAACGATGATCTCATCAACGATGCGACGCCGGCCGCTTGGGCAAGCTTTTTACGGTAGTAGTCTGTGGGGAAACCCCATGTCGCCCCAAGTCGGGAGAAACTCCATGTCGGCTCACGTTGTTGGTGCTACCTCTCAACGGTGCGGGGGAGAAAGCTGTGGATGGCCGTTGGTGGCTAGTCTGCCTAGTTTTGGTAGTCCCATCGCAGGTTCAACTAGCTAAAGATGCGAAGCCAGGCAATGAGTAGTTCGTCTGGAGATATTTCATGCAGCCTGGAGGCTCTTCGGCGGTATTTTCTTCGGCGCGCGGGGAAATCGTGGGGAATGGAGAATGGAGATTGGGAAGACCAGGGTTGTTTTACATGGCAGGTATTATAGGTAGCAATATCGGAGAGTATTCCCATGTCACCTCCGCATCTCCAGCGCGATGCGATGCCGGCATGTGGGAGAATGCGGGGAACGTCGTAAGATTGAGACTGGTCGAATTCCACTTCTGGATTGGTTTGAGTCCTGGGACGGGAAGCTCTTCGGCAATGAAGTTGGCAAACTTGTGTCCGAAGTCGGTTTGTAAGTACTGATTCACATCATACTCATCCATCATCGTCGATGAACGCGGTGGGGTGGCAGCCATCGGGAAAACACCGGTTGTGAGAACGTCCGACTCACGACGAGTTTGCGAGAAAGACGTATAAGCGAGCCTGTCCGATTGGCCCTTCCTCCTTGCTGGCCATTTTCAGATGGAAGAAGGTTGTGATCCCCTGTTGGTTCGTCCGAATGGCGTGTTGTATGGACTCTGGAGTGATATCTTCCCGGTCACGTCTGTCGAGACTCTGCCATGGATGGCTACCGATGACGGGAGGGAGGCTGCACACGACGTCGGGCATAATTGCCTTGAGTAATGGGCTCTAATGGAAGAACAGCCTCGGCAAAAAGATGAGGATCGTCACCGGACGTCGTCCCCAGGCCGAATGTACCCCAGCCTGGGGTAGGGAGTAGGATAGTTATAGCTGGTATCCATGACGAAGGGTGGGTGATCCGGGTTCTATATGGACCGTAAGTGGTTACTTCCATCCTCTCCATCGTGGACTTGAACATACATAGAACGAACCTCCCGGCTTGTCAAGTCGGGCAAGCTGATTCCTTTCATCTAACCATTCGTCCTGGCTCTTGACACGGCGCCTGCACCAAGTGCATCTTGGGACGGTTTCCTGCGCAACGGCGGCACCGCAAGGGCAATAAAACTGACAGGGGAGCTATTAGCAGGTGCGAAACAACTACCCAGGTTGTCCAATTGACAGAAACTCACATTGCGCCACTTGCCATATATCTCAAGTTGCTTGGTCTCCGCGGCCTCGTCAGGACCCCATTCCTCGGGTTGGTTGAGCACATTGTTCTGGCCCGACGCTTCTTTGGTTCGCGTGTCATAATACGCCGTGGTCTCTTTTCTCTGCGCGTCTTCACATTTGATACAAAGCCACCTTAGGCATAGGTTGCAATCGCATGTGTCGCTGAGTTGTAGCTTCCGATTATCACTCTCGAGCTGGAAGTCACAATCGCGGCAGAGACACATGATGTTGAGAGGGCGCCAGTTGTAGCGCGGCTCGACATAGCTTTCCTCCACGGATAGAAGCCTGTCGTAGTACCTGCACTCCTCACATACGTTGATCCCACATCTCCGGCAGGGTAGAGCTCCAGCCTCGTCGCATTTGACGTTATACAATTTGACTTCAATTTCCTCATCCCCGACGACCATGGGAGGGAGGCCGCAGAGAAGGGTCCAGTAGTTTGGACAGTACCGTCCGCTAAAGTTTTGGCGTTGCACTAAGCCGCGGCCATCACATAGACAGAGACTTCTCAGCTTTTCGAATATGGTACGGGAGCCGAGAATGTGGGCATGGTGGTTACGGTTCGTCTGAGCTAGGTGAAAAAGGTCCAGGGCTGAAACATATTCCGCGAGGATGGACAAGATCGGATAAGACGAGATGAGATGTGAAATGGACGGAGGCGGTGAATTCGGGGCCATGGAGAACATCGCGTGTCCGACAGGTTGCGCGGCGAACAGATCAATGTCGCGTGAGCATGTGAGGTTGTTTTTCCTGAAAAATTACGACACGTGTGTTCAGGAGCAGATTGTTGCCCGGCCACGGCTCATGGAAGGCGAGTCATCACTGGGATGTGCCTGTCTCAAACCAGGGGGCCGGGGATGGCGTGGCGCGGTCCGGAGGTGTTGAGGTCGAGCCACATGTGGCTGGATGAACCACTCGCCTCAAGTCTGTGCCTGGTATCATCATGTCGACGACGAGGTGAGCATCGTGCTGGCTACCGTTGGTCGAAAAGAGAGTTGAATTCGCCAGTTTCGCCGAGGATTGTTGACGGAACTTTTGCTTTGCTGCATCGGACGACAGGAATTCAAATTGACGGCACCTCAAGGTCGCATTAGGTTTGAGCCTTTGTCCACAAAGGATAGCTGAATTCAAACAGGATTGGTGTGCCACGGAGCGACGCTGGGAAGCTGCCGAAGATTGAAGCGGGCCATGGGATCATTGTCCACAGCTGCTAGAGTCAACAAGGTGATCGGCATGACGGGGGCTTCGAGGTTCCCGCAGAGCTCGGAGCTGGCGACGTCAGCTTCGGTCGTCGTCTTTGATGGCTTTACGTTGGACTGGAAATGATACAAGTGTCAGAGAGCGTCTGGTTTCATCGGATGTTGGTGGAAAAGGTTGTTTCAGTCGATAGCTCCGGCATGGTCCAGCCTTGACAGCCCCTCTCTAGCTGTTCTAGAACGTTGAGCTGTGGTGGGAGGATGAACCACTGTGACGTTGATTTGGTTCCAAGGTGTGAAGGTGAACGAGGTGACATTCTAAGGTGAGCAGTGGATGTTCCAGATGTCTTCCGGACGCAGCGATGATCAAGTGCCTGGGAAGGTGTGAGATCATTTGGATCGCGCCTGCTTGGAATGGCGCTGAAGACTGCTGGAGAAGAAGCTACTGGGAGCTCCCCAGGCAGGAAGACCCATAAAAGTGAGTCACGGCCAATCATAACCACCAGACGACTGTGGTTCCAGGGGGAGGTCTCCACTCCAGTGGCCTGTGTGACATAAGGCTGCACCGCGAACGGCCAACAGCAGCGCAGCACCAGAAGCCGAAAAGGTCCTCACAATGCAGGCGGCAGGCACTCTCGGGTGGTGGTGCGCGGATGAGATAAGCCAGGTCCGATAAGGATAACACACCTGACCGAAGCTCCAACCTTATCGCGACATCATCCTCGTCGCCTACACCATCCCATCCTGTCCTGTCCTATCCCGTCCCGTCCCATCCCAACCGTCTTCACGTCCTTCTCTCTATCGGTTCCTTGTTCCTCTTTCCATCCTCATCCTCCCCTTCCTCCCCTTCGCTTTGCATCTTGGCTTTTCTCTTCTCACCATCGCCTTAATCCTATTCCTTTCCACTTAAATATGAATCGCTCCAACTCTTGACCTTTTTGTCGTGAAGCACTTACTCTCTTTCTCCCCCATTCAACATGGCCAATTCCCCGTCCCATAGGTCCAGCCGGAGCCCAGCCTCGTCCACCTCAGCCGGCCGAGGCTCCACGTCCCTTTCACATTCCAGAGACCGTCGTGATGCACCCTTCACATCAGCCTCCGCCGCTGTCGACCATGTGCCGGTTGAGACATTGGTGGAACACCTGCTCGCCGCCAAACGCTCGCTCTCATCCATGACGGCCGTCTTGCGAGCCAACGAAATCGCGACCGATGCACGCCAGGCCCATGAGGAAGCTGTTGTCTTGTATGCCGAGACCCAGTTCCTGCGACGAGCCATTTCCGAGCAGCTGGCGCTATTGATGAAGGTTCGCCGTGGTCTAAAGAGAACCTACGATGCCGGCAAGCGCGACTTCAAGCACCTGGTCAAGACAATGGATGCAACCAACGAGAAGCTGCAGGAGACCATGGCTATGCTCAAGAACACAACCGTGGAAGCTGTTTTTAGGCCGCCGGGAGAAGAGCGCCGCAATTTGATGGACTTCGTGGACGAAAAGAGCGTCCACGTCATGGTCGAGGCTCTGAAGCAGAGCCTAGGCGAGCTGCAGGTGCGCACGCAAATGCTATTGATCTTGACCCTCCCATTTTCATTCACGGTAGCCTAGGTGACTGACCAAACCATTTGCCTGCAGGCCATCCAGACGTCCTTTGACGGCGACCTCCTTCGCTTCGACGATGACTTGCGAGCACTAAAGAAAACGATGACGGCGACACCCCTACCCCGAACCCCCTCCGACTCGTCGCAATACGATCCGATACCCGAACTTCTCGGTTCCCTCGTAGACAATTCACACAACATGGCTCAACTCCTCACGTCTTTGACGAAACACTTTGACTTGTGCGTCACAGCAGTGCGGACGACCGAGGGCGGCGCGGCTCTTGCTCGTCGCAGGGCGGCGGAGGTGACGCAGTCACAAGGCGGCGATGGTGTATCGTTGTCGGGCGTAATCGCTGACCAAGAATCGCAAATGCCCGACCTGGAACCAATAACGACGCAAGACCGGGCGGACATGCTGGACGTTGTGGTTAGCGATGCATCAGAGGTCGAGGGCGTCATCCAGGAAATCAGCGAGAGACTTCAGACTATGGAGGAGGAATTTTCAGCCATGACTGGACAAACAGGACAGATCAAGTTGGCGTTCCTCGGCACCCTGCAAGGGTTCGCTGCGCTAGAAGAGATGGGCGGTCGTATGGCCAGCTACATTGCGAGCGAGGCCGAGTTCCTCCAGCGATGGGATGATGAGACGTACACCATCTACAACAAGCTTGGCGAGATGGATGACCTGAGAGACTTCTATGAGAAGTACGCAGGCGCGTACGATAACCTGATCCTCGAGGTTGAGCGGCGCCGCATGGTGGAGGACAAGATTACAAACATCTGGAAGAAGGCTATGGATAGCGTTGATAAGCTCGTTGAAAACGATCGGCGAGAGCGCGAAGGATTTCGCCAGGATATTGGCGAGTTCATCCCCACGGATCTGTGGCCGGGCATGGACGGCGGAATGAAGAGGTGGGAACTCGTTGCGGTTGACGACGGCACCGCCGAGGACGATGTGTCGGGCGGGCAGAGAAGCACGCCGGCACTGGACCGAAGCGTCGTGGATGCGGCCCGGGATCGATTGGAGCGGAGCCAGCAGCGGTAGGAGCGTTGCGGTCTTTCAGATTCTCCTGTGTTGATTTAAGGTAGATTGTTTGAGTGTAAGGGTTTCCCCGGTATTTGGTCTCATTGGCGTTCACAACAGGGTAAAGACGGTAGCCTCCAGATAGGCAAGGGATACGGTTTCACGGTTTGGGCGGCGGCAAAGTCTGTTTTGATTATCATTTGGCTGAGCATTTTATCTTCTTCGGTCTTGTATGAAGCGAAGTATCTTTCCAATACCATAGGTTCAATGACTATCACGGCTAAACAATAACTATTTGTTTTGAGTGACTTGCCTGCAGTCACCTCTTAAACATCCCGCAACCACGTTACGCCGCCTGCAACAACTTGGTAGATCCCTCCATTAGGAGACATCTGAGTCGGAGCTACATTGTTGTTATATGTACCCCCAGCTCCGGCCCGAATTCTCCAGACAATCTTGCCAGTCCGGAAATCTATGGCGGTGAAGTACCATACATACAAGCCCTGGCTAGCAAGTCCCTCGTCTTGCGTGTAAGAGTAAACGAGACCATTGGCCGTCGAGAGACTAAGAACGCTCGTCGAGCGGACAGCCAACGCCCACCGGACCTCACACTTGCCCTCAGGCGTGATGTCCACCCGCGTGATTCCGGGTGCCAGGGGTGCAAAGTCGTTGAACTCGCCATTGACGTCCGCCCCCTCGCCTAGGTCCTGCAATTCTGGGGCTCCGTAGTTGTTGTTCATAATTACGCTGTACGTCGACCCGTCGAAGTACCCGACCATGGCATTCTCGTTTGCGCTGGCGCCGGGTTCGAATAAAGGGACCTTGCAGACCAAGGGCAGCTCGCCCTCCACAAGGCTTCCAGCCGAAGCGGCGACTTGGCGGTAGATTAAGAGGTTCACTTGCGCGTCGGCGTTGTCCGTGATGGCGATGTATCTGTCCCCAACCAGGGACGGGGTTGACCCCGAGCCCTGCGAAAAGCCGCCTGGCTTAGCAGCGGTGCCGGCGTCATATGTCTCGTTCCAGAGCGCGGTGATTTTCCCGTCGCTCCCGCTCGGCCTGAAGGAGAACATGTGGCCGGTGGTGCTTCTGTTGGTCTCTGATGAGAGGGGTCCGGTGTTGAGGTAGACTGTCTTTCCGCTGATGGCGATTGAGTTTTCGATTCTCTGGCCGTTGAGGGTGACGGTCCGAATGGTTCCGTCTGGCGTGACGCATCCGAGAATGGAGGAGTCACTGGGAGTAGAGGTTGCCGTGAGCGCAACGGACGTGAACCATAAGTTGTGATCTTCATCGATGTAGCTGCTCACGACGCCGTGATTCTGAGGCAAGGTTGTAGTAAGGTCGATGTCTCGGAGAGGATTGAAGGCGGTACCGCCCGCGCCATCGACTCTCTCAACTTCGAAAACGTGCCTTTCCATCGTAGGCAGGAAGACCGAATCTCCAGCGACAGTGGCATACGGAGAGAGCAGTGTCTGTCCTTCAGGGGCCCAAGACCCGAGCATGTTCATGGTATCCGGGTCAAAGGCCGCGATGCAGAAGTACGGCTCTGCGGCATCCGTGCAGACGGAGCGCGCCGTAAGTCGATTGTCGCTATGCCAGTACTGCGCTGAGACGGCGATGGACCGGCTGGAGACGTTGGGAGACACGCCGAGGGGGCCGTCCCAGTCGTTCGTCCTGGTATTGCCGCCGTCCTGGTGGAAGCCGACTACGTCAGGGGTGTAACGGGTCTTCTTCGGAAGAGGCTGTCCTTGAGCTGGAAGTCCTATGAAAAACTGAGCAGAGACGTTCTGGCTTTCGAGAACGACGCCGGTGTCTTCGATAGGTGACGGAGAAGCCTTAGTACATAGGTTAGAACGTGGTACACATGGCTTTGACATGAGAAGGACTTCTGGCAACGTACGAATTGACCAGATACAGGATGGAGTTGTAAAGCATTGGCCAGGAGAGCTACAATGACCTTCTTGTTGTAACTCATGTTGAAGAAATCTGTGTGAAGATAGGACTGAAACCGTTTAGCAGAAGTGCTGTTGGTGAGAAGAGTAATTCTAAAGTCCTTCTGTCTCCCTTTCTCTCTATATATACCATGTATGAGACCATTGCTATGAGACTATCTACATAGATTCTTTATAGCATTGATTATACGAGTCGCGGGCTTAGTGGTCAGGAAGGTGGTAGTATCTTGGCATAGCGTCCTCACACTATAATTGATTGTCAACTCATTTCCGCGGTGTTGACAGTCTGCGCGGGAACTCAGCCACACCACCACCGTCCGTTTCTCGCTTCCAGGGAATAGATATCGTCAGCCTCGCATTCGCATAAAGGTCAAATTGTGCTCCCTGGATGATATTAGAGCGAGTCGCTGGGATAGTCGTATTCGCTATCCGAAGCCATTGGCCCACTGCTAGATTTGGCGTTTGTGACCTGCAGCCTGGCCTCGCCTCCTCGTATATTCAATATCGAAAGATCGTGAATGAGAAGCGGTGTGTCAGACTAAAGTATGAAGACTTTGAGCGGCTCTCGACGTTCAGAGTAGATGAGGATAATGGGGGGTGCTTGAAAGGCCAAACTTGTCAGGTTGCGAACATCTCACCAAAGCACACGAGCACAATGGCCATTGGAGCCAGTGGATGGCATCAGTTGTGAGGCAAACTGAAAGCCACACAGTATAGATGGTGTAAGATCTCTCGGTGTAGAAGAGGGAATGCTTTCACAAAAGTCGGTGCCTTCGAATTGGGGGCACGGGTGCGGGCAGATGATGTTACTGCGGCATGGACAAGTATGCAAAGGAAATAGCTCACTATAATCCAAGTTTTACGCATAAGATGGAAGAAAAATTCGGATTTTGCACAGTCATGGTGTAAATCATGCTTAAATTCTACTTGCCTGAGCACCTTGGTAGAAGAGGTGATATGTCGCGATAACCTCAAAATCATATGACTTAGCTTAGGTAAGGGAGGCAAAGATAAAATAAGGCAGATGGCTCTGATATCGACAAGCACGATACCTAGGTAGCTTACCTCAGATTACGAGTTTTGGCAAACGTCGAATTTTAACAGGTAATCCACGAGGAGGCGTGATTGCCTCCGTACCTGGCATTGAATGAGAGACCCGGGGCTGCCAACAATATGTTGAGGGCCCAGGCTCAAGCAGCAAGCTTGGTGTTTATTCAACGGGGTCCCTGCAAGTCGCGGGACCTTGTTTTGGGGGCCACCAAGGCAAGAGGATTCTGGGCCGACGTCTCGCTTGGCCCTGGGACTTGAGTGAATTGAGTGGCTACGAGCTTCAAAGTGGGGTGTTTCCTAAGGTGCCGATACCCGAGGAGTTGTCTCAGTCATGAGCTGTCCAAGACTCTACGGAGTACTGCGATAGTGTCGACAATGACATGCACATTGTGCCTGGTTGCTACAGGAGTGTCGCACAACAACACCAACTCATCACCTGTCAATCGTCGAGCTGTCGCTAAGCTTTTGTACCTTGGTAAGACCTCTGAGACCGCATTGGTTCGTCCCATGTCCATCGATGATTTGGGCCCAGGAAATTTGACAAGAACACACGAACGTTGGGAAGTTAAGGTACCTTCCCGCAGTAGGTGAAGAAAGAGTTACATAAGCAATCTCGAAAGCTTGGGGGCCCGCCAAGAACCGGGAAGACCCAGACAAGCCTTGGCACGTGACGCTCGGCACATCGACGCGTAACCCCTGCGCAGCTGAGGGAAGCTGCCAATCCCTGCGACGATGCCGATTCAAATTCAAGGTCTCGATGTTCCTGCCCAATGACGTTACTATGCACCGCGCACGGGTCGGAGCTAGACTGGATTGGCTTTTAAACTTACTTTATGGATTCCAGTTGGGGCCTTTTGGGTTTGGGTGTTTCTCTACGGACAAGGTGCGATGATGGTTTAATTCAGGACAGGCATGGTGGTACCTTGAGTGGGAGGCCTTTTTGGAGAGACCGGCTGATTGATTCCAATTATTCCTGCTTGCGCTACGCCAGTGAACAGTCCAAGCAAAGGAAAAACACACAGGTACCTGAATTAAGGTACCTTAATCTGGTACACAGACGGGAGAGGGAGATGGGCAGAAAGAGGGGACCAAAGAGGAAAAGAGCGGCCTGCGGTGGCTGCTCCTCCCGTTATTAGTCGATCCAATAGCTCCGTCATTGAATTTCATTCCAACCAAATCTAAGACTGAGACCCCTTCTATTTCTTTGCGCTGTGTTTTGTTTTCCTCCAACCTACCTCACCTCGCCAAGAGCTTGCTTTCTGGACAACAATCACCACACCGTTCGTCCATCGTCTACGCGGGCTGACATTTCCACGATCGACAAACGAGATTAATCGCATCGTCGTCGAAGCAATGTCGCAACCCTACGGCGAATCTGCTGGCTACTACGGTGGCCAGCAGCAACAGCAGCAGCCCCCCTACGATGCAAAGTATACCCAGCAGTACAACAACGGATACCAGCAAGACTACAATCAACAACAAAACTACCAGCAGGGCGGTTATCAACAAGGCTACGCCCCTCCGCCGCCCCCTCAGCAGGGCTTCGATAATGGGAGCAACGGCTACGGATACAATGCGCCGCCCCAGGGCTACGATCCCGAGAAGTACACTTTTGAGGAGGCATTCAAGATTGAGAAGCCCAAGTGGAACGATCTCTGGGCTGCCATTCTGGTAAGATACACCCTGTCGCAGCGACGGATACCGCCGACACCGCGTCAATCCGATGGTGTTCAATCGCTAACAACCCCATGCAGTTCCTCGCTGTCTTCCTTGGCTTCGCGGCTGTCTCAGGCCTGACGATATCCGGCTACTCTGCGACAAAGGGCCTCAATGGCGGTGGGATCTACGACGGAGGTAACACCTTTGGCCTCAGCACGAACACAATCGTCCTCTTCGCCTTCGTTCTCGCAGTCGCAATCGTCCTAAGCTATGCCTACGTCTGGATGGCGCGCCTATTCCCCAAGGCCTTCATCTGGGTTACGGGTATCCTCAACATCGTCTTTGCCCTCGTCACCGCAATCTACATGCTCTCGCGCAAGTACTACTCAGGCGGCATCGTCTTCCTCATCTTTGGTGTCTTCCTCGTCTTCGCCTTCATTAGCTGGATCCCCCGCATCCCCTTCTCCGCCCTGATGCTCAAGACTTCGATCCAGGTTTCCAAGAAGTACGGCCACGTCTACCTGGTCTCCTTCCTTGGTGGTATGCTCGGTGCCGCTTTTGCCGCTTGGTACTCCGTCACCCTCGTCGCGACCTACTCCAAGTACCAGCCGTCGCAGAACAACCCGCAGTGCAGGAGTGGCCAGTGTAGCCAGGGCAAGGTTATCGGGCTGATCGTCTTCATCACGTTCGCCATGTACTGGATCTCCGAGGTGCTCAAGAACGTGATCCACGTCACCATTTCGGGCGTCTACGGCTCGTGGTACTTCTGCGTCAACAACTTCCCCAAGGGCGCAACTCGCGGCGCACTTAAGCGTTCTCTGACATACAGCTTTGGCTCCATCAGCTTCGGCAGCTTGATCGTCGCCATCATCAACCTCCTCCGCCACCTGTGTTCCGTCGCCCAACAGCAATCAGCCGCGGACGGCAACATTGTTTCGTATGTGCTCTTCTGCATCTTGAGCTGCCTCATCTCTTTGCTCGATTGGGCCGTGACCTTCCTCAACCGATATGCATTCTCGCACATTGCTCTCTACGGCAAGGCCTACATCCCCGCGGCCAAGGACACCTGGAAGATGATCAAGGATCGCGGCATCGATGCCCTTGTCAACGTGAGTATTTCCCTAAAGCCTCCCTTTGTCGCATCAGTAGACTAATGTGTCACAGGAATGCCTCATCGGCCCCGTTCTCTCCTTCGGCGCCACGTTCATCGGCTACGCCTGCGCGTTCCTTGCCTATCTCTACATGGTCTTCACCAACCCCGCCTACAACCAGAGCGGCAACTACACCCCTGTGGTCGTCGCCTTCTCCTTCCTCATCGGCCTGCAGATCGCCAACGTCTTCACGACGCCCATCTCAAGTGGTATCGATACCATTTTCGTGGCCTCTGCATGGGACCCCCAGGTCCTCATGCGCGATCACCCTCAGCTGTATGATGAGATGGTTCGCGTGTACCCTCAGGTTCAGCAGGCTATCCACGCCTAATATGGAGCATAATTATGTTATGCGTGTGTGAGTCAGGGGAGAGATGCTCAGACGAGACGGTGGAGGAGACTGGATACCCCAAGAGAAGTGCAATCCGTCCACTTGGACGAAGAACTTAGTACTAATGAAGAAATGGCATTTTATCAATACGTCTTTTGTGTTGGAATTCTTTGTGCAGTTGCGAGTGCTGTTCTTGTTCATCATTGACTGAAGCAGGAATACGACTAAACCTTACGAAGTCGTCAGTCAGTCGGCCGATATGCAAAAAGAAAGTTCACGACAACATTCAACAAAAGATAATGTCCCTAGCAAGGCTCGAACTTGCGACCTTTGGATATCCCTAGATGATCTAGAGTCATATGTATTTGATATAAGACCAACGCTCTACCGACTGAGCCATAGAGACAAATGTTCATGTCTGATGCCGACAGATAGGTGGCCAAGAGCCCTCAGGGTTGCGGAGACGGTGAAAGAAAGTGGTGGGGGGAACCCGGATGAGCAAAAGATATTGACCAGCCTGGGGGTCGAACCCAGAATCTCCTGATTACACGAATCTTTCAACTCTCTGATGGAGTGAGGAAGGGGATCGTAGTCAGACGCCTTGCCATTGGGCCAACCGGCCTTGGAAGAAGATGCAAGTGGAACTGCTTGATGAGAGGCACTGCAAGATTGGAGTTGATGAAGAAAAAGAGACGAGAAGGCGGGGCTGCCGCGAGAAAGGATTAGTCGTGGAGAGCAAGAAAATTCTGTAAAGAGTTTTCTCGGGCTTGGATGGCAGATTTTTCACGATGGATGCCGGCCGGTAGTGTTGCGGTGGATTGTGGATGCGGGGTGTCCGGGTCGGTGACGAGCGGATCGGAGGCGGGGGCCGGTGGTCTGCGGATGGTGAGTTTGGGTGGGGAACGCGGGTGGGGATGGCGTCCGGAAGAGAATGACAACGGGGTGCTATGACGGCTAACATCTCATGGGAGGCAGGAGTTCGGGGCTGGCTTCTCCTTCAGGCAGTCAGGTAGAGTGAGGTATCACCGTTGGGTCACAGCGGCGGTCCATGAACATAACACTCTCTAAGTTCAGGTAAGCAGTTCAATCAAATCCATAAGGTCATTCAATTTGGTTGACACTACTAAAGCACTCATAGCGCGTCCATCTTCACCGATTTTCACCTAATTCCCGTCCTTCATCCGTCTCTCCTCCCTCAAGCTCGCCTATCCTCGACTGTCACTCAGCCGGCACCTCCGCTTCTCCAATCCAAGCGCCATTTTCAAGCTCACACATTCGGCTTCGCACCACGAAATGCTGGCTGCCATTCCCTCCCCCGGAGGGCATAGTACATCATCCGATGCACCATTTACGCGTTTCCGACGCGGGTTTCAGCAACTTACCAGTTACTGTTGGTCATCTCGACATCTTCAGATGTCTCTCCCACTTGGGTGTTCTGATGGGAGAACGTTTGATGAGGGGCAATACTCAATTGCGCGACTCCGCAGGTGATTTTATCCATTCCGTCTGAATAGTCAATTGGCAATTCCTTGAATCTGCTAGCAAACACAATCCCCCCATCGGCCGATTCAGTCGGCGGGGCATCAGTCATGATAACATCTTCATCATGCTGTCCATCTGACTGGTTGGCCTCACGTCGCTCGACGTTACCCACGAAATTCACACGATCTTTGTTGCCGATTGCAGTCACCGTCTCCCCTTTCCCACAAATCAGCCAACGCACCCGTTATCGACACGCCCACGGCACGAATGCCAAAACTTACTGTACACGAAGCCCCCGGCTTCATGGGTCCCGATCACCGCCCAGGCGCCGTACTGACTGCGGACGGGCGACCAGCCACTCTCCCCCGCCATCTCCGCGGGCCGCGGCTTCGCGACCTCCGTCAAGACAGGAGCGATCCGGCGCTTCAGCGCCTCGAAGTCTGAGGTTACGTGAGGTGAGCCCATCGTATCTTACCTGACGCGTCTTTTCCTACGCGTTTTCTATTCAAACGAAGCGTGTCCCAGGCACTGCCTGAACTCCAAGCTCGCGCGAAGCAAGACAAGAAAGAAAAAAGGAAACGCCGAAAAGGAAGGCACCGCTGCCTCGTTCTCCCCCGGCCGATGGAAGGAATGGAGAATGATGAAAGGAAGAAGAAGAAAGAGGGAGGGAAGGAAAGCGAAAGCGACAGGCTGAGCCAATTTATACTTACGACGCGTGAAAGACCTTCCAACCGCGTTTGCCAAGAATGTCTGGACAGCTGACCTTCGGACCACCCAGCAGAAATCATCCGCCAATCAGTGTCTTTTCTCAGCAGGACGCCGGTTGGAGTGATAGGATGCAACAGTCTCCTAATGTCGGCGGATCGATGTTCCCTCTTGATGACTTAGCAATGCAGCCAATGTGACCTTCCTCATCATGATTGGATAGAGAGCTGCAAGTCGGGTTTGCTGCAGTTGGTAACACAGGAAAGGTGTATCAGGATGGACGACCGGAGTCCCGTGTATCAACACCATCATTGCCATCATTCATTCATGTAAAAATACTTCGATAACAGCATATACCATGTCAACCTCGGCCGACACGTCTCTCTTCACTACCTTAAGTAAGGATGTCAATTACATCGTCATCGTCACGACTTATGGCACGCATCAATGGCCATATGTGGTGTGGTAAAGTGGCTTACTGTACCCAAGTGAAGATAGACGAAAGGAAAAGGCCTATATGAGATGTATGTGAATACGGGAAGTTCAAAGTTATAAGAAAGGTACATGTAGCCCTCTGGCTCACTTTATTGCCTACCCCCACCTGGTCTTGTTGAAGTCGATACTAGTCCCAAGATTTCTCTCAATAACGTCTCGGTTATCGAAGCTTCCCAAGTTTTGAGTGGGGATTGTTACGATGATATTACTCCGGCTTGATAAGCATGTTGTCTTTAACACCTCCCTCCTAGTCTTGGCCCCGAGCCTTTCGATATCAACTATCTTGTTCCTTGGTTCCTTTCCCAACACAAAGGCAAACAATGACAAAGGCAGCAATTCGGGTTTGGACCTGGAAAATCTGCCCATTATGAACCAGAAATGATCAGACTATTCTCGCTCACCGTATAAGCTACATCAGGACAAATCTAGTTCCGCCAAGGGCAATAGTAATACATGGAACTTTATGGTAATTACATATTAATGTACATCAAATCCGGCCTACAGGGAATCCTTCCATTCCTCCGCATTTACGAATGACGACGTTTCTTCTCATTCGCATCCTCTGATAGATCGGGACGGGATGTATTCACGCACTACCGCATCCCCTTCTACTCGGACACGAGAAGTCGAGTGTCCCTAGGCTCGAGAAATTTGCGACCGATATGCCATCCGCAGATACAAGCTTCAACATGCTCCCAAACTTCACTTAACTAAGTTTACATACCCGCAGCGTTACGCTACACCATAACTTGGTAGAGCTCGGGTGAATTTTCATGAAGGAAAAGCCGGATGCATTGCAGAGAATCGTCGAGCCCCCTCACCCGCTCCATCAAGTCTAGCACGCTCTCGCATGCCTTGTTGACGATGCGCGCCTCGGCCCCGCACTCAATAAGTGCGGGAAGTATCGTCTCGAAGTACATCGCATGATGCTCGTGAAGCCCGCCCTTTTCGTAGATGTTGAGGATGAGGGTCAACAAATAGCCGAGAGGTGTGTTGCCATCGTTGTCAACCGTGTTGATGGCGGCATCAGAACGGATAAAGCCTGGCAACGTCTAGTCCAGCTTCATGTTCCTAAAGAGACCGCCCGGGTCCATTGATTCTTGGATGAGGCGGTGGAGGGATGTTTGCTATTTTGTGGCCTGGTTCTCCGCGATAGGATATGCCTCAAGCATCAGTTCGGCTGCACGGGCTGGGCCTTTCTCGCGAGCATAATCCAAAGGTGATGCCCACCTTCCACTTTTTCCGACATGCGGATCTACTCCATGGGCGAGGAGAAATATGACAATCTTCTCATCAAACCATTCCTTGACGCACATGATGTAACCCGCACTCCACCCGTTGTCCGTCGTTTCGTGTACTATATTCGCCGCTTGTTTGACGAGCATCTTGATGGCACCGTACTGACGGAACCGAATGGCGAGATGGAAGAGTGACCACCCTGCATGTCTCAAACTGAGAAACATGAAACTATTCCTGGATTTGGGGTTTGGAGAAAAGTAACAATCGGGTTTGTGGGTTCCAGTGCACAAGCAGCTCTCGGTGTCTGGCTCGCATTCAATGTCGCTGCCATCATCGATAGCCTCAACTGATTTGGGCTGTTCGAATACTTCGAATTGACTGAGAAACCTCACCTCCGCGGCCGGGACGTATGGGATCTCCGGTAAGCCGATCCACGATGGGTATGAGATCCACACTGATTTATACTGGCCATACTTGACCAATGCGTCCACAAGACTCTGTTCTTTTGCAGCCATTGCAACGGCGAGGAAGAAGGGATCTTTCTGGAAGTATTCCTTCGGATCCATCGCCTTACAAAATTTGTAAGCTTCTGTCCTGCTGGCGAAGCTGTCGCGGGAATCGATTCGTGCCGCTTGAACCCTGATATTCATGTTTGCCCAGATGGCGTACCACTCGATCCTCGTGGGTGCCTTGACACCGTGCTTCAAAAGTCTCAGCGCGAGCTGATACATACTGAACCCATGAGAGAATAGTCTCGTCATGAGTTTGAATCGTTGGTCGTCCTGACTGTTTCCATCGGCAAGTCCGTGTGTAACGAGATCCACCAAAGCAACCCAAATACGACGACTATGGTTCGTGTTGTGGTCGAGAATATCGCTGCTCATCACGTTCTGTAGAGCCTGGTTGCATCTGGAGCTATTTTTGCCTTTCGGACGTTTGATGAGATTCTGGCGCAGCAAATCTATGCATTCCGAGTACGAATCAAACCATTCCCTACTCGAGAACCAGCGAGATGTGAGGGTCACACACTCAATTGGCGTAAGGTTGTCGGTGCTAGCGCTGCTGGCATCCATGCCCAATTCCAGTAACGTCGATAGTGTCGTGGCGTTGTGTGAGTAGCATGCGATCTGTAACGGATCTCGTTTTCCGACCGCTCGCGCTGGTGAGTCTAGTAGAAGACGGATAACTTCACGTTGCGCCGAGGAATCTGTCTTCCAATCGGGACCGCGTCTCCTGGGCCATGGAAGTCGTGAATCCATGGTCGGACGTGCAAGTTCATCGGGCCTGCGTATAACGGGCGTAGGACCGCAGCAAATTTCGAGCAAGCCGCATTTCTTTACTCCGAAGGGCATGCGGATGCTCCTCTCGTGATATGACAATCCGACTAGGGAATGTCTGTTGAACTCGTCGAAAGTAATGTCGACCTTGGCCCCAGCTTTGATGAGAGCAACGGCTTCGTCGAAAAGTCCATAGAGGCATGCCTCCATCAACATGGTATGGCCCTTTCCAAGATCGTGGTTGATATCGGCTCCATTGCGCAGCAATACCTTCAGAGCCGCCTCAAAATTCTTCGCATCAGTCGCCTCCCAGAATGCCCTCCAAAGCAACGTCGCACCATTGAGGCCTGGTTGCTTAGCATTGACAGCATCTCTCTCCGACCCTTGCTGCAAACACCACTCTGCAAGTTCCATGTAGCCGTGACGAATGGCGGAAATGAATCTAGGGAGCACCTGCCATGGTTCTGTTGTTGCTGAATTGTTGAGAAGTCGTTCCTGAAGGTGTTCACAATGCTCCATCATCCGTTTTGCCACGTCAATCTGTCCGTGGCACAAGGCAACATGCAGTGGTGTCCACGCCGGATACCCCACCGTATAGTGGTCCCAGTATAAAGCCGGTCCCGGCACTTGGTGGCACTCGCTGCGACAGAAGCCTTGTGAAGACACATTGACAAGTGCACCGTATTCCAAAAGCAACTCAAGAGCTTCCATGTTGCCCATCCTGGCCACCATATGAACAGGCATCCAATACATGCCCAGGATGTCGATATTGTCCATGTCCTCGTCGTCGTATTCCGGACACCGGAGGTACCCTTCGTGCATGACGTGGCTAACGTCGATCTCACGCCTGCCGGACTCGCTCGAGTCTGAGTCATCGTCGTATTCAGCAACAACACCCGGCAAAGGAAAGGGAGGGAATGATGCCACAGGTTCAGGAGCCGCAACCATACCGGGGCTGTCTTCACTTCCGAGGTCTTCGCCATCCGAGAAGTCATCAGCGACCGAAGCGTCTTCTGAGGAACCGTCTTCAGGAGAATTGCCATCGGCAGAATTGTCAATGGAGGAGGATTCCGACGCCAGACCGTCATCTGCAACCATATGGGCATCTTCCTCGACCTCGACTTCTTCTTCGCTCCCCGATTCCTCGCCATCAGACGCAGAATCGTCATCAGACGAAGAGCTCCAATCGTTATCAGATTCGATCCCTCCCCACAGGAACCCCTGTAAGTCTGCCAACTCGTCTGATTCAGCTTCGAGGTCGTTGGGGGCCCATGTCTCGTCCATCGTAGTATGCCTCCGACTTGGTCGTTCCTGGTACATTGCCTGATCTTGGAAACGATGCCCGTTACGTCGATAAAAACGCCAGAAGAGCTCTTTTGATGATTCGGTCTTTGGGTGCCATGGACTATACTCGGCTTGAAATCGAATCATTGCAACGTTGGGGTCTGCCAGCCTAGTGCGCAGCACTTTTCTCATGATTCCTACGTGAGCGATGTCGGTTGCCCAACATAACAGATATGGATGGCGGCGCACGCCGTTCTCGTATAGCAATGGCGTTGCGACGACATTGAAGAATTTGTTCGTCCGGGCTAGCGCCGCAAGTGCAGCAAGCTGAGCGTCGGCATATTCGTAGCCGATCGGATGGTCTCCCGGGAAAAGGGTCTCTTGCCGCGCCAATTCATTGACAATGAATATCTTAACCTCCGGAGGGAGGTTGTGCAGGTTCGTCATGGCCGAATCTGCCGGCCCTACGACAACCGGCTGGCGGGCTATTCCACCGACTGTCTAAGTAGTGACTAATCGATTAATTCAAGCGCAAGAGAGAAAGAGTGCGAGCGATACGTTTGCTCACGGAATCAAGACCAAGTGATGTCGGTGTAAAAAGGCGGTTGTAACACTGCGATCTGAATTCACGGTTTGATGAGATCTCTTCATTGATGACCCCTAATATCTAATCCAGGCGTTGATTGGTGCGACACGCGATCCGGTGACCGGGGTAACGACTTCATATGAAGTTATGAACAGCAAAATTTACGTCTAGCCACACTACCATGGGACAGTGCATGTGGCTGTGCATCGACCAACGTCGAACTTTGCTTTTACGACAGCAACACAAAATCATGGGTGAGCAGCAGATAGATCGCCGCAAATGACAAAAGAGATATTGCCCAAAGCCAGAATCGAACTAGCGGTCTTCTCATGTCGGAAACGATCGCCTCATGACTGTATTCAGTCCTGAAACGAACGGAGATACTAGTGAGACGCTTTACCACTGAGCCATTCGGGCGATTGTCCATGAGATTTTGGGACGGTGTGGACTATGATGTGGAGCTGGGAGATTTCGTTCCCATTCACTTTCGTCCCGCCATACGATCGTGACAAAAGTCTTCCACTGGCTGAGCTTGCTTCACACTCCCACCCCTGCTTGTGAGTTGTGACACTAACACCATCAGTAGTCCAAACAGATCTTGCAGGCTTAGCTGCCTTTGAACAGTGGCTGATTCGAAATAATACATCCATAATATAGTGTGCCTAATGGCATAGCTCATATTCTGCTTACAAGCTCGATCCACTTGATCGCATGCCTGACTAGACACAATGTTGTGGACACTCCTGAAGCACCACCGTAGAGTACCTATAATTGCCTGGAGCCTACCTCGTGCTCTCGGGTCCGCGGCGCAGCCAAGCTACCTCTCGGAATAAACATCTACGAATAGATCACAATCCAATGTCCTTTGGGGCGAAACATTCAAAGAAAGGTATATGCAGCGTCTGAAGTGTACATAACCTAATGGTGGAAGTATTGACGCGTAATGGGGCCCTGGAAAGGTTGCAAATCCGAAATTGGTGGTCCTAAACAATGCCACAGACAGCTCATTTTTGCATCTTGAGTTCTTTATAAGTGAACTGCCAGCGCTGTGTCGCCCACACACTCACCAGTCAGCCCTGGAGCAACAAATTTTGGAAGCTTTTCACGATAAGTCTTACCTGAGTCAGTCACTCGACAGACTCTTGCCAGTAACACGACAAAATCCTGATGCTTCAAAATGAGAAGTCCCAGAATCAACACCCGGTCACTGATATCGAGTTTTCCAACCGCTCTTAGCCACGATCTTACGTGTAGAGTCTTTAGGACCACTTATTTCATATCCGCAAAACCGCATGACTACAAGATCCCTTTTGTGACATGAAGCGTTGTAAATTAGGGCGTGCTACATATTTTGACGTTCTGAATCCCTGTCGTATGGTCATACGGTCCATAACCGTTGAAACTCAGTGGGAGCCGGTCGATTAGTAATCGACCCCTTAACTTCAACGACTGCCTAGAACTGACTCGGAAACCATACGTGTTGAGGTACATCATAGGAAGGCAAGTACTCATATGCTCTTTGTTTCTTTGCATGGTAATTCGTGTCCTTTTAATCCTCAGAAACCTGAAAGAAAGTTCGTGGACCGTAACGTGGAATCTCTAAAGTCATCATCGCATCTACGCCAGCAACTCGACCTTACCACCGGAGGAAATGGCAAAATCATTCTTTGCAAGACTCTTCCAACCGACTTGGTCCAACGCGGCTTCAAAAGGGTCAAAATATACTGGCAATGACACTCCTGAGAGCGCGTATGACGAAGTTGAACCATGGATCAAGACCGACTTGGATATACCTATAGATGCAACCAACCGCGATAAATGGCCCAGCCTCGTCTTGCAAGCCCGAAGGCATATGAGATGCCATCCCTATCATCCAAAACGCCTCCCCAAAAACTATCAACCTTTCCAAATGGTCGTGGACTCTCCAGAAGACGAAGGCGAGAGGTCAAGGAAGGAAGTCGACATATCCGAACCGCCCACGTTCCCCCTGTTCACGGAACTACCCAAAGAGCTCAGAGACAAGATCTTGCTCTCGTCACAGGCCCCAATTATCATGGAGGGCTTCGCAGTAATGGACCAAGAATGGAGAGGGGGCCCGCAAGCACACTTTCGCTCGTACAGGTCCTGGCATCAAATACCTCTATACGCCGTCAGCCGCGAGACGAGAGCGCTGGCCATCACCTTCTTCGGTGAACCTGACCCGCTCTCTGTACCGTTCAACCCGACTCAAGACGCCATCCTCTTGGACTGGGATGGTTCCAAACATGCTGAGCGTGGTTGGACGGGCAATCACAAAAGCCCTGGGCCAGTACTGACGACTCGCCGCTGGAATGCATCTGAGGAGTGGGCGATGCCGAGGAATCTGTGCGATAGGGTCCATCACGTCAAGGTTGACGCACGTCACGCCGCTTGCGAGAATGCCGACAAGGGGGAGAAGGTGTCTTGGCGGCTCGTGTTCGGGCTTCTTAAAGAGCACTTCCGTAACATGACGATGTTAGAGGTGAACCTGTCGGACTTGGACGATAAGAGATTCGAGGGGACGTACGACCCGGTGGGCCAGGAGCTTTACAGGATTGATCAACTCGATCTTTTTGACGAGCTGGAAGAAATGTCTGATGATGGGCGGGTGCCGTTCCAGAGCTTAAGGCGCTTTACCATCATTCCGGAACTCCAGACTCCTCTTCAGGCCGAGAGAGAGATTCTGAAGTTCCGAAAGGCTGGAGGCGGCCATTTTAAAGTCTTTAGACAGGGTCAGATTCCTAAGGTCAGATAGCGAACCATGTTTCTATGAGAGGGATGATCGGACACAGGCGGGGCTTCAACTATTATTGTTTGGCCAAGTCTTCTCGGAAACCCCTGCCCTGGTAGCAATATAGTACTCATACCTCCTTCATGCTGCGTCTTACAGACAGCTCGCAACATCTTGATGTGAAAGAGCGACCTGCCTACTCAGGCAAGCTTCCGCGCTTCCTATTTAGAACGGGGTGACCTGCAAGTAACTCTCTTGACGTCCAGACTTGGAGCAATCTGGCTATCATTTCGGCCGTTTATACTCAGAGGCAGGGATCCTAAAGATCTTGTCAAACGTCCACAAAGCGTCCGGGAAATTGTCCAAATCCTTCACATCCGCACCGCTCTCAAGGAGCAGTCTGGCCGTCTTCTCAGCATCACCTTGCTCGTCCCTAAAGACCTCCGACGTACGCAGAGCAACAACAAGTGGAGGCCAGTATCCAATCATGCCTAAGGACAGCCAACGTCCACCGGTAAGGCCTGCACCCGCCTTCAGCAGGGCGCGGACGATGTCTACCTCCCGGACTTCAGCTGCGATAGACAGCGCCGTCCGTAGGATCATTTGCCCAAAGGCGCCAGTCAAAGTCGGCGCTATGGACTTTACGAACGCCAATCGCGACGCGTGCCAGGCCTGGTATCTCGCTTCTGCCTCGGCGTCGCCTCTCGCCTCATAACGTAACAACCCATATGAAATGGCGTGCAACCTCGGCAGACACGCGAGCTCAAGGGGCGTGAAGTCCTGCACCTTGATACCGTTGCCGTTGCACCTGATGTGGTACACGCCGCCCTGCGGGAGAGGCCGTTTGGCCATTACAGGCAAGCCGGCGCGAACAAACGCCGTAGTTGGCGATGCCCCGACTGAGAGAAGGACACGCGCCTGGTCAAAAAGGCCCATGTAGCAAGCCTCTATGAGAAGCGTGTGTCCCAAGCCGCGGTCGTCGTCAACGTTGGCCCCGTGAAGAACCAGCAGCGCAGCCCAATCCGCAAAGAAGTCTGGCCGCCTTGTCTTGTTGGCTGAGAGACGGAAGGCATGCATCAGAGCGGTGCGGCCATCCATGTGCATCCATCTTACATTGACGTCGGCGCCAAAGAAAAAATAATTGCCAATGACCATGTAGTAGTTATTGTTGAAAGATAAATGCTGAAGGAAGAACGCCGCTACCCTCAAAAAGTCATGATTAATGAGACTTGTCAGTGTCAGTCTCGTGTAAAATCGGACGAGATAACCCAAGTCGATTGCTAGCACTGTCGGCAAGACTCTCAGCAGCATCTCTTCGTCGTTGTGGTCAAGAGCCATGTCGCAGAAACGCCAATATAACCCGCGTCTCTTTCCTTCTGCGTCGAGAAGTTCAGGATTGAGTAGTATTTTCCAATTGGGTTTGTGTTTGCACAGTAAGGTGAAGGCTTCGTAGTTGGCTTGATGGACAGCGATACTGAGCGGCGTCAAACAAAGCTCGTCGGGCATTGCTCGTCGGAGGCGATGTGTTTTTGTAGCCGGCTTTCTGTGGCAACGCGTCACGAAGATCGCATCAAATTCTTGGTGAAAGAACCGCAGAAAGATATCCGCCGGACTCATAAGAAGCGGTGGATAGGACAGCAGTCGACTGGCAGATTCCAGATCACGAATCTTCGCATTCTGGTTTGCTCCAGCCTTGAGGAATCTCTTCATGAGATCTAGTCTGCCGAGTACGGTGGCCCAATGGAGTAGATAAGGGTGTCTGTCAACCACCCTCTTTTGATAGATGGGGATACAGCAATGATAAAAGCCTTTGCATGTTCGAGATAGTGCGTATATGTCGTCTACTACTCGAACGTCGACGCAATGAGCCATCCTCTCGATGATTTCCGTTGGAAGAGTGGACATTGACGTCGGGGCCGAGGGCGACGACGCTGTCTCAACTTGAAGGGGAGCATCACTAAAATGCTCTGCTCTCATCCTTTTTCTTGTCTGAATGTGTTGATGCGGTAACCAATATGTTGCTGAAAGTAATAAGGTGGATGTGAAGGTACTGGCGGTTCCGACTTCTAAAAGGCGATTCGCGGGAATGTAATTTCTTACAAGTGGATAAAACAGGCGATGTTTAGTTTTCAGATCAAATAGCTTGATCAGGAAGTTGAAGATAGGCTAGCTGCCGCGGGGACTAGAGGGTCTAATAAAAGCTTTACATTGACATTTCGGAGATACTTACTGCCTCAATACCTTGAAGAAGTCGGTTTGCGGGTGTTAGAGGAATTCTATGGTGGCGTTTCGGAGATGGCTGCACTATCATCGATACTTTCAGATCACAAACATTGCAAGTATATCAGGCCGTTCAGGTTGCCGTCATGCCCCCCTAGATTATCATCAACCGTGGGAGCGAGCGACAAACAAACCGCGGTCCTCTTCAAACAACAAAGCCAAGAGAAATCAACCATCCCGGGTGAGCGATAAAGGCTGTTGTCAATGAACGAAAGGAATGAATCCAAACGAGCTGCAGTAAACTTGGCTTTCACTTACATCATGATATCCATCAAGGTCAATGGGTTGCTATGGAGATAATGTGTGTGTATCTGCCACACGATGGGAGCCGACACAGTTCCCATGAAGTTCTTCGCCAAAACTATATTTCTTCTCAGAACAGAATCACAATAACCTTCACAGCATAATGTGTCTTCTGGAAAATATCTGTCCCAAAAAAGCTGTTCCAATCTATCTCCGACTAGGTTCTCAACGCAGATACGACTGGTACCACAGCCATCTCCGTTACCATCCCACCGCACCGTCAACAAAGCAACCGATACGGATAGAGCAACGTTTGGCTCAAATGACGTCTAATTTGGGCTCAAGAATAAATTGAAAATTATAAATTGTTATTTGGTCAAGCTGTGATAGTACGACTGAATAGATTGGCGGGGGGATTTTACCTGTAACAATAAGCATTCGAACTACTGGATATTACAATACCGCGGCAATGATGTTGACAAAGAGTCCATTCAAATAAGGGTCGGAACGGTGAGCCGTGATCGAGAATTCGAACTTAAGGTAGCAAGACAAGATGTTACAATGGCGTCTAATTAAGGCACGACCTAGTATCTCATACTACGATGACTGTCCCCAGTTCATGGCGACTTCAAGAGCAACTATTCTGCAACCGCCTCCAGCTACCAGTAGCCTGTTCCACATCCTCCGCATTATAGGAATGCACCATGATACTCTCTCCGACCCGGCCTGCTCTAACACCTATCTTCGCATAAGATGTCATCCTCACCTCCCATACTTGATCCAGACAGCACACCCTCCCACAAAGAAAATCCCCAACAATATCAAATTCGTCAACACCCCCTCAATCCACCTCTTAATCGCCATCTCCTCCCTCGCCTTCCACCCACCCCCAGGCCCAACAGCATTCGCGTGGGGGAACGGCACATCGGGCACCTCTTTACCCAGGAACTTGCACAGGGGCTCCCATCCTTCATCAGCTGACCACTCAAGAAGTCGATCAGGGGGCACCAAGCCGCGAATCATATCACAGTGTTCTATGCGTGTTTCCATGTCGTTAGTCCCCGTCATCCCATAAAAGGTTTTCCTGCCGCGAGACGTGTGTCTGTCTTGTCGGCGGAGGTCTCGTAGATCAGACCACAAGCATCCACTCAAGGCCAGACAAGTCTCCTGTGACGCGCGTGCAGAAAAGGCTTGTGCTTGGAAGAAGGAATAGAAAAGACTTGAACATAGTAAAAAGAAAGACCAAAAGGCTTGATCCCCCCAAAAGCAACGTGGAGCCGATACCAAAGCGGCAGCCAAGACGAGAAGAAGCAAGAATACTTACCACGATAAACCCACTTGCCATTCCTCCTAATCGCCTTCGCCATATCTCCATCTGGCGCCCGGAAGAACAAGGCCCACAAGAACCTCTCATAGACGTGCCACGCCCAAAACGCCTCCCGATCCAACAGACTCGACAACCAGAAGCTCCAGCTCTCGTTTACGTGAACCAGCGTCTTGACCGCGCTCTTGTGCCACGAGTCAAGGTCCCGCCGCACGTTGAGGACGACTTTGGCCTCGGGGTATGCCCGGATCATCTCCGCCGCAAAGCAACTCGCCGCTGCGTCTGTCACCGCGACGCAGTGGCCCAACAGCTCGTCAAATTCCTCGGCCGTAATCTGGCAGTCGCCCTCTGATGATGGGTCATCAATCTCTTTCCCCCCTTTGCGTTTCGGCGACGATGACTCGCCGCCGCCGTACCACTTCTTCCGAGCCAGTTTCACCCATCCTGTGGCAGGAATCGGCGGGTCGTCGTAGACGATATCCCAGCCGTGGTAAGTATGATCGTACCCGAGCGCAAGCAGAGCTTGCTGCAGGGACTCGGTAGCGCTGCGCGGCGGACCGACGCAGAGAACCTGCATCGGCTGCGTGCGCTTGCGCTTAGGCGGTGGTGGGATGCGGTAGACGTGATTTTCCAGGAAGCGCCACCACCAATGGTCGAGGCTTGACATTGGCGAATGCATGGCGGCCCGGCACGCTTTGTTTCGTTCCGTTTCGTTTCGTTGGCGGTAAATCCGTCTCCCGCGGTCACTAGTTTAGTCCCGCGTTTGTCGGTTGTCAGTTCCCGCTGCTCGACCCGATGTTCCTCGCGGGTATTTCGTCTCGTTCCGCTAGTATTTCGCTACGAATATCGAGTATCCTTGGGCGCTGGTGGTCTCAAGATTTCTGAAGACCGAAGATGAGCTGAGCTGCAGACGAAAAGAAGCACACAACCGAGCGTGCATACGTTTGTGCCGCAGACGTCAAAACGTGCGACAGCTCCCGCGTTATATAACAGCAGAGAGCTCTCTACCCCCCGTCAGGTCACTCCACCGAGAGGAAACAAGGAGCATGTGCTCACAGACAATGGAAACGTTTTGTTGGAGACCATCGTGTCGTCATAGCGTTTGGAGAGCTGACTTTTTGGTTTCTTCTCCTGCTACAACAAGGAGCCAGCAATTGCATGAACCATCCCTACAAGTTCCGAGAACGACGGAGGGTTACTTTGCAAAACGCTGGCGCGGAAGGGGAGAACATGGGTATCGGATGAGGGGGAGAAGCACAGGAGCATGAAGGACAGCCTCCGCACGGCGCACGGCTCGGCCGTGGTGCCCTCGCCTTCCCCACACCCGATGCCTCCGTAGAGCGTCAGCGCTTGCGAAATAGAAAGCTTGCTTCCAGGACAGCTCTGCTTGAATAGGAAGATAGGGCCACTTGACAGGCGTCTGTTTGGAACTTGAAAATGCCTTGGTATAATGTGATGCGCCGGCCGAACGAGGCGACCCTTAGACGAACCGTGAAGTGTGACGGGGCCTATACGTATACCGAGACAAGCCTGCCTTTCAGGCTGTCAACCTTCGGTCTCGGCTCTTCAGCCATGCTTGCAAACCCAATATCCCGTCTTGCTCCCCTCTGCTGACTCCAATGACCGCCAGAACTTGGTCCATCCAGGGCGTCCGTCGCTCCGCAAGTATTCCACCTCCTTGACCTCGCCCTCGCTTTGCTGGCTCTCTGCTGCAAGAAGTGCGGTATAGAGTGATTGATAAAATAGAACCTGCTTCTCAATCTCCGCTGGCATCGCGTCGATGGGGCCCAAGATGAGAGACTCCAGCTCGTCCGTGTCCACTTCACCGAGAGTGGAGATGAGAAGTGTTGTCACATTTGGTCGAGGAACCGGGACCCTACGAACGGAGCCCTCAAAGGAAATGTGTATCCGCCGAAGGGCAGGGAAGTTTGGCGCGATGCTTTTGATGATGTTGAGGTACTGATCTCGGGGGCTCAGTGCGCGAAGCTCAGTGATTGTGGGTGCTCCAGGTGATGGCCGCGGGGACTTGTCTAACGACTTGTCGACTAGGGATTCATCACGGTCTGGTATGCGTATCTCTAGCGACGTGATCCAATTGAGCTGCGGCGTAGCGATGGCATACGGAAAGTACATGGCCTCAAGCCTCTGCTCGAACTTGAATGTGTTGCTCGCGTACAAGACCTGTATCGTCTCTTCGTAGCTGCAAATCAGTCAGTATCGGTCATTTGATGTGACACAATCACCGTTGGTCTAATCTCATGCGTCACGATGAACTCGCCCGGGTGCGGAGAATAGACTCACGCTCTTCGACATGTCAGCAGCCACGGGAGTATACCCAGATATGTCTCCTTAGGACCACACGTCTGGTAGAACCCCCTAGGACACTGATCAGACAGTTTGGTCTCGAGCTTCCGGTCCTCGGGGCCGCACACGCAGCTCCACCAGTACCACTGCGGCGTCATACTCGCATCGGCAAAAGGCGGATCCATAGGCGACACGCTCGGTGAATGAGGGTACCAAGCCGGCACAGGCTGATGGCCTTTCCGCCATCTCACATCTGGCTGGAGGCTGCGGCGGTACAGTAAGTAGAGGTGTAGAATCTTGCGGCCAAAAGCTAACTGGTAAATCTGGTAGCGGAGGTCAGATGAGAGGACCTCGAAGAACGGCCCCGCAGAGCCGTCTACGCGCTTCTTCGCTTCCCTGGACGGCTGCCGTGTCCGAATGGGCAGGGAAATCTGGTACCCGGCGACGGCCTCGGCGTCGGGGGTTGCTTCGGCTCGGTTGTCTCCCTTGATCGACGTGGCCGGGGCTGCGTCCGCATCCGGAGCGGTGAGAGGCGCGTCGCGCGGCATGGCTCGCGGTAATGTGTCGCGACCCAGGCTTGGTACTTGGAGGGGTAGTTCCGACATGGCTGCTGGGCGCCCTAATGGCAGAACAGATGGCGGCGCAGAGCTTGATCAGTTTGCCCGACTATCTGCTGTGTCTGTGAAAGCAAAAAGAGCACGAGACGTTGCAGGAGTAAGGAAATCGAGGGGGGTAAGGCAGCAGGTGGTCTTGCAGACTTGAAGTACCGCCCAAATGAACCATCTGGACGCCGGGCGTGACTCCGAGAAGGTCCCGGATCGGTGCGACTGCCCTGAATTTGGCGATAAGGCGGTGCTCGGTACGTACTCTTCGCCAGGTCCCAGGCAGTCTGCAGTCTCAGATGGGTCCTTTGTACAGTATGAAAATCAGGAGGGAAGGAGCGGCCAGCGGAAAGACAGGCGGCCTCCGCACAGTGTTCGGACTGTACCCCTGAATCCGGCGACTGAAGCAACTGCAAGCGGCCGCAGGTCAAGAACGCAGATGCGTCTGGGAGGATTCAGCTAGGTATTAAGGCAGATCCAGAAGCAATCAATCACCAAGGCAACCTGAGGCTCAACCTCACGATTGTGAAAATATCACTGGCAATTCAGCCTCGGGAACAACACAGATGATTCTCTTAATGTTTGCGACATGACAAGAGCCCGAGACTACGCTAGCAACTTTCCCCAGCATCACGCCCCTGAACTAATGGCTGTCGGGCATTATCAGGCCTTACAGCCTCCAAAAATCTTCCAATCAAGTAATAATCCCGCCTGTCCTCCTTTGATTTCTGGTTGCTTCTTTGTAGTACGTGCTCACACATGAGCGGTAAGTGGTCAGAAACCCATCGCGATCAGAACCCAAACGACGATGCCAATGCCCGAAACTGCGAGCCGCTGGGCTGGGCTTTGAGTCACGACGGCTGGAGTGGACGTCGTGGTGGCAGCAGGAGGGTCGTCCGTCAAAATGAGAGTCTGGAACATCGGCCCATCAGGAGTCGATGTAGCGACGACAACGGTGACATTGCGTGGAAGAGAAACGGCAACGGGAGGGTCGTCGTACGGGGTCAGGCTGGTGGCGCCGGGGTCGCTGGGAGTCGTCTGAGGTGGCGTGGAAGGGTTGGTGTATATCTCAGTCATCGGCGCAGCCGGCGGTGCGGTAGCCGCGGGAGGATTCGACTGGACACTGCCGTAACTCTGAAGTCCAGGGATGCTCTTCGGCGGGACATGAACGACAACCGTCTGGACGACGACTGTGGGAGCCGAAGGAGATGCTGGCACCAGACTTGTGGGAGTACCCGACAGCACGGTGCAGGAAGTTGTCAAACCATTACTGACAGGTGTGACGCTCTGGATGATGACGGTAGATCTCGTAGCCAGTTTCACGGTACGGGTGATGGGAGGGAGTCGGATGGTGGAGTACGTGATATCTGAACCCGGATCACTGCCATCTGGACTAGTCGAGGCCGGACCAGCGGGAGACGGAGCAGAGGGGAGCGACATCTCGTTGCAAGCCTTGTACACATTGGCATAGCTGCAGGTCGGTGGATTGAAAAATCCACACTGGCCGAGCGCGGTGTTGCGATTGCACGGGTAGCTGCAGAGAGCCTCGTTCACGACCGGGAAGATCTGGATGCTGCTGCCACAACGACAACCACTATTGCGGAGAAAATCAATCATCAGTATCAATGTGCAGTTGGGATGTTAATGTAGGGAATGTCTAAGCATATGCCCTGGAAGATGACTTACTCGGGGAAAGTAGCAGCGTAGTTGCGACCGGTGCAAGCAGACTGGCACTGCTCAGGGGTGTAGCCTTTACCAAAGTCGACAAAGGCGTCGAACTTATCCGAGGTGACACTGACGCATCCAAGATACTCGAAGCCGTAGATGACATGGTTGGCCTGAGCCGCGACCATGACAGCCAGCAACAGACTGAGCAGGGGCTTCAACATGCTGGGCAGGTGTCGTGAGTAATGAGTGGAAGTAGTTGTGCTCAAAGAAGGTCGGAAATTGACAGCGTCTTAGTGACGGTGGAGAAAGCGAGTGATGACGGATTGTCAGAGTTGACGATGAAAGAGTGTCTGAAGAGTGATTCTGTGGAGGGTTAGAGGAATTTGTGGAAGAAGAAAAAGAGGCGAGACCTAAGGAGTCTGTAAGAAGAGGCAAGTAAGGGAAGCCTTGACACCTTCCTCTATCATGGAACCTGAAGTTGCGGAAGGCAGGAATGAGGTCCGAGGAGGCGGGAATACATGCCTTCCTCACCTTCGCAGGTACGTACTCTAGTACCATACGAGGCAGGTAGGCACCCGCCCTACCTTGGGTAGAGGAAAAGAGACATATCGAGGAAGGAGCAGAGTGTCACACCACGAAGTTCAAAGGAAGAAATGGCGAAGAAATGCCTTTGATTCTCTGCTCGGTCTATGTCGTCACAGGTGGAAGGGCTCGACGGGGACGGCCCATACTCTTCCATGCCCAAGTTCCAACACCGCCGCAGAATGGTAGCAATCGTCAGAGCTCTCCTTGATCATCATGATACTCTCGAGGCGTGTGAAACCTCCAAGAGCAGTCTAGAGCCAGTGATGACGGGGGAGGAGCGGTTACGGCGCAAGAGCCAAAACACAGATTCCCGCCCGTCGGTGGCCGATCGAGTCTTCATCACCCGATTGCATACACATAGAAATGTCCTCCGCCGCCAGACCTATCCTCGCTGGAGCCCATGCGGCTCGCTTGCTTTCGTCCACGATTCAGCAGATTAATGCTTCTTTCTTGACGACGCAGAGACGAGCTTCTTCTTGACGCTCTTGGGAATCTTCTCCTTGCGCTTCTCGCGCTTAGCCTCCTTGACCGCTTGCTTGTGTTGCTATGTTGTATTAGTAACGCTACTCCTCGTATACCACGCGATGTGACTTGCCTTCTTCTCCTCCTTGTCCTCGTGCTTGCGCCCCCTAGGCCGGCCCTTGTCAAACTTGGAATCGTCCTCTTCGCCACTAGCCAGAGAAGCTCCGCTGCCTGACTCGTCCTCTGATGTCTCCTCCTCCTCTTCCTCTTCATTGTCTTCATCCTTGACGACAGTGTCGGCCAAAAGGTTCTTGTAGACAAGCTTATCACCATCACCCTGCCCGATCTTGGCGGCATCTTTCTCAATGTCGTAGACCTGCTCGAGGGTCTGGGGAATATACTGTTTCCGGAAAACCTCGTTGTCAACCTCTTGCTCGGCAGCAGCCTCCTCGTTGTCCGCGGGCCTGTTGGTGTAAAGCTGCTCGATAGCCTCGCCCAGGGCGGGCTCCTCGACAGGACCGTCCGTCGCAGAGATGAAATCAAAGATGCTGCGGTCGCTGAGCGTATCGACGCCCTTTCTCCTGAAGAAGTCGCCAACGTTCTTGATATCCATGCGCAGGAACTCCAACGCCCGCGGGTGATCGGGCTCAACACTCTGGGATACATCAATGATGTACAGCTTTCCGGCATTGTACAAGATGTTGTACTCGCTCAAATCGGCGTGGACGAGCCTGCAAATCTGATATATCCGGCGCATGAGGCCCAACAGCTGAACGTACAGTGACCTCCACTGCTCTTCGACGTCATCACCAGTCAAGTTGGCGTCTCTCAGACGGGGATACGCCCATCCCTTCTTGTCGCCAAGGAAACCCATGGCCAGAACGTGCAGCTTCAGGCTAATGGGTTCTGGGCACGGGATACCCGCAGCGTGAATTCTCCTCAAGTTACGGAACTCCTTCTCAGCCCACAGCTTGACCATCTTTCTGTTGCTGCTCTTGTCAAAGCCCTTCTGGAAACGGTGCTCGCCAGCGATGTATCTTTCGCGATCTTTGAAAACGAGAATCGATGTCTTGTACACCTTGATGGCGCGCTGAACATTGGGACCGTCTCCCTCGGGATGCAAAATGGCGTGGTAGACGTTGGCCTCTTTTCCAGTGCTGATGGCACCGTGAATTTCACTGACGATGCCGCGGTTGATCATCTGCAGCAGGATCATGCGCGTACGCTGATCCAGAACCTGCTCACTTGTCGCACGATCCGCCTTGTCCTTGCTCTTCTCATCGGTATCCTTGACGCTATCCAATCTGATCTTGGCAGCATGCTTGGAGAGTGCTGTGATCTGGTCGTCGACGCTCGACTTGGTATTGGCGGTCGGTCTTTGGACATTGGAACGAGGGACGGCATTGTCGTTGCTGTTGAACATGCGCTGGCGGTTGTAGGACTTTGTCAGATCGCCAGAATCGGCAGTCCAGTCCTCGTCGTCAATCTCTTCATCCTCGCCAAAGACGTCCTCCAAGTCGTCATCGTCTTCTTCCTGGCCTGCGGCATCGTGTGGCACGGTTCTCAGCTCGGCGGGGATGTCTTCGGTCTGTTCGTAGCCCTGGTTGGGGCGGTATGTATAGGGGGGCTCATGGGGAGCAGCGGGAGACTCGTTGGAAGCCATAGTGAGCGCTTCTCCTTTGGATTGGCGGTGCTCGTGATGTAGCTTGTCTGTGGCTTGGTGTTGGCACGAGGCTATTCAAGGTAGAAACAGTAGGTTGCTTAGAGCGTGGACGTTGAGTAGCCCTCTGCCCCTCCATCGTCGCCCGGGATTTTCGAATTTTTTATCTTATCAGCGGTGGCGGGCGTGGCGGGGTCGTTGGACTCATTTTTGGGGGGCAATTGGGGTCCGTGCCCAATGATGAGTCAACACCACGGCGAGTGACTGCGGTTTCTCAGTGAATCAAGGTGAATCACCGCTGGAAATTTGGAAAGCTGAGCACTAAAAACACGCTCGCTAAAGAAATAGGCGAAGCTCGCGCCGCATCCGACGAGTGGGTCCAATTGGCGTGCTTTCCAAGTCAGGTACGAATACCTGCACCTTCCGTTAATTCTCCGGGGGGAGTGGTAAGACACCCGTGGACCTCAGGCGCTGACCGCCAACTTCAACTCGTGACAAGACAACATATCGCGAGCTGAGAAATGGACGCCCAACTCCACCCCGGCATCGCCTCGTTTCGGTAAAGTGTCTTACTACCCATGCAACATGCAACATGCATACAACGCATCTCATCAAGGATCGTCTTGAGGTTGCGTCTGCCGCGGCATGCACAAGTGGCCGCCTCGGTCCACGAACAAGCCAACGGGGTTCCGAGATGTGGCCTCGGGTGTGGTTTCTCAGGTCTCGGCCGCACCGTCTAGTCTAGAAAAGCTGTTATGAGAACCTTGGACGCGTAAATCTCTCGTGTTTGCTTCATTAATTGCGTCTGATTCTACGATACGAAGACGTCTGCTTTCATTAAAGAGACCGAGGCGGGCGGTCCACCGTGCAATCCAGGCTAGTTCGGGACATAATACATCATCATCCTAGAAACTCTACCAATCCCTCCACGGCTCTCTGTCTTCGCGTTCTGCTAGGTAGGGGCTGATGAACTATCCAAAATATCCCGTCTTCTATACCTCAGCCGGGCATGATTTCTCGCAACCTCGTTGGGGTTCGTCCATCATTCCAACGCTCTGGGCATCTGTTTGCGCTTGGGGCTTCATCATCCCACTTTACATATGGCACTGCCGTCCTGCCGTCACCGGCTGATGCGGTCTACTGTTCTAGTCACAACAACTTTGTTCTTCCGCTGAATTCTGCAAGATCATGAGCTCGCTCAAGCAGTCTGAGAGGCATTTAGATTTGTCGCCCGAACCTCTCAATTGCTTGGGCACAAACTCTCGCCAATACGTCAAGTCTCGCGGGAAACGGCGCTCTTCTAGTGTGGGGCATGTCATCTCGGGTTGCCGAAATATGTTGTGCGCAAATCCAGAACAGTCTCTGGCCCCAACTTAGTTTACCCAAGGCAGGCGTCAAGACAGCTCTGCTCGCACACTTCGCCGTCAGCTTCATTTCAGCTGCTGTAACTATCTGGGGACTGATTTCAAGCTGCTATTATGAATTCAAAGCTACGATGAACACTGAAAAAGTCAAGCTCACAGCTGGCTTTGTAGCTCAGCTTTCAGAAGTTCAGCCCCTTCACCATTCATCCCTTCGGGAACCAGCGCGGCCGAGAAGTGTGCCGATCGAACCCATGCCGTTCCCCTCTGCCGATAGTCACTATGCACTACCGGCAGCTGTCAACAGGCAAGCGAGATGGTACCAGGGCGTTGGTGCCGCCGACGAAGCGATCATCTCCAGGCACGGCCCTTGTGCGGGGAGCAAAAAGGTTATTATAACGTTTGCCAACCAAGTCTCCCAACGCTACGCACAGCCAATGACACCCGTTCACCAGATCATAGGCAATAGTTCTCAGGCTAAGACGGGGTCAGCCTACCCATCCATGCACAAATAACCTCTGTCTCATCGCAATGAGGTAGTTCCCTATACTTTGCCTAGACTCTGCTGGTTGAAACTAGCCGATGGCCAGGATCTGCGCTCTTGTCTTCTTATATCGTCAACCTTCCCTGCCCCAAAATTTTGTCTCTTACCTCTAAGGAACTGGTTCGTGATGTGTTTTTGATTCCATCATCTTTCATTTGCGGTGAATTTTGCTTAGCATCAGTCAGTATCCTCCTAGCTGAGTCGCCAGGCGTGATGACTTCCTGCAAGCGTTGGGCCTGGCTGTTTGGGGTTATCGTCGTCCTTCTTACACTCACTACGCCCGGGAACGCTCATCATAAGAAGAAACCGGACACGTTAGCCCCGCCGCCGGCCCCAATACCGAGACCATCCATATCTCAAGGGCCCAGACCAAGGCCTCCTCCAACGCCTGTTCCGATAGCACCACCAGGTCCCAAGCCGAAGCCAACGGTAAAGCCAACTTCAATACCAAAAGTACCCCCCGCACCAGTGCCCATCGCACCGCCAGCGCCTAAGCCGAAGCCGAATCCACCAAAGGCAAAGCCCGAGTTCACAGAGGAGGAGATTAATAATGGAACGGCGCTGGCCAAACTGAACAAGAGGGCACTCGAGAATGTGCGAAGGATCAACGTCCCACAGAAACATCCAATATCCAACATTACGACCAATGGTACGAGGTTGTGCCAGGGAGAAGGCGTATTGATGAGGAAAGAATGGTGAGTAAAAGAACTTCGTCCTCGTGGGTTCCCAGAGGCGGCTGCTAATCCCTTGACAGGCGGAAGTTGACTGTCACGGAAAGAAAATCTTTCATTACTGCCGTGCAATGCATTATGAACGAGCCGGTCATATCAGACCCCAAGAGAGTGCCGATGGCGAAGTCTCTTTACGACGATTTTGTAGCTGTTCACTACACCAGCTTCCGCAACACACATCTTACAGTGAGCCTTTGCCATGATACGAGGCACATAATAGTATCTACCTTGTGATTGGCATGCTGACGATCACCCTAGGCCTCATTCTTTGCATGGCATCGTTATTACTTGGCTAGCTTCGAGCAAAGATTGCGTACACAATGTAGATACAAAGGTAATCCCTTCGAGATATGTACCTAGCCATGACAACGTTCGCGAGGCTCACTTTGATAGGTGCTCTCCCATACTGGGAATGGGGACTCGATGTAAATAACCCAGCCGCCTCACCTCTCTTTGACGGCACCGAACTCTCACTAGGAAGCGATGGCGAGTTCATCCCCCACGATGGCCTGCAGCTACGTCAGCCCTTCTCAAACAACACCATCAAACTCAAACCCGGGACCGGAGGTGGTTGCATCAAATCAGGCCCCTTCCAGAACATGACCGTCCACATTGGTCCCGCCGCGCTCGCGCAATACGGCATCACGAAGCCCTTCAACGTCACAGATCCCCTCCAAGACCTGCCCAGATGTCTGAAGCGGGACTTGAACAAGGACGTGGCCCAGCGGTTCAACTCATTCAGGAACACGACGACTCTCATTCTTGAACAGACCAACATCAAGAACTTTTCGTCGCTATTACAAGGAGATGATCGCTTCTTCCCTAACACACTGGGAATCCACGGCGGTGGTCACTTCATCATCGGTGGGGATCCTGGGGCGGATGGCCTCATCGCACCCGGTGACCCGGCATTCTGGGTCCATCAAGCCCAGGTCGACCGTGTATACTGGATCTGGCAGAACCTTGACTTCAAGAACCGTCAGGGAGTATTCGGCACGATGACGCTGCAGGATAATCCAAAGAGCCCCGAGGGCAGTGTTGAGGATGATATTGACCTCACGCCCCTCAACTCGCCAGTAAAGATCAAGAACCTGATGAACACGGTTTCTGGGGCGCCGCTTTGCTACATGTACGAATAGTAGAATTCTTTTAGCGACTGTTTGACTCTTAATAGATTTGATACCCCTCAGCTTCTCCTTACCTATGACTGAACACTGATGACACCCTGTTGGCGTTGGACGTAAGTATTCGGATGTCTTGCCTCTCTATTAAACATCCAACCTAAAGTTTCTTCTTTCCAGGGATATAAGGGATCTTTTTTTTCTTTCATTTTCAGCCATAACAGAAGGCCGCCTCAATTACCATCGGCGTATTCTACTCAAATTGGAACCATGAGTTTAAACAATGAGGTCGGGTGGCGAGCGCCACAGCGGCTGATCACTAAACGGGTCTACGGGAGTTTTGTAAAGAGCGAACAACATACTTTATAACTGGGTTTGCATTTGAGTTGCATTTGCGTTCCGTTGTGACTGGCCCACTATATAGAGATACTCTGTCCCGAGTCAGGATTCGCAATGATCTGCATGGAGCTGATGCCTCGACTTACAGAAGTCTCAGTTAACTCTCCTCCGCCTCAAAATCGCCTCGTTCTCGTGAGTCCAGTGAGTGCGACAGACCAGACAAGAACCCTTCTCGAAAAAGAAAGCCACTCGTTACAATCTCAAACTCTAGAAAAAAGAAAGGAAAAAAGTGTGCATAGGTTCAATCCAACCAACCAAGCTTCCCAATCGTCTGGCGAAACCTAGGACTACCGTTCATGGCCCGACATTCACCCCGTCCACTCTTCTCGACGAGGAACAACCTAGTGACGATCGAAAACAAGCTTTTCTAAGATTAGACGGTAGCGCCCACGAGAGCCGTCCGTCCTCCCACTTCGGGTCCCCGCCGAGAGCCCCTTTCATCGTCGTAGCCTGGAGCTTTGGGGGGGGGGGGGGAGGTGCCCCGTCGTCGGTCGATCGGGCCCGTCAAAGCGTCACCCGCCAAGGTCCAACCCCGAGGCTTTGGGGGGAAGGGAAACGCGTGGCTCTGGTGTTCTGAAACATCTGATGTTAGCTCTCCGCTAGCAGTCTAGTTTTGGTGTTGGAGCTTAGCGTTGGCGTTGGAAGTGATGAGTGTTGGTGTGGGTAGGTATTGTTTGTGTGGCGGTGACGTCTACAAACATTCTCCCAAACTCCGTTCAACGCATGCTCTCCTCCACTTAAAAGTCTGTTTGCTTATCGCCCGGAGCATTTCCTTTGAAATCTTTGCCGAGAAGGGGGTGGTTCTGTTGGTTTCCGTTTTCCGTCCACTCATCAGACAAAGGAAGTCTTTCTTTCCAATTTTCTGTTTGATAATGTCAGGCGTTATTATCTAATTCGCTTCTGGCTTCTCTCGTCCCATACTTCTCAAAGACGCCGTCCTCGACCATGCTATCCCAACTCTATGCATGACGGCACCCCACGTCAGGTTCACCACATATATGTTTTCAATCCTCCAAAAGTAAAGCGGATAGCGGCATTCAATTTGCCCCAACGCAAGCGAAATCCCCTACCAACTTGTTGATTCTCTGATGAGAGACCCGAACCAGCGTGTAACGCAAACAAGGCATTGTGGAACCGACGTGTACGAAGTCGGGGAGGAAAACCGCATTGCTCCCTTACACAAAAGTATCACGACGTCAAACAGACCAGGCCCTCAGACCGACGTCACCAACCACAAACGGGAACGTCTCTGCTTTTTTGTTTTCAACCAGCGAATGAGGCGCAACGCCTTTGTTGCCGTATATCCGTCCATTTCGTATCACTTATCTTGGGCAACGCGAACACGTCACCCTTCGTGTCTTACGAGACACTAGAGCAACTAGCTGCGAGTTCGACCCGTCTCGCCCGCTTCCCACCAAACGCCCAACGGTCGTTAGATTTCGCCACGGCGATTCGAATTTCGCCCTTTCTTCACATCGGATTCATCACCCTGGATAGCGCATCACCACAAACACACGATGTTGTCGATGCCAGCTCCTCGGATGCTCTCAATGATGGGTCCAAGATCAAGTCGGAATGTCCCCATCGTCTACTTCTTGTTGGCAATCTGCCTCCTACTATTCTTCGTCCAAACCGAGTTCGGGTACACAGTCATTGAGAAGGTGGCCGATGCGAAACCACCCAAGATCAACAGCCTGACATCGACACCGACTCCGAAACCCAAATACAAGCCGCAGCCGACATGGACACCACCACCCATCAAAGACCCTTTCCCGCTTCTCTCTTCGGGCATGCCGCCGCCGGTGCCATCATGGAATAGACCCGAAAAGCCTAATGTCTACCACAAATACTCCTTGACGACCGCGCCGCCATTGATGATTGGCTTCACGCGGAGTTGGCCGATGCTGCTGCAGACAGTTGTCGGATACATCACCGCTGGATGGCCAGCCGAGCAGATCTACGTCGTGGAGAATACCGGCGTTCACGATTCGAATGCCCGGGGCCGGTTGTCGCTGCAAAACCCGTTCTATCTCAATTACACGCAGCTCCACATGCTCGGCGTCCACGTCATGCGCACGCCGGTCTTGCTCAACTTTGCGCAGCTCCAAAATTTCTTCATCACAGTTGCAAAGGAGAAGCCGTGGTCGTACTACTTCTGGAGCCACATGGATGCTTTCGTCCTCTCCAGCGAGGAAGGAATCCCAGGAATCTCTGGTGCGGTCGGCACGCCCGAGTACCAGACCATCTACGAGCTGGCCGTCAAGGAGCTGAATGAGACGATGCGATCTGATCACAAGTGGGGCGCACGCTTCTTCGCATACGACCACCTCGCCCTGGTGAACCCGCGCGCTTACGAAGACGTCGGTGGCTTCGACACGTTCATCCCGTACTACATGACGGACTGCGACATGCATTGGCGGCTCGAGGAGGCGGGATGGAGCATCAAAGAGGCGCAGGCGGGTATCGTCCAGGATGTTGCGTCAGTGCTGGATGACTTACGCGTCCTGTACCGCGAGGGGGAGGTTCCCGAAGGGTTTGGCTTCACGGATCCGAATCCACCACAGAGCAAGGTTTTAGGCGAGGTCCCGCTAGAAGACGACAAGCGGAGCCTGCCGGTGCCTGAAGCTGTTCCGGAATTGGATGAGACGGGGGCGCCGGTGGATGATGCGGCTGATGGCGCGGATGAGGGTTCAACGACGGTTGTCGATCCTTTGACGTCTTTCAGGAGGCTGCACAGAATCAGCCAGGATATGTTCAATCATAAGCATGCGGATCGCGAGAGGAATACTTGGCAGTTGGGTCAGAGGGGAGGAGATCCGCGAGAGCCTTATTCATATGACGCCCTTGGATTTCAGATTGGGATAGACGTCATGACGGAGGCCGGACGGGAGACTTTCCGCCGGAAATGGGGCCATCGAGAATGCGATTTTGGTGCTGCTGGACTGAGGCCCAGCGATGCGTGGAAAGTAGAAAAGGATTGGGAATAATGGAGTTTAGAGATTTGGAAGAGTGGTACGGACATACACGGAGTCGGCGTCAGGAAACAGTCTCTTAACAACTTCGAGTTTCTATCATGTTAATAATGACAATCAGATCATCAAACAGTTACCACGTTTTTTTCTTGTTTCGCTTGATTCAAATAGCTATTGACTGCCTCCGAAAGTAAGAATCCATCCGTCGTCTGGAGGTCAAATCTCAGAGACTGCTAAAGTAAGCGAGTGTCCCAATCAAGGATGTCGATTCAAGGCTGCGAAAGCATGAAAGGTATGCATATTGCTCTTCCAGCTTGTGCTACCTTACCGAAAAGCCCTCGAGTGTAGCAGTCAGTTGGAGAGAGCCAAGGACCTTACTTATAAGATGACAAGGTATCAGCGTTGCATCGCATCTTCGAGTTGCACATGGGAGCTAAATCTGTTCAACTACGGCTAACTGCTTACCAAAGTGGGGTAAACAGGCAGCAATCTTCAACAAGCTGGTTGCTCATTTTCCACTCTCACGAACTTCCAAGTAACAGCCACCATTCTCAATCAACGGTCTTAGTCTGTCTCACTTCTACTACGTTTGTATGAGTATGAAGACTGCGTTTATGCGGTATGCAAGCCACCAAGCTCGAAAACCTCCCTCCAGAGGTGTTGACTGCGATCTGTACTTCACTCAGAGACGACCAGGCGGGACTCTTATCAATCTCTCGGGCTTCGAAATATCTGCGGGCAATTTCAGCCCCCATTATATTCAAACATATCACCGTCACGACAAGTACTGTGAGACGTCGACCTCGAAGATCTAGCCCTCGTCCAACTCGCGATACCCGAGCGAACTTACTACGCACCATAGTCACCAAGCCAACGATCGCCGCGCATGTTTCTAGTGTCCACTGTCCATCATCACGGGGCGTCGTGCCTGCAATAAACGAGGAAGACATGGATTTCATCCTTCAGACAGCCTCCAAATTCGATGTCCCTATCCCGGAACTACTCCGTCTCGGGGGTGCTCACCCATCTCTCGAGGGTAGGCGGGGCTGGGCCCTCAGTGACGACGATATGCAGCGGCTCGTCACTGTGCGTGCGTTCTTCGCGGAACTCATCATCGCACACACGCCCAATCTCGTCAAACTCGACTATAGTGTAGGCCTTTACAGGAATGCCCTCCAAATATTAACGACAATTCGAGGCTCATCCTCATTCCACCGCCAGCCCATGTTCCCTTTGTTGAAAGACGTCCACTTGCGGTTGTTCGGGCCCGGTACCTTTATTTGGCCATTGAGTGAGATGGCTCCCAATCTTCAAACCCTTCGTATCCAGGGTGTTACGGCGCCGATGGAAGGCTTGCACTTTGAAAGGGTCAAGGATCTCCGACTTAGCTCATCGAACTTTACGGGCTCAGAGCTCAGGGCTATATTGACAGGATGTCCCGCTTTGACGAATTTTGAGTACGATTACTATTCTCTCAGAGACGAGAGGTGTGCTCCGCAAGATGTGATTGACGCTTTGGAGAGCTTTGAATCACAATTGAAGGGACTATCTTTGAAGTTCAACTCCAACACATGGGCAGACCGGAGAAGAGAGCCATCCGCCATGGATCAACATCAGCCCAATTCGGGACTCCTCACCTCTCTAAAGCATTTTACCGCCTTGGTCGATTTACAGCTTGACAGTGTGTGCTTGTGGAAAGACACGAGCAAGGAGTCGGCACGCGAGGTTCAAGAAGAAGGGACAAAACAAATATTCATAAATCTTTTACCAAGGACCGTAAGGAATTTGCGACTCACATACAAGAGCTCGAGGCCGTTTGAAGATGCCCTTCCCGCCCTTGCGCACCATCTCACAGATTGCTGCCCCAAATTACAACTAGTTCACAACAAGCTGCGTTTTGATGGTCCATTGTCTCAAGAACTTCTGGACCAGCTGCGGAAGGTTAGGGAACAGTTTGCTTCACTTGGTGTCACTTTTGAGTTCGATGTTTCTAGGTTAAACGGATGTGTATATGTTAACTTGGATGATGGAGGGCTGCCGGTCTCCATTGAAGCGATGACTGAAGAGGAATGGGTCCTTTCCGCATTAGGCTAACAAGGAAAACATTGAGTTATTTGATGCATGAAGACTAAGAGATGAACTTATCAGCAGCATCAGGACATTTCCCCTAAAACGTACTAATTCTTGTTTTGGAAATACGGTCAATGATGAACTGAACAAACAGCATACCATAAACTAAAGTAGCATTCAAGAATCATCCGAGCCGGCTTTAACTTGTATCAAAGCCCTTCAAACTACCAATCACCCATTATGAACAGAGGCCAATGTTCACACGAATGACTCACCAATAGACTGTGCGACATGAGAGCTTACTATTGGCTGAGTGGCTCTTAGTAAGTAGGCATCGCAGCGGGGTCGAATAGGCAGCAGTGGGCTCACGAGGATCCTGCGAACTTGTTGAATTATCTGGAGAACAGGACGACTGTTGGCACCTAAGTTTCAAAACTCCTTGAGCTTTTTGTACTTACGTAGAACCTCCTCCGTGACTTTGCTGCCTTGCTCAATAGTCTCGAATCTCTCAGCTCAAGATCCCAGCCGCAAAAAGCCGTTGACCGCACCGAGCCCCCAATGACTACATCGAGAACCCTGGAGGAGCTTCCGACAGAGATTCTTTGCCAAATCTGCGTTCAATTGAAGGAAAATGGCGGTTCAGACATATTGAGACTGTCACTGGCCTCGAGAAGATTTCGGGTTATTACGATCCCATACATATTCGGGCGACTGTCCTTTGTGACGTCTCCTTTTTCAAATGTCGTCGATGAGAACGCTATAGACAGCCGAATAGGCCTTCTAAGAACGATTATCACGAACTCTAAGATTGCCTTCGAGGTCAAAGAGATTGAAGGCTTACTCGGTGGAAGATGTCTATTAGCCAGGGAAGACCTCGATATTATCATCCGGGCAACCTGCGACTTTGGAATAACACCACCAGGGGGTCTTGATCGGGTTCTAAAACAGTGGCGGAATTCTGAAAAGTTGCCAGACATGCAGTTTGGTCTCAATCGTGGAATTTGGAACGCCTTGAGCAATTTCATGACAGAAATGCTTATTGCCCATACCCCCAACCTCCGAAGTTTGGAGTACAATGTACACGGCAGCCCAAGCGCATTGAAAACGCTTGACGAGGCGGTCAAAACCTACTTCAGGGTTCCGCTGCTGCCCAATCTGGTAGATGCTTACATCGAGTTGAGCGGCTCGGCGGATCTGGTGCAATCATTGGCAGAGGCTGCTCCGGCTCTAGACAGCCTCTGGCTGAGTTCCGTTTGGGGACTTGAATCCGGGATTCAATTCAAAAGCGTCAGGGTCTCGATCTTAACCAAAGTAGACTTGACTGCTGCCGAGCTCAAAAAGCTTCTGAGCGGTTTTCCTGGTCTCAAGAAGTTCTGGTTCACATCAAGCCACCGCTCGACGCGCACCGGGAGCACATCTCAGCTATGCCGACCCCAAGAGGTGGTAGATGCCCTCTACGCTCACAATCTGGGGATCACAGAGCTGACACTGCGATTCAATTCTTGGGACTGTAATGAGTCAAGCCAGGACTCTCATACCCCGCTCCATGGTCTTCTTACCTCGACTCAGGGGCTCAATAAACTAGAGGATCTCGATTTTGACGGGATGTGTTTCTGGGGTAGAGGCGATTTCTTACATGGATCACAGGCTTATGATCCTGTGAAAGTTCAGGCTCTCGCAAGGCTTCTCCCCCGTAGCCTCAAAAAGCTCACATTGACGGGTTTGAAGAATGGCCCATTTTATGAAGATTTGGAAGCATTGCGGAAGAGGATATCGGAAATTCTGCCGGAGCTGGGAGTCCTGCAGTGTGGACTGCGACATGGAAGGGCACTGCCACAGGATAAAGCGCAATACCTGATGGAAAGCTTCGCGGCTCAGGGAGTCAAGTTTCAAGACTCGGCAAGCATTCAGTTTGGCGGCGATGAGGACAATTAGATAACTGATACCTGACCTACCAACTTGCCAATCTGGATCGAAACTGCTTTCAACTAACTCAAAGACTCACAAATTCGCTTCCCGCCTGTCTACATTATTGACCCTAAAACGCTTTTCATGTGTCGTGAAGGGAGCGACTCACAAATTCGCCTCCCGCCAGACCGACATTGTTGACCCTAAAACGCTTTTCATGTGTCGTGAAGGGAGCGAGGTGGCATCGCCAGGTATCTGTTATCCTGCTGCGATGATTACGCTCCATTAGTACTGAAGTAAAGACCATAGCGTGATTAAGGAACATCCGCATCGACTTTGACACCTCCTTTGACCCTGGGACTGGATAATCGTGGTTACTAGTCAGCGACTCTTGGCAGCTAGGATAATCGGACTGAAAACTCGCTTTTGTCCTTGGCCTGCGTTTTAGAGCCTTGGCAATTAATCACCATCTTATCGAGCTGCCTTTTGCGTATCTTCCCCCTCTCTGCGGAGTTGCTTCCACCCCAACTTCTACTTGCCTCATGGTAGAATGGCCGACGGTAGCCACATGCATCAACCCGTAAGTTGATGTCAAGGAACAAGGCGACTTCTTTGTACTCAGGAATAGCTTCAAAGGTCCCTGCGGTTTCCAAGCACACACTTTCGTTCCAGAACCCCATGGCCCCAATTCGAATCATCTCCAGTAAGCCGCAGGTCACTATTCGGACTGAACAGGGTCCTTACCGCCGCGCGGGGTGACATTCGGGGGTCTAGTCAGGCCTACCCTGGGCCATGCAGATCGGCTCGTTCCACTAGCACGCTGGGCACCAATCGTTGCCGTTGAGGGAGCTTTAAGCTTAAACCTTAAGGGCAGGTGAGAAGGATTTCGAAGGGTTGCGTGCTAGTTGCGTGCCCGGGTCGGTTGGTATAGTCGAACATGTCAACTACCCGCCTTCCTCATTCTGTTCAAACTTGTCTGCAAATCATCAGTCGGATGTGCTGGATAATGGACTTGTTTATGCCTTGGCCGGGGGTGAGGTTCGCTAATCTCTCTCCAAATCCAGGTAAGGAAGGTGATCAGATAACATTGACAGTCAAACTCAAATATTATTCGAGGTTTACACTAAGCTAGCACAGATCCTCGACTGACAGCCTGCTGCCTGACCAGTTCGTAGCTCCTCAATGCTCAATGGAATAGCGGCTGCCCAAGCTAGGTATGCAAGCCCCAGTCTGTTCATCCCTACTTCGAGGTGGAGTTGTCGTCTCGGCAGTGGCTGGTCGGACCCTTGACGACCGGTTTGTGGCACCCGAACTGGTCAGACCATGTCTTCGGGAAGGCCAGCGACTAATGACAGAGTCCCTGATATTCCTAACCTGCACGGATACAGTCAACTCTTGGTAAAACTGACCACGGAATAGTAAGCCGAGTGACTGGGGTCTTGGTTTCCCGGGGATGCTGGGGATTAGACCGCAACCCCAGAGCTTATCAGGGTACGACCAAGACAGCGGCAATCACACCTACCACTTTCTGCAAAGGGCCGTTGGTGACACTACGTTGAAATGGCTCACTGAAAGGCTTCAACTGGTGACATCAGGAGTTTTCTTTACTTCTGATCTCCATAAATAGGGACGGGTGATCGCTCCCGATATCCCAGCTCTCCTCCCGTCCTCCAGTCTTCAACTCACTGCATCGCCAAGCCGCTTCTGGAGTCTGCCGTTGATAATGAAGTTCCTCGCTGGCCTGTCTCTCGTCCTGCCGCTGGCATCCGCCGCGGCAGTGGCTCCTCTCGAGAAGAAGATTACCTACGATGGCTTCAAGGCCTTCCGTATCTCCACACACAACGACCCTGCGTCGATCAAGAAGAAGATTGCCAACATTGCCGCGATCCCATTTAATCTCGACAACAGCGAACACCTTGACGTCGCCATTCCCGCTGGCGATGTCTCCAAGTTCGAGGAGCTTGGTCTCGAGACATCCATCCTGCACGAGGATCTGGGTGCTGACATCGCTGAAGAAGGCACCTTTGCTCCCTACAAGAGTGAGCCCCTCCATGTCGATCTTCGAGAATGACCGAGCGAAGAGGACTTAGTCTGACGTTGAACAGGCAATGACGATATCTCTCTTCAGGCTCTCCCCAGCCTGACGTGGTTTGACTCGTACCACACTTTTGCCGACCACCAGCAGTTCATCCGCGACCTGCAGTCCAACTTCCCATCGAACTCCGAGTTGATCAACGCTGGTAACTCTTATGGCGGACGCTCCCTCCTTGGTATTCACCTGTGGGGTAGCGGCGGTAAGGGCTCCAAGCCTGCCATCTACTGGCACGGCACCGTCCACGCTCGCGAGTGGATCACCACCATGGTACGTTATCGAAATTGGGTGTCGATATGGTTCATGTTGCTAATTTGCGACAGGTTGTCGAATACCTCACCTACCAGCTCATCGATGGCTACCAGAAGAATGACGCCGCTGTCAAGGCTCTGCTTGACAAGTACGACTTTTACATTCTGCCCATTGTCAACCCTGACGGTAAGACGCATCGACCAATGAACCATCACTCTTTGACCAAATAGCTGATTTTAACAAGGCTTTGCTTATACCCAGACAAATGACCGCCTTTGGCGCAAGAACCGTCAAGTCAGATCCGGCAGCACTTGCGTCGGTACTGACATCAACCGGTGCGTCCATCACATCATTAACTACAAGAACCAGAACTGACGCTCGATAGCAACTGGCCTTTCAACTGGCAGCTCCCCGGAGGCGCCTCCACTAACTACTGCTCCGAGACATACAAGGGCCAGGCCGCTGGTGACACCCCCGAGATGGTCGCCCTGAAGGCTTACACCGACCGCCTCGCCGCCGGCAACGGAATCAAGCTCTTCATCGACTGGCACAGCTACGGCCAGTACATCCTCCTGCCCTACGGCTACGACTGCTCCGCCCGAGCGTCCAACCACGCCCGCCAGATGACTCTTGCAACAAGCACTGCCAACACCATTGCCCAGGCCTACGGCACTCGCTTCACCTACGGACCCAGCTGCTCTACTCTTTATGCCACCACCGGTAGCGCTCCGGACTACCTCACTGGCGCTGCTGGCGCCGAGGTCGCTTGGACTATCGAGCTGAGACCCTCTGGATCTGCTGGTGGTGGTTTTGTTCTTCCCGCTGCTCAGATCCTTCCTAGTGCGATTGAGCAGTGGAATGGCATGAAATATCTCCTGGCAAACGTTTAATTGAGATATCATTGATTCATCGCAAATCCGCAATAGTGACAATTAAACTACCGCATAGCCTTTTTGCCATGTCCCTAGACCTCATATTGAACAAAAGACCCTTATCCTTCCTCTACAACGTAATCATTACCTTTTGTAAACATTGTTGCCCCTACACGGGGATTAACGACTGAGTCCAGCCTGGGTCGGGGTGAATTCGCGATATTGGCTCGGCCACTCCGAGCTGGTCTCAACTACCGAAAATACCCCGCTAGTTGGGACAGTTCCCGCGGCTTCAGAAGCCATCTCACCAGTAGCAGCCACATTGTATCTAGCTTGCTGTTTGACCCATTCTCTTTTGTATACGCTAATGACAGAATAGAGCAGAATTGAAGCAGAAGTAGAGAAAGACTGACGACGAAGGCACTAGCACTATTATGGTTGTGATCCGTGGTGTACATTTTCTCTTACCCGAACTAGAAGGTGAAGAGTTTTCCTAGGAGTGATTTTTCCCATCAGGTGCCAACTGGGTATCTTGAACAAACAAACCGTATGCAGAGAATGAACGTATTCAATTACCCCTGATGTACTGAATGATTCAACGACCAAAAATGCCTGCGCTTTGCGAGCTTCTGCAAAGACCACAGCTCGGCCTCTCTTATGACAGTCCTGGTATCATAGACTACTGGCCGTCAAGACCTCCATGGAAACCTTTTCTCCCAGCGCGAACAGAGTCACTCGAACAAGTCTTACACCGCTAAGACTGTATGCCATAAGAATTAGGCGTTTTCTTTATCGATGATCAAGTAACATAGAACCCTCTTCTTCATAATATTCCGAGTGATCGTCATCGTATATGCCCCCTACAACCATCATGTCACCCATCTCGCCCAGGCTATGCGGGTAGATCTGGGGGTCCGGTGCCCCAGATAAAGCATGGAGCCTCATAAGAAGCCACCTCAGGCGAAGCAAGTCTTGATCTGGGAGCTGATCCTGGCTCTCAGCCGAGATCTCAATGATAGATCCATCTTTGATCGGGCGGGAGTTTACGTGACTCCATTCCTCTTCGAGAAAAACATCGCGGGGGTCTGTGGAAAAGGATTTCGCAATCCTACTGGCCATAGACGTAATCCTAGTACGTTTCAGCCAATGAACCCTTAGTCGAATTATGGCCAGTGATGAGTCGTCGTCAAGTGATTCAAGGGGCTCCAAGGCGAAGAGCCCTTCGGACCAGCTGGGCTCTAGCTGACGGCTTAGACACAGCATGTTCGTCATCAGGGTTGTACTGCCCTTGCGACTTGCCGAAAGCTTTGCCTTGATCCTGGCGTAAAAGTCTTCATCCCATCCGACCACTTCTGCAGAATATACAAAGCTGGCCAGTAGGAACAGACTTTCAGGAGGGCAAACAATTGGAGCGACGATGTAACAGATTTCCGGGTCCGCAAAACCAGTAGCAATGCAAAGACCCCCATCGCGACCCCGTGCCTGACACGTAGTCATTAGTACTATTCCAAGTGAAGCAAACTGCTATCCTTACTTTTGTTCGTTCGATTTCGAATTGAGAATGTTCTTCAAGCGTCATGGTGCCAGATCCATCATCAGGAACCCACTGACTAAGAACTATCGAATTATTAGCATTCCGAAGTAAGATCTTACTCAAATGGTATCACAGGGTTAGTTACATAGTCTGATGAGTCGCGGAAAAGCATATGTGAGATGCTCGAGACGCCGTATGTATGCGCTCTTCTCTTTCATTGGAAGAGGCCGAAGGGTTTGTAATTTGTGCAAGAGGTCCTGAAGCAGACCGATATCGAGGACCATGAGAAGACTCCAGAAGCCCGCTCTGTAGATGCCAAAAAACCCCGTTCGTCTCTTGAAATCGAGCTCTTTCCGAATTTTAATTATCAAGCTGAGCCTAGCTTCCATCTCATTGGCCCTGCCATCGTCCATGGTCTCTTGTTGCGTTGCAGCACTCATGGCGTCGTTAGGGATTCTGGTCTAAAGTGAGTAAGAAAGATGTGGTAAATAGACGTCAATGAGAGACCGCTGAATGGAAATTACCTGAGCATACGATGAAAAGGATGGTTCACCTGTCGTATGATCGCACTTTGGCCGTCGAGAAATGTAAGGGAGTTGGGCTCGCGATCGGAGGTAGCAAAGCAAGGATAAAGTTCACCTGGAGAAGGGTACAACAGGCGAGCGCCCTCTCGAAAGATTGTGGTCAGTAAGTCATCATGTTGTTGGAGTGCCAGGTGGCGCAAAGCCAAGAGGGGCGTATTCGACGACACAACCGGAGATGGCAGATGGCGTAAATATTAAAGCTGGTGCCCTAGGTTTATTTGTCGAAATTAAGGTACAAATTGTGTGGAATTTCCGTCAAGGCACTCAGAGCAACAAAACCTGAAAGGCATCAACATACTCAACCCTCCGCCTTGTTGAAATGTCTTCCCAACGCCGCTTTCGGGCTTTGACGGCCTTGCGATGCTCGAGGCCCTCCACCACTTTGATTGGGTACTCTAAAGGACTGGGTTCAGTAACATCATAATGGAAAGAGTGTTGTTTCTCCATTATCTGTCTGCATTCAAAGACAATTCGTGCTTACTCCGGTTCACATAAGATGACACACTTCACCTACTGTTCCCAAAACTCGAAGCTACTCAACACCTCTCGGCGATCCGAATGTCTTCGCCCCTACATGATGAGGTTAGTAGAAAGTTCTGTCGGTCATTTCATACATCAGTTTTGGATAACCTTGGCGTCTATATCGAAGTGAAGCAAGCGATTTGAGATAAAGTGGAGTCTAATGCTAATGAATCAATGAAATTCCCCGCTGACGTCTCCCAATCCAACCATTTCCCAAGCTCAGTTGGAATGCCGCAAGCCCATCTATATGAATTGCTCCGCGGCATGCTTCAAGAACTCGAGCATCTCCCGCTTAGAAGCCGCTTCCAGACGACGAGCCGACTCCCGCTTCTCTGCCAGTGCAAGCATGTAGTCACCTTCCATAGTGACTTCAATGTTTCTGATATCAGCCGCCATATCTTCACCAACCATCTTCAAGCCGTCCTCGAGAACGTCTTTGACGTTTCGGATCGCGTCGCGGAACATCTTGGCCTTCCGGTCGATGACATATTCCTCAATTCTGGCTTTGATCATCTTGACTGATCCTTTTCCTGTGTAGGTTTGCAATGTGATTAGTATAGGTACACAGAGACTTCTGCCAGAGGCTTCCGGAAGACATTCAATACAACGGAATCATACTCACCATGCATCTGAGAACACTCCGTATAGCCAGGGGCCATTGCTTCGGCAATTGGTGTAGTCAGCGCTCTGTTGGCGTCCTTTTGAGCATCATCGACTCCCATCCGACTCTGGGCGGCAAGTCGAACAACCTTTGCCTTGTGGAGGTCGAGCTGCCGGTTTAGCTGGATGATGGCAGGTGATTCATCGTGATCGTAGTCTTGAATCCCAAGTTGCTTCATGACATCCTCGTGAAACGCGCCCAGTCGGTGAGTCACGGAGACGGAGAAATTGTCGAGCACGCCTGGGATACTGAACTGAAAAAAGTTTGCCCAGGTCTCCGTCAAATTATCCGCAATAGGTCTTAATAAGTCTTCGTTGAAATTGTTTGACTTCCACATGCCTCTGCGACGAAACGTTGCCTTGAGCGTGGAGAAGTTCATGTTGCCCCAGCCAATTGCCGTAGGAACTGCCGCGCGATTGGCAGCGGAGCTCAAGCGCTTCATCTCCTCATACAGAATAGTCTCTGCTGCCACGTGCAACTTGTCGCGGCAATCCTCGACCTCACCATTCATATCCTATTTGGTGTTATTTCTCTGTGCCATTCAACCATGAAAGAAGCGATACTCACATCATTGAAGCGTGCCAGCATATACTTGAGACTCTCCCCGTTAATCGTGGGTGCCATCTCTGCCGCGTCCTGCGCCCATATCGCGATGGAGTTGAGGGTTTGGCAAATACTATTAAGAATCTCTTGGTACTTCGCGACTCGAAGCTTTTCGGTCAGCTTCTGAGCATGAGCTTGGAGCTGAGGGATTTCTGTGTCCTGCTCGGTGTCGAAGCCAGGAGTCTCATTATCGTCATCGGCCACCAGACCTTGCATCTTCTGGTATACGAGGCTGCTGATGCAGAAGACAGGAGTCAAAGCTGACATTTCGTCGTAGTCGCGGGACTTCTCTTCAGCTTGTCCATGTCCATCGGAGTTGGCTGCATCTTGCCGACCAAGACTAGATTGGTTATCAATCGGCTTCAATGGCTTTTTGGTGTTATTGCTCACTTACTCTTTGAAACCCTTAGCGAGGTGCTTCCTGACAGCATCTCGGCAAAGCTTGTTGCGTCTCCGGATCAGACGTGCATGAACGTCATCCATCAGCTCCCGCTTTTCTTGTTTCAACTCCGCAAGCTCCTCACGCTTCTCAGCATTTGGATCGGAGTCGATAATTCCATCATTGGGTAGTTCGGAGGAACTGTCAAATGCGACTTTCTCCGCTTGCTTACTGGGCGGCTCGGTTCGCGCTCTCTTCGTTGCGCGGCCCGTGTCGAGGCGGCTGGTCGATGCCCGAGATGTCTTCCCACGACCTCGGACAACCATGAGCTGCTTTTCCAGAGCCGCGATGCGGCGACCTAGGGCATGGACCTGGGCGCATGCTGTCTTAGTATCCTTGTCCATTTTCGACTTCATGCTTTCCATTCCGGAGCTGAGCGTCATGTCGTCAGTCTTTGAGCAAATGACGGTCAAAGCCGAGAACGCTCCATCAAGCTTGAGTTGACGCTTGATAGAGTTGCTCATGATGTCTTTGGCTGTTTTATTATCAACAGCTCTGTTTATCGGAGCCACGACCCAGACCCCCGAACAACACTTGATGTACTCGCTTGCTACCGCAGCTCTGGCTGCATCCCAATCCTGGTGGCCGGGCTACCAGACCTTACGTCAGCTACCTTCCGTATAATGGATTTCCAAATCAAGCGTAACATACCAAGTCTACGATTGTGATGCCGTTTGCGAGCACTTTGGCTTTGGTAAAGATTCTGACGACCTTCACCAAAGGCCAGTATGCCGCGGTCTCGTCATCCTTGTCGTTCGAGTCGACGTAGGGCTCGAGTTGCTCGCGGATATCCTGCGCATTGTCGCTTTTCATGGTCATGGTGGTACCTATGAGGTGATCAACGCTTGGATGAGTAGCCAGCTGGGCCGAGGTGCTGCCTGCCAAGTCTTCGAGGCTCAATGACGGATAAACCGCTTGAACTTTTGCTAAAGCTTTCGCTGCATCGCTTTCTGGATCCAAATCATTCCTTTCCGTAGTCTCCCCAGCGAGGAATTCCATGAGCAGTATGTTGACTTCCGTGGCCCATTCCTCTCTCGAGATGAACTCGACTTCCGCGCGGTATGGGTTCTCTTCGTCTTTATCATGATTATAAGAAATCTCGGTGGCGACAGCGGTGCATGCGCGCATGCAGTTTGTGGGAAGCAAACTATAAAAATAATCAGCTGAGTCTATCCTGCGAAGTGAGTGTTTGGCTATACCTCTCTTCATCTAGTAAAGCATTGATGGTTGAGCTTTTGCCATCCCCTGTGTTGCCTAAGACACCGATGACAGTTTGATGGGATCGCTTCACCTGATCACGAAGATCAGAGATTTGGTCAATCCAGTGAGTTGCTGCGTTCCTTAGAGCAGGCTGAAGCTTGCGAGAGGAAGAAATGGCCTCGCAAGCGGGCTGGATGTCGTCCAAAAGCGGCAGGACTTTCTCGTAAAACAGCTGCCAGAGATCTGGGTCTTTGACTTTTCTCATCTTTTCGATGTACGAGAACGTTAGTACAGCCCGCTGCCCAATAGAATTTGACTCTGTGTTAAGAGAGACATCTGCTGTGACGTCCTCATGCTGCTCGGCCTTCTCTTTGATTTCTTCCTTGAAGGGAGCATCTGGTTTGATGTCATCATACTGCTCTTTCTTCACTCCAACGACTGCCTGACTGGGGTCCATTGCACAAGCGTGAAGGAACGCGTCAAATCGAGCTCTTATGATGAAAGTTGAAACGATGTCGAGATAAGGAAGTTGCTTGTCCAAATGTAAATGGATGCAAAATCAGAACGATGATGAAAAATTTGCGCGCCTGAGATCTCAAAATGCGATGTCAGATATTGATGGTGAGGTAGATAACGGAAGTTGGTATGTCCGATTGAAGAGTGAGGAGGAAGAGAGGATGTTGAAGTTGAAGGGATTGGGGGAAGGTACTTGAGGAGACGGAGAGAAAGTATCGAAGTTGGGGGAAGTGAGGCTGAGAGAATCAGTGGGGTTAAATACCCGTGGAAGTTGAGAGTTGCCTTCGACTTCTGGCCGGGTAAGAACGAAGGAGCAATGGGAAGCAAGTGTGGTCTGCAGGTACCGTACCCCAAGAGACAAGTATTCTCAAGTGTTTTGAGAAAGAAGGTTCGGCCGACGTTCGAAAAAGAAAAAGGTCAGGCGGGGATCTGAAGAAGAATTTCCAAAGTGGCAAGGCCGTCTTTCGGCAGAAGATGGGGCTCAAGTACAAGGAGAAAATTGAAGGCGGCAAAGATGAAGATATCTGGGTTCGACGTCGATTTCCAGGATATCGAGCCCGTAAGCGAGAATAGCCTCAATTCAAATACGGAAGTTTGGCAGTGTTGCCACGACTGGCTCCGGGTCGGCTCTCTGTGCAATTCAAATGTACTACCGGTAGTTTTCTCCCTTCTCAGGTCCTTCCTATTACGCCGGGCTGGATGAGGAAGGCGTCAACACATTCACCTCGGTGAAGTGAATCTCTCACCCCACCTTGACCGATTTCACCGAGATAGGTAGCAGAGATAAGTGACGAGGGCGCGGTGTGGAAAAGAACTCATATCAGATCTTATCAGATCCTTCCCAGCGCAACCCCACCATGCGAACCCCGCGGTCCGCAATCCGCAGCGACGCAGGCCGAGGCGGGCTGCCCCTCACCAGCAAAGCCGACCATATCCCTCCCTCACACCACCCGAGTCAATAACGACACATTGCAACGACACACGCAGGCGCAAACGGATTTCCTCTGTCGCAAAGCATCTTGAGCATACGAAAGTGAGCGCAAACGCAAGGATATAAACATCACAATCATGGCGCAAGTTGCAAATCAGGTAGCGGGCGCAGGGGAGCTCTTCGTCAACGGGCGCATCTTTCTGCACAACGCCGAAGCCGGCCTCGAGACACAACCCACCTTTGCCGAGAGCATGTTCGTCGCCAACGGCATTATCGAGAACATTGGCACAACAGAGGACCTCAAGGCAAGACACACATCAGGAGAGGTCACCACACATGACTTGGAAGGCAGGACAGTCCTGCCGGGCTTCATCGACGGCCACGTGCACCTCCTCCTCCTCGGCCAGTCGCTGCGCAAAGTAAGCCTCGAGAACTGCACATCACTGGAAGAGATCCGCGCCGCCATCAAGGCGTACGCCGTCGCCAACCCGGACGTCCCGCGCATCATGTGCAAGCTGTGGATGCACTCCATGACCCCCGACGGCGTCGACAAGACTATGCTTGACGACATTGACCCCCGACCAATCTTCATCGACACAAAGGACCTTCACTCGACCTGGTGCAACACAGCCGCCATCAAGGAGCTCGGCATCGAGAACATGCCGGACCCGTCAGGAGGCAAGATCCATCGCGACACCGAGGGCAAAGCGACGGGTCTCCTCAGCGAGGCCGCCGTGCTCACCATCGTGTGGCCTCATCTCGCCCAGGTGGCCCCCAAGAGAGATCGGATGGACGCCATGAAGGATGCCGTGCAGACCTATAACGCATCAGGCTACACAGGGCTGATTGAGATGGCCATGGACGAGCCGGCATGGGACGCAGCGTGCTCGCTCCGCGCCGAGGAACCCAATTTGCCCATGCGCATCCACGCCTACTGGCTCATCAAACCATCCGAATCCGAGGAGGAGCGCTTCAAGCAGGTCGATCGGGCCATCGAACTACACAACGAGCTGAACAAGGCCACCTCCCCCGACCTGCGTATCGTAGGCATCAAAATCATCACCGACGGCATCATCGACGCCTGCACCGCCCACCTGTCAGAGCCCTATGCCGAGGTGGGTTCCCCCCCGCCCTTCTGGAGCGCCGAGTGGCTCGGCCCCGTGGTTGCGAGGGCAGACGCCGCCGGATTGCAAATCGCCCTGCACGCGATAGGCGACGCAGCCATCAAGAACGCAGTCAACGCCCTCGCCAACCACGCCACGCCTGGCCGCCGCCACCGCCTCGAGCACATTGAGATGGCATCTCCCGAGGATGCAAAGCACCTGGGCGAGTTGGGCCTCACGGCTTCCATCCAGCCCGTCCACGCCGACCCGGCCATCCTCCGCGCCTGGCCGCGCCTCATTGGCGCCCACCGCTGCGAGCGCGCCTTTGCCTACCGCGAATTCGCAGACCACGGCGCGCTCCTCGCACTCGGTAGCGACAGCCCCACGGCCCCCTGGGCGCCGCTGCAAAACGCCTACGTCGCGACAACGCGGCGGTCCGCCAGGGAGCCGGGGTACGATGTGGTCGTCAACGAGCACTTTAAGCTGGGCGTGTGCGAGGCCATCACGGCGGGCGCATTCGGAACTGCAAAGAGCGTGTTTGCGGAGGATCGGACGGGTTCTCTGCAGGTTGGCAAGCGCGCGGACTTTGTGGTGGCGGAGATGGATTGGACGCCGCAGGGCCTGCTCAAGGGCGAGATCAAGGCTACCTGGTTTGACGGGCGGAGGGTGTGGCCGTCTCCCGATGCGTAGGGTGTTATTCGGGAGATGGAAACTGCTCCTCCTCCTCCATCAGTTCATGTTGAGAATCAGACTTTGAGTTGTGCCGCGGTCGCTGCTATTGACTGCTGCATTTCAGTACATACGCCCTGTACATGCAGCCGAGAGGCAAAAATACAAAGCCCAGCCAATTGGTGGTGTTCGTGTACAAGTATTTGTCGGCTCCCACATGACATGTTCAGATATTTGTAAATGAGGGTTCGTGTGTACTTGTTATTGAGTGTGTGTGTATGTGCTGTGCGTTTGCGTGTGTCTGTATGCGAAAGAGAAAACGCAAGTCAGTTTGATCTGTGTGAGTAAGGTAGTAGTCGTGTGTGTGTGAGTGTGTCAGTATGCCAGCCGGCGCAGTATTCTGGGAATAGTTTCATCCCATCTCGTGCGTGTTTCCGGCTTTGCGGCAAGATGGCACTGGCCGCTCTCCTGCCCTCCCCCAATGTCCAATCCCCCAATCCCCCCAGTCTCTTCTCACACGATGCCCCGATCGGGGAAAGGTTGCAAATCCACACCAACTCGGGACAAAGTCGCGCTGAAGTTCTCCAGGGGTTCTTCGTGAGTGGCTCGGACGTGGGTGAGCACGTCAAGGGTGTTCTCGGGAAGAGAAAGGCGCCTGCCAACAGGCAAATCACCACAATCCAGACAGGGATCATCCTGTGTTCTTCTGCATGTCTGTGATATCAGAGATTCCAAAAGAGGCTCTGGCAGCGGATGTCAAAACCCCCATTTCAGCACATGGAGGGTGTGGTGGTGGCCCACTCCGCTCGAGATGCCGATGGACGTGTCGTTCTCTCTCGTCCCAGACTCTAGATGGAGGTCAGTACAAGAAGACAGTCATGACCCCACGAACTTGGACGGATCGGGCCAACCAACCTTTTTTCTCCAGTCAGATCCCCCTTCTCGACTTTGATCTTCCCAATAAAACACACGGGCACCTTTTACCTCCTGTTGTGATCCACCTACTCGGAGAAGAGATCCACCTACTACGAGAAGAACAATATTTCACAGTCGAAAGGATGCAGCCTCAAATCAGTCTGTCGGCTCTCGCCGCCCTTATTCCCATGGTTCTGGCCCTGCCTCAACAGCAGCCTCCCCCACCAGGCCCGCCAGCCGCTTGCGCACCGGTCAACATCATCGTCGCCCGCGGCAGTCTCGAGGCGCAGGGTGCCGGTCTGTTGGGCAACATCGCCATGAACGCATCGATGCAGATTCCCGGCTCCGTCATCACGCCGCTGGTGTACCCAGCACAGCTTGACCCGTATCCGCCCTCCGTGTCGGCTGGTGTGATGAACATGACGACTCTTCTTAACCAGCAAGCGCAGCAGTGCCCGCAGTCGAAGCTCGTCTTGATGGGATACTCTCAGGTGCGTATTTCTCGTGGAGCAGATGCGATGGTTCTGTGTCTGACATGTTGCAGGGCGCACAAGTTTCGCTGGATACCCTCTGCGGTACCACAGATGGCCCCAACTTCAACACGACTGTTGCTCAGGCACCCATGGTCGGAAGCAAGAGTAAGTTTAGAGATCTGCGATGCCGCGTGATAGTCGTGATCCGGTTGCTGATATGCCTCAATAGTCGCTGCCGTCGTCTTGTTCGGCGACCCAACCTTCATCGCTGGCCAGCCCTTCGCCAAGGGAACCTCAAAGAAGAACGGCGTATGTCCTTCAGGCCTCGATCTATCTCTGCTCCCGTGTGACTGACCAATTCCTCGCAGATCTTCCCTCGTATGGACCTCGGCCCATGCCAGAGCTTGACAAGCAAGTTTGCATCGTTCTGTGATGACACTGATCTCTTCTGCGCCTCGGGCCAGAACTTGACCGTCCATCTCGGCTACTTCTCAAAGCAAGACTACGTCGCCCAAGCATCATCCTTCATCGTCCAGCAGACCAAGTAAAGGTCTGATATTGATGAAATGGCGATAGTAGTATCGAGAACCCGAGAAGCTGGCGGCTCGGGGCTTGTTTGTCGATCAGGCCAGGCATCTAGAATGACTTTGGTGGTAAAGACGAGCGGGAGGTAATGCTTTTACGATTCTTGACGATAAACTTCTTTTTTCTTTCTGCTTCGATAGCATTTACAGTCAGGTCTTGATGATCGACGCAAGGAGTTTCGTGGTGGAGGCAAAAAGACACACTAGCCGTAGCGTTTCTTTCTTCCTGATATTAGCAGAGGCCTTCGAGCCAAAACAACTTGAAAAAACGAAAAGATTAATCCTCAAGGGACTGGAACATTTGTCGTCTGTGCCCGTTTCGTCACCGAGAGATGTGGGCTCATTGCTGAGAAACAGGGTGTGGGTGTCGCACCTGCCTACTAGCCGAATGCGGAAGCGAGCTGGGGTTGAGGAGTACCCGTGCACCCTCCCCTGCCGTCCACTCAGGCCTCACCGAGCACACCGAGAAGAGTCTTATCTCTGATGCCTGCCTGGCGATAAGATAAATGGCCACAAGCGATAAGAAGCAACAAACAGCCACAGCCACAGCCGGGTACCTTAGTTCCTGACTTGCGCCCGAGCAGTCGTTGATTCCTTTCATATGATTCAAACGCACTCGACTGGTCATGCATCCAAAATGGTAGATGTTTTGCCTCTCAATATAGATATACAGGCAAGTGCTCCGTCTTGCGTCGGTAGGTCATTGACTTTCTAGTACACAAAGATAAAGTCTTCGTTCTTCAGATCCGTCATGTCTTGCAGACCGTGATCTTCCTCAATAGCACGTGATTGGTGTTGGGGGTCCTCTTCAATCTCGACCGCCTTGCCCTCCTGCTTGTCTTTGTTACGCATCATCGATTCGTCGACAATCAATGTGCTCTTGCCGAGTGCTTCACGACGCTTGGCGTGCTGGACGTTGAGGTACTTGAGGTAAAGTGGAATCAGGCTGAAGAACCAGTCAGTTAACGGTGTGCGAGAGGAGAAAGGAGGAATGCGTCTACTTACGCTCCCATGACTGCAACGAGGACGAACATGATGAGGTTGGAAATCAGACCGGGACGGTAGACTGGGGCGTCATCAACGGAATACAACAGCGGTCCGATAATATTGCCCGTGCACATGCCGATGAAGACGACAGCAGATGTGGTCTTCTTCTTGGTGTCGCCAGCAGTGTTCTGTGCCTGCCATGTAAAGATAAGAGGAGTGATGGCAGCTAGTGCAGAGACCTTAGGGTTGCAAGTCAGTACGTTATTCATGTTGTTGTTGTTGTTGTTGCTTCATGACTGGAGCCTTACCAAGTAGTATCCGAACAGCAAGACACCCTTGTGCTCACGCGGTACGGTGAGCATCAGGACGGTGCCGATGGCAGGGATTATTGCCACGCCTGCAATGACGATGCCCTTCTTTTGAATCCGAGTGGCGATCCAGCCGCTTCCCATGATGGCGATGATCTGGATGGCTCCAAAGGGAATGTTGAACAGAATGGTTGTGAAACTGCTGTATCCAAAGGACTGGACGATCAAGTTACCAAAGGTCGAGATGCCACCACTAGCGATGCTGTAAAGAAGTTGTCAGTAACACGGCAACACCAGTGTGATATTGGTGGTCTAAGGAACGTACGAAATGGCGATGATGAGAATGAACCAGCACCATGTCTTCAAGTCAAGGAATGTCTCCCAGACGTGGTCCCAGCGCCAGACGCCAGACTGAATACCCATCTGGTTTGCACGAAGTCTCTCAACGGCGATAACCTTTTCTCTCTCGGTCAAGTACTTGGCAGACATGGGCGAGTCAGGCATGAAGATGAGAACGACGGCGGAGTAGGTAACGGTGAGCAAGCCGCAGAACCTATTCACGAACAAAATTAACAAGGCATTCTCAGAGTCAAAGTTGGACACCTCATTGGTCTTTGACTTACAAAAAGATGATCTGGTACTTGTAGAGCTTATCGCTGTTGATATGGCCCAGACCATAGGTGAAGAGACTTCCGACGATGAACGTAACGCCGTTCATGGCGTTCCAGGAACTAGTGACAAGTGTCTGCTCGCTTCTTCTCCACCACGTAGTCGTCACAGCTAAGCACGACGGCGCAATCATGGCTTCGAAAGAGCCGAGCATAAATCTTAGGCCGAGAAGGGATTTGAAGTCGGTGCACGAGGACATGATTGCCAGCGAAGAGCCCCAAAGGAAGATGGCGGCAGCGATGACTTTTCCATTAGGGAGCTTGACGAGGATCCATGCGGCGACGGGTTGCATGACGAGTTGAGCAATGTACAAGATGGAACCGAGCCAGGAGTACTGCTTGCCGACGAGATGTGCGTCTTCTTTGATGCCGAAGATGGAAACATAGCTGTCGGAGTCGATCCGTCAGCGACCCAATGATGCCTGATAGTCAAGATGCGGATTTCACTCACCTGAGGGAACTCTTGTCCATCTGCTGAAAGAAATACGCTCCGAGAATCAAGGGAAGAATGCGAAAGTTGATCCGCTTCAGAACGGCTTGCTCTTCCTCGTATGTGAAAGTCGTGTCACCGCCTCCGTGCTCTGCGAGGAACTTTGCCGCCTTTTCTTGGACCGTGTTCGCCGGTGCTGATGGTTCAGGGACGGGCTCAATCGAGTCAATGGCAGGACCGCCGGCCCGCTCCTCGGCCGGAGTTTGAGAAGCCATGATGGATCGTTGATAGCGCACAAAAAAGACCCTGATAGGTGTCGTTGAAGTTCGAGAACGACGTGCTAGTACCGTACGAGTGGTACAGATGTCGAGCACACCTTGTGAAAATGACACTGCAGCACCCTGATGGAAAGAAGGAGAGTAGCGGAAACCCAGCGTTGTGGTTCGGACTCGTTCATCTTATCCGTCATATACCCTCATGCAACATGGCCCCTTGCCCGCCCCCAATAACCGGTTTCCTCTCAGCCGGAGACGAACGGCAAAGCCGAGCGTGGAGGCTCAACACCGATCTACCTTGGCAACACCTGACTCCCGTGTTGCGTATGCCCATCGCATGTTATCTGCTGGTCTTCTTTGCTAATACCCGGAGATTAAGTATGCCCTCCAAGTCGGATGGCACGTTGCCAAGATTGCTTGCCGGGTGCTTGACAGAACCCAAGAGATCCCTCGGAAACACCCCAGTCCAATTTTCATTGTTGCTTCTCATTGGAGGGAAAACTACAGGCTATTTGCGAAGCCGAGACATCAGGGGTCTCTGTCGAATCAAGTCCCAGCACAACGCCTGAGGGCAGTCGTTTACCTTACGAGTTGTGCACAACCCTACCAGGTAAATCCAGGTCTAGTTCATAAGAGTCTGGGGTAACGATCTACGGTTTGCGAGCGGGTGGCTGGAATAGCCAAGTTGGGAGGACCAACAAGGGGGTTCCTCTGGGCTGACGTTGCACTTATTCCCACTTCTTCCCCAAACTCTCTCCGCACGCTACTCCCTCCAGTCCTCGGTTTACCCCAGTATCCCCGACATTTCCGACATTTGAAGCGGAGAGTCCCCGCGTCCCGCTTCATCTTCTCTCCGTAGTGTGGGGATCGAGAGCGTCGACTGACTGGTTCATGAGTCGGGCATTCAAACCCCCGCGCCCAGAAACGGGTTGCCATTTTGGCTAAATTCGGGCGTTTGGGGTATCTGATCCCGAGGAGGATTCATGTCGGGGCTCGCGATTGCATGAGATCTCGCTGACTTTGAATGCCATCTGCCGAAGTCATGACGACTCCAATAACGCGGGATTCTGTCTCAATAAACTCGCCGTGCCCATTGCAACTCATCTCATAGCCAGGGCCTCTGTCGCGCACTTGGTCGTGTTTGCTCCTTACACTGAACATCCTGTTACTCGACCACCTTGAAGCCATCGAAACAAGGCGATTACACAAATAATCTACACAATGGGAGAGACAACACAAAAGAAGCGCTATGCCATCGTCGGCACCGGAGGCCGATCGGGCTTCTTTTACACGGCCATTGCAAAGGACTACAGCAGCACTTCAGTCATCGTCGGTCTCTGCGACACAAACCAGACGCGCATGAACTATGCCAACTCGAGATTGAAAGACCTCGGCCACGGCGAGGTTCCGACGTACATCGCTGCCAACTTTGACCAGATGATCAAAGAGACCAAGCCGGACGAGGTCATTGTCACAACAATGGACCGTACACATAACATCTACATCGTCAGAGCAATGGAGCTAGGCTGCAACGTCGTCACCGAGAAGCCAATGACCATCGACGCTCCTCGGTGCAGGGAA